CAGCACCCCCTTTAAGCCCTAAACCCTAGGCTCCCACACACCCACCCCCCTCAGTGACAGCTGCAGCAGTGGGAGACAAGGGAGGAGGAGGAGCAAGGGGAGGAACACATAACCGCCACCCCCACACCCGCCACCCCCACGCTCTGCACCCCACACCCCCAGCACCACGGAATGCACGGGGGGGGGGAGGGGTAGGGCCGCGACGAAGAAAGGAGGAGCCGAGGCGCGGTCCTGCCCCCGGGCGCCAGAGCAGGCGGCAGAAGGGGCGACGCGCGGGCCCCCCCAAGTTGCCCCTCCCGTCGCCTGTCGAGGTGACCTGAGGGGGCCGCGCGCGGCCCCCCAGGGCGTCGCGACGGGCGACGGGAAAAGGGCCAGGGCGGGGCCGCGACGGGGCCGAGACGAGGCCGCGACAGGCGTCGGGGCAGGGCCGCGACGGGGCCGCAACGGGGCCGCGACAAAGTCGCGGCGGGCGACGGGGCAGGGCCGGGGCGGCGCCGCGACAGGGCCACGACGGGGCGGCGTCGGGCGACGAGAGGGCGCGACGAGGGGCCGCGACGGGAGCCGCGACGGGGGGTCGCGACGGGGGGGGCCGCGACGTGGGGCCGCGACAGAGCCGCGGCGGGCGACGGGGCAGGGCCGGGGCGAGGCACCGCCGCGCGCCACGGGGCGCCCGACGGTCAGAAAACCACCGCGCGCCACGAGCGCGCGGCGGGAAGAAAAAAGGGCCGCGCGCCATAGGCGCGCGGCAGGCAGGCGCGCGCTCGAGGCGCGCGTTAGGCAGAGTAGTAGCAGCGGAAGCAGATGGGCTCACAGGCCAAGAGCGTAACAGCTCTGATTCCATGTGAAGATAGGAGCTTAAGCTAAGAAGCCATAGCTAGGTTTTAGGTTATATGAAAGAGAAATAGGAGAAGAAGGAGAGTTTCACTAGCAGCAATGAGGATACATATAGCAAACCCTAGATGGGTTGTACTCGCTATAGAGCACCCCACTACAGGCTAGAGAATAACATTCTGACAGCGGGCTGCAGAGGCAGCGCCCACGGGCTGCAGGGGCGAACGCGCGGGCTGCAGGGGCAGCACGCGGGCCACTGGGGCAGGCACGGCTGCAGGGGCAGCACGAACGCAGGGGCAGGCCCGGCTGCAGGGGCAGCACGGTCGCAGGGGCAGGCACGGCTGCAGGGGCAGCACGGTCGCAGGGGCAGCATGCGGGCTGCAAGGGCAGCGCGGCTGCAGGGGCAGCGTAGGAAGAAAAAAATACGGTTAGGGCAGGGCAGAACGTTCGGTGGGCCCTAGGAACGATTCTGCTCTAATACCATGTTAGAATAAGCAGGAATGAATGATTGAACTAGGCAAGAGGTGAGTACAAGTAGAGGAAACCTAACCCTAAAGTGTTGTACTCACTAAGGAGTGACCCTACTGTAGCCTAGAGATACAATTGTAATTTGACACCTACGATCTGATCTAACGCTCCTAAACGGCCCACCGGTAACCATGTGCTGCTGTTGCAGTTGTCGCTTGACCTTCTGAGAAAGGGAAGGAGTGGAAGGGGGGAGTCAAGCTCCTCGCTGCTCCTCGCTCCTCGTTGCTCCTTGCTTCTCCTTGTTGGTCCTCGTTCTATCCTCGCGATGCGCTGCTCCTTAGCTCCCGACTTCCTGCACGACAGAGAACGACTTAAAAAGACGTTAGTATCATACAAAACAAAGCCATCAGGAAAAATTACAACACATTACCGTGTGAGAGAGGTCCGCCGCGAGAGTCCTTGCTCCATGCTCCTCCAGCTTCAAGGCAAAGTCTTCTCTCCTCCTTCTTCGGTCTTCACCTTCGTTGCTCCGTCTGTCTAACACGCACAAGGAGAAAAGGAAAGACGTGAGTAAATCGGATAAACAAAAACACTAAAAATGGACAAAACTTACCAAGGCGAAGTCTTGTCTCCTCCTCGGTCGGTCTTCATCTTTGTTGCTCCGCCTGTCTAACACGCACAAGGAGAAAAGGAAAGACGTGGGTAAATCGGATAAATAAAAACACTTAAAATGGACGACACTTACCAAGGCGAAGTCTTGTCTCCTCCTTCTTCGGTCTTCACCTTCGTTGCTTCGCCTGTCTAACACGCACAAGGAGAAAAAGAAAGACGTAAGTAAATCGGGAAAATAAAAACACTAAAGAACGACACTTACCAAGGCGAAGTCTTATCTCCTCCTTCTTCGGTCTTCACCTTCGTTGCTCCGTCTGTCTAACACGCACAAGGAGAAAAGGAAAGACTTGAGTAAATCGGATAAACAAAAACGCAAAAAATGGGCAAAACTTACCAAGGCGAAGTCTTGTCTCCTCTTTCTTCGGTCTTCACCTTCGTTGCTCCGCCTATCTAACACGCACAAGGAGAAAAGGAAAGACGTGAGTAAATAGGATAAATAAAAACACTAAAAATGGACGACACTTACCAAGGCGAAGTCTTGTCTCGTCCTTCTTCGGTCTTCACCTTCGTTGCTCCGCCTGTCTAACACGCACAAGGAGAAAAAGAAAGACGTAAGTAGATCGGATAAATAAAAACACTAAAAAAGGACGACACTTACCAAGGTAAAGTCGCTCCTCGCACCTCGCTCCACTCGCTTCGCACACCACCAGCGCGACTCCTCCTGGACTCCTCCTTCTGAACGCACGAAGAATAAACGAAATAAGTAAGTGATCTCGGAAAGGATAAGAAGATATGAACAAGCAGAATAATAATAAAGCTGAAAACAAACTGAAAGAAACGATGCCAAATAAAACCGTGCGCCGTGCGTCGTGCGATGGGAGAAGCGCCGTCCGACGGCAAAGGTTCCGCCACCATTCGCCACGCTAGAGGGACCACCATTCCGCCGCGCCCGGCCGTGAAGATCAGTTCGAGAGACTCGCGTTGGAGCAGAAATCTTCCTCAGGCAACAAGCGTAGTAAAGGCTCAACCCAGGCAGCAGGCAGCTCGCTCACTCACGACTCTCTACCCAACCCGTCCCACCCGACTTCTCAACGCTGCCGCGTGCCATTGGGTTTTCGCCAGTACTAGCCGGAAGCCTTTCGGAAAGATTAGCTTGCTCGGTGAACAGAATGGTTCATAAATAGTCATGGAAGGGATGTGTGGGAAGGATCGAGCTGGTAGGAGAAGCGGAAGCGCGCTGAACCATGAGTAAACGCGTGCTCCTTCCTGCTCATTCATGGTCTTCCTTCTGACTCGACCCTTCCCTGACAACAAAGTTTGATTGTTTGGATGGCGGCCGGTGCGCGCGATGCAGAGTGCTTCAAACCAATTGTGATAGGTGTCATGAAGTATCGAGGTGTGGCCCTTGTGAAATGTTTAGAGCGTGGAACACCTGCTAGGGTTTTAGCGACGATCCTACGAATCAGTCGGCGATCTTACACAACAGTGTCCGATCTTACACAACAGTGTCCTACACAGTGACAATTGTAATCAGTGATAGCCAATCGAAATCATCGAAATCATGACTATACAAAAGTAGGTAGGATACTGTTCAGTAGGATTGCCAACTGTGCTTAAGATTGCCAACTGTTCTGTAAACTCTTACCCAGTTTGGCTCCATTTGCTGGGTGCAGTGCCGTGCGATGTAATGATGTGCTGTCATTTTGGCGGCCGCGGATTTCTGTTTGAATAGTAGGAACAGTTGGATGGTGGTGGAGTGACACCCTCAACGGCGACGATTTGCTTGGCATGGTATGGATGTGGCATCATGGCATCGCATGGTGATGGTGTGTATTATGGTATTAGCCAACGATTACCCACCCATGACTGCAGAGACTAGCATACTTCAGGAGGGAACTTCGAGCAGCAAACAAATTGTGGCGGCCCAATTGGTGTACGCTGTACGAGCGGATCCAATACCTGCACATTACAGTGTTTGACTGGGGTTGAAACACTCAACACGATTGTTGTCATTGGACTGTGCACCTTTGATTCACAGGCTGGTTTACTTTCGCTGTTTGGTTTGGTTTGGTTTCGTTTGGTTTGTTGCAATCGAAACTCTCGATGGCGCGTATTGCTGTTGTGGAGTTTTGGCATCCACCCAGGTTTGGATGATGGATGGAATACGTTTGGCACGGATGGACCTAGGGCAGGCTGGAACTTGTTAGGAGGAGCCATGGAATTTGGTTATTATTCTCCCGACGATAATGTTTTGCGTGAGGTGCGGGACGGCGGTGGTTGGGTTGGTCCAGAAATTAGTGCGTGATTGGGCAAGCAACCATTCAGCTGCCCTCGCAACCGGTTTTTCTGCTCGCAATCCGTGCTGGGCAGCTGAAATGCAAGGGGTGCTTGGCAAAATATTTGAGCGAACCAATAGCATTGAATGGCGTTTTTGCCATCGTGGCACAACCAGCTAGCACAGCCTTATCAACAATCTCAATCGTCCACCTCACATTCTTCCATCTCCCACACCTCGTTCTTCGAACCCTCATTTCCTAGTTATGCTCATCAAGGGTGGCTTGGATTACCTAACGTTAGTTTCGTCAGATTGAGGCACCGTGGATTAATTTCGCGTCGCATTCGTCAGATCTACTCCGTAATAGGTTACCCTTTCGTCTTGATCCTAAAGCCGCGACTTTAGTATCAGTGGCGACTTTAGTCTAGCTAATGACAGTCGCGCTATCCGTGGTCCTTCACACGTCTGGTACCGTAACAGTCATTCATATCGGGTGTTTTAATGGCGTGGTGTAAGTTGCGCGATTCAGGCGTTTGTCTGGAATTCAGTAGTTGTTTAGACCTGACGTTTTTTGGATAAGATAGCGATCTCAGTTTGCGGACGCATTAGCAATGTTTATTTCAGATGCTCGTCATGCGAACGCCCGACCAGTGACGATTTGAGCTCGCGTCGTTAGAGTCGCCTCAATGCGTCGCCTCGCCTCAGTGCGTCGCCTCGCCTCAGTGAGTCGCCTCGCCTCAGTGCGTCGCCTCGGTCCGTTAGGTAGGCGGAGGAAGCCTCAAGATGGCGGGTTGAACTTTGAGGCGCCTAAAAAATGGAAGCCTTAGGATCGCGTTTGCACAGGTTGGTTTGGGGATGAAGAGGGGAGGGGGAATGAGATGGTGAGAACCTGGCGGGAGGCCCCAGTTCTGTCGCCGTTAACGCTGGGGCACCTCCTGGAAGCCTTCGTCCGTTTTTCACCTCCCCCCGTTGCGCCTCTCGCCTCGTGACAGAAGACTGGTGAGAGGCGACGAGGCGGACTAGCCCCTTTCCCCGTTTCCCCTCCTCTTCCCCTCCCCTCGCTTCGCTTTTCCGCCACCCCTCCATTCTTCGCTCATCCCCCCCCCCCCCCCCCCCCCCCCCCCCCGCTGTCCCCTCATCTCCCCCCTCTCCGCTAATTTCCCAGCGATTTCCGCTTATCTCCCACCTCACTCACCCCTTATCCCCCCTCCGCTCTTCCCTCCTTCCTTCTCACTCCCCTCCCCGCCTCCCCCCCAATTCTCGCTCACCCCACATCCCCTTCCCCCACCATGCCTCCTCTCCCCCCTCACTCGCACCTCATCCCTCACTCCATCCACCCAGCGTTCCCCCCTTTCTTCCAGTCCTTTCCTCATATTTCCCCTCACTCACCCCTCGTTTCTCCCATCCATTCATCCCATACGTCCTTAATCCCCACTCCCTCCACCTCGAACCATTTGTTATTTCCCCTCTGCTCACCCATCATCTCCCTCCACGCACCTCCGTCTCCCACCCCTCATCTCCCCCCTCCCCCCAACCTCTCCTTGCTCTGCTCACGCCCCACACACCCTTCAACCCCCTAATCCCAAATGACCCTCATTTTGCCCGTCCCCTTGCCCTTCCTGCCCCTAACATTGTCATCCATCATCCTTACATCATTCATAAACAATGTTATCCATCAATATCACATAATTCAGCAATTTTCCCCTTCTCTCGTCTCCGCCCTCCCTCCCCAACCCCCCACCTCCCCTTCTCCCATTCCCTTTGTCCACCACGCTCCTCGTCGCTCCTCTGGCGGCTTGCTTGCCGTTGCAGCATGTGACTGGTTGCCTTGACACCACATTGTAATAACTCCCCAAGCATGCATTGCAGCCCACTAAACAAAACTCGACTTCTTTCAGACCTTCTCCCCCACCCCGAAGATGACCACTCTTCGGGTGTTGCTACACGTTGCAGCTCAGCGTGACTACGAGCTGCACTCCCTCGACTTCTCGACAGCTTTCTTGCAGGGTAGCCTTCACGAGGCCATCTGGTTGCGCCGTCCACAGGGCTTCACTGGGTCGTTTCCTAAGGGTACCCAGTGGAGCCTACGACGACCAGTGTACGGCCTGCGTCAGGCGCCCCGTGAGTGGCACGACACACTGAGGACGACACTTGCGGCTCTTGGGTTTGCTCCTTCGACTGCTGACCCGTCGCTGTTTCTCCGCACCGACACTACTCTGCCGCCGTTCTACATCCCCGTGTACGTCGACGACTTGTTTTTTGCTACTGCTGACACTGAGGCACTGGCCCTAGTGAAGGCGGAGCTGCAGGAGAGACATACCTGCACTGAGCTGGGTGAGCTGCGGAGCTATCTTGGCTTGCAGATCACCCGGGACAGACCACGGCGCACCATCACCCTCACTCAGTCACACATGGTGCACCAGGTCCTTCAGCGCTTCGGCTTCACTTGGTCCTCGCCACAGCCCACTCCTCTGTCTACCGGCCACTCGATCTCAGCTCCACCTTCGGACGAGTCCGTAGAGCCGAGTGGTCCGTACCCAGAGCTTGTGGGTTGCCTCATGTACCTGATGACGTGCACACGACCTGACCTCGCGTACCCTCTCAGCCTCCTGGCTCGCTACGTGGCACCTGGTCGACACCGAAAGGTGCACTTTGTCAGAATGTGATGTTTGTCTAGCCTGCAGTGGGGTACTCTATAGCTAGTAGAACCCAATTAGGGTTTCCTATATGTATCTCAACTGCTGCTAGTGAAAACCCCTCTTTCGTGTTTATCGTTTTAGCCTGCTATTTCGACATGCTATCAGAGCAGGTCGACCCTCCTGGGTCGATCCTGTGGGTGGGCCCCACCCAATGCTTCCGCCCTAAACCCTAAACCCTAAACCCTAAACCCTAAACCGCTGCGGTTTCCTGCTGTCCCCTGCCTGCCGCGCGCTCCGGGTGCGCGGCGATTTTTCATCCCGCCGCGCGCTCGGGGCGCGTGGCGGTTTTCTGCCCCGTCGAACCGCGCGTCGCCCCCTGTCGACCGTCGCGTCGCCCCCCGTCGCCCGACGCGGCCCGCGCGACCTGCGCCAGGCCCGCGCGCGACCTGTACGGGCTGCGCCAGGCCCGCGCGCGGCCCGTACGGGCTGCGCCAGGCCCGCGCGCGGCCCGTACGGGCTGCGCCAGGCCCGCGCGCGGCCCGGGCAGCCCGCGTGCGGTTCGTCCCGAGCTTCTGACCGCGCCCCACCCCCGCTGCTGCCCGCGCTCCTGTGTTAGGGTTTGGGGGTGGAGAGTATGGGGGTGCCGGGTGTGTGAGCCGTCCCCTGCCCCTCCTCCTCCTCCGTCTCCCACTGCTGCAGCTGCCGCTAAGGGGGGTGGATGTGTTGGAGCCGTCGGAGTGGTACGAGGGGGGTGGCGTGTGAGCGGTGCTAGTGGTTCAGCAGGGAGTGTGTGAAAGGGGTGTGGGACAGTTGGGGGAGGTTGACAGGAGGTGGCCGTTGTGACGTCTGCAGCGCCAGTAGTCCGGGGGTTGAGTACTCCGGTAGCCCAGCGAGCCTGCTGCTGCCAGTCGCCCGTGGGTCTGTTGCTCCTGCTGCTGCTTAGCGCGGAGCCAGTTACTCCTGTAGTCCGGAGGTTGAGTGCTCCGGTAGCCACCGTGCGCGCCGTTCCTGTTGCCCGTGTGTCTGCGGCTTCACCAGACGCCTCCTATCTCCACTCCTCTCACAGTTCCTCCTCCTCCTCACTTGCCCTCTGTGACAGCCTCTAGCTTTGCTTGTATTTGTGAACCTACTGCTCTGCGTGCTTGCTGTGCTGATTATACCCCACTTTGACTATGGGGGTGTGTCAGAATGTGATGTTTGTCTAGCCTGCAGTGGGGTACTCTATAGCGAGTACAACCCAATTAGGGTTTCCTATATGTATCTCAACTGCTGCTAGTGAAAACCCCTCTTTCGTGTTTATCGTTTTAGCCTACTATTTCGACACACTTTGATGCTGCGAAGAGGGTACTGCGTTACTTGTGCAGCACATCGGGCATGGGGCTCGTGCTTGGAGGACGGGGTTCGGTGGTCCTCACAGGAAACTGTTGTGAGATTACAATTGTATCTCTAGGCTACAGTAGGGTCACTCCTTAGTGAGTACAACACTTTAGGGTTAGGTTTTCCCTACTTGTACTCACATCTTGCCTAGTTCAATCATTCATTCCTAGTTCTATTCTTGACAACTCTAAGTCTGGCCAATGGTGGCCCACTTTGAGCCAGCACATGCGTTGTCAAGGCCGAAATTACGGTTTCGCCAGTTGGCAATCGGGATTCGGGAATCCCGGGTTACTGGAAAGGGGGGGTGGGGGAACTGGGGGGGCGGGGGGGGTATGGAACTCGCTTCAGGGTAAAACTCGTTATGGAATACGGGAACCCTTAGTCATCAGTGTGCCTAAAATGTAAACCCTGACACATCAGGGTATTCTTGACTCTTAAAAAAATTACCCTGGACCATCAGTGTTACTCCCAAAAACCACCCTGATTATCAGGGTATCAGGGTGATTTACACTGATAAAATTAGCCCTGGTCGGCATCCAAGGGGATGCGGCGGGACGTAATTTTTTATCCATGGCTCGCGCAAGCCATGGTTCAGCGCGTGGATCGTATCTGATTTGGTAGCACGGCATCACCCTGGTAGATCTGATCCGTGCGCTGAACCATGGCTTGCGCAAGCCATGGATAAAAAAATCCGTCCCGCCGCATCCCCTTGGATGCCGACGGGCTGACTTCCTCAAGATGAGGGGCGTGCCGTACACTCAGATAAAAGACCTTCATGGTTGCTTTTAATGCACGTCGCTGTTTTGCTACACACCAATTTCTTCTCCCCTTAGCAGCTTCCCAACTCCTTCACCCCTAAGCAGTTTCCCAACTCTTTCACTCTTTAGCATCTTCCCAACTCCTTCACCCCTTGGCAGCTTCCCAACAGCTTCACTCCTTAGCAACTTCCCAATTCCTTCACTGTTTAGCAGCTTTCCAAACCCTTCATCCCTTGGCGGTGTTCGCCAGCACTTTGGAAAGCAAAAACGACGGGATCAGGAAGGTCAGTCACGCCTTCCTGATCTAGGGTTCGTTAAGGTCCGTCAGCATGGTCAGCTCGTCAAAAATCGGCCGAACCTCTAATGCCGTCCGAACCTAATGGAAATCTTGGCGAACGCCCTCAATTTTCCTCCATTTCGGACGGCTTGATGGCATATGGAAATGGGGACTCAATTTCGTCCCCGGGCAAACATCGGGCCCCATGCCATTCCATCGCCATTCACCCTTTCACGGTGAATCGCAATGGGATGGCGACGTGATTGGGGATCGTGCGGACTCGAGAATTGACTGATGGACGAACACAATCCTGCCCAATTCTTTCCAAATCAGGCATACCAGTCGGGAATACAGTTTACCTTCAAATAGTTCACCCAAGGAAGAGATACGTGAAAAATGAATATTGTGCTAGACACATTTGCATTTACCATGTTAACATATACAATGTGAAAATGAATGTTGGTAAACGTAGCACAATTACCGTAAGTGCAGGTGTGGCATTAGTGATGCCCATGCCCCCTTTTCATCCATTCATCCATCCTTCCAACCAACCCACCCACATGATTGTCCAAAATCCTGAGGGGCAGCCCAACGATGTGGCATAGGCTGGGATCAAGCTCAAATTTCTAAAGGCTGTCTAAACGGAATTGGAGCACTGCAACAATCCCCCAATTCTAAGCGTATGCTGACGTGCACAACTTATCAAGGGAATGCAGTGAGAAAGAGCAGCTGATGATCATAGAGTCGAATGCCCCCACCCGCGTGGCTGGCCATCAGTCCATGACGATCTTCTTGGATTCGGGCATCTCCAACGGCTCAACGGACCTGAACGAATGTGATACAATGTGCGTGAAAGCATTCCCAAAAGTTAGTTGGGTCATTCTGCTATTTCAAGGCAGCAAGACACGTGGAAGGGGCTTGGGGCAACTCTTTCCATTTCGTCAAGTGTGGGGTTCAGATAAACAGAATGGGTAAAAGAAACTTAAATAAGATGGAGGGCACGCGCATTCCACCCGTAATCCACAGCTGAACCGCGCCCGAACGACACGCAAGCTACAGCGGACCATGCGCAAGCCACACGCACCTCTCTTGGAGCTGCTCCTCGCCGGCATCAGGGTCGTAGTTGGGGTCGTTCTTATCCAGAGCGGCCGCCACGGGCTCGAACTCCGCTCCAACATTTCCCCACGTGTGCTTCCCTCCGCCCCCCCCTAAGAAAGGCAGGGTCAGAAATAAACGAAGTCACATTCTACATCCATTAAAAACAGCTCGGGTGGCCGTCGAGGAACAAATGAATTGACGACACGCTTTATAAAATTGGAATGCGATTCTTCCATTGAGAAGAGAACAGATTTGTAAGTGATTCACTGAGTAAATACCTTTTTTGGGATCTCCGCGAACGCCAGTTCCTACACAGGACACGGACGAGATGTATAGAAGACAGGAGATTAACAACCGTCAGTGCACAGGACAATCACAACTATTCTTCGGTTTTTGTGTATATACGTATTTCCCAGAAATATATCTCAGCGAATCCGTACCATCTCAGCGAATCCGTACCAGAATGGCGTTCCATCCGCTCTATCCCTTTCTGCACGTTCTTCTTGTGCTCATTCTCCTGCTGATGGCTCTCGTGATGGTGAGCAGGCTTCATGGTTCCAGGGTTAACGGCTTGAACCTAATACAGAGAGAACCGTTTACCGAGAGTCGCCTATACGCTCGTCTAGTCCTAGCCTGGAAATCGAACAGAGCCTAATGAAGATGGAATACGCTGTGCAATGAATGAGATAGGAGCTAGCTGTGTTCTTGGTGCTGAAAATTGTCTCGGAAAAATATGTCGCATTCCCCCCCTATTTCTCTCTGCTTGAGATTTGCGAGGTGAAAAGAAAATCTGGCAGGTTGAGCGGGATTGCAGGGCCCCGCATGCTGGACATTGTTGACACATGTGATGGGGCTTGCCAGCATCAGGCAGATGTAAGTAGGTTTGATCTGGCGTCATGCCACGTGTGTTTCCAAGAAAACTGCACACATGGCGCCCTGAGAGCTAGTGTTTGTGTTGCGTCAGCAGGAGTGGCAGAGTCAGCAGGTGACACGGTCGCCAGCACCAGTAAGGTGACTCAAGTGTTCTACCTAGTGTGCTGGCGACCACGTGAGGTGTCTTGTCAAAATCTGCTCCGATATACTACTGCTGCATGACTCACAGACAGTGCGCAATCACATGAACAAACTTCGCACCAAAGCCATGCGATTGCAAAAGTCAAGTTCTTATCCTAGCTACTGAAATGTAAGATGCCTCATTGTTCACTACCAGGACCTGTATCGAACTCGCAATCGACAAAAGTACTGCTGTGTTTGGGAGAAATTCCGCTGGCACTGATCAGCCCTATGCTGGCTTGTGTTGGACAACTGCCCGCCACGGCTGGATCACTGGGTGTAACTCATCCTCGTTGATTCATCGACACGTCACAACAGGCTCTCCCAACCACAGGGTAGCGAAGCGAAGCCCCCATGAGTAGTTACCACCTACGCTGTTCATTTCGCTTCACGGGAATTTCTGCTGTAACATTCGGTGATTTGTTCGCGATGTCTCGACTTACAGGTGGTAGCATGTCGTCCCACATGTCACACGCCAGCATCCTCGCGCAGAGGAAATCGGGGAAGGAGCGACAGGTGCTGGGTCTTCCAGCTTGCCATCGCTCAACCAGCCAGACCGAAGGCGCCGCCGTCTTGTTCAGCCAGTCACAAACCTGGGAAGCTCAAGCCAATATCTAAACCGTTGAAGCTTTCGGAGGATCTCTTGAACTTCAATCCTGCGGCACAGGTGCAGGGATTAGGATTTGTTGCACAAGACCTAGTGGCCACGAGGTGTGCGGCACGCGAGCCCCACCTTGGGAATCTCTTCTCCTCCCACCACCGCAGAACCGAACTCCACATGCCCAACAATTAGGGAGACCTGCACTGAAACACTCCGGGGATTTCATTTCACTGAAACGCTCCTCTGACCACCGCCGGCAGCTGCGTAAATTCCTCTCGCCACTGCCTGCCGATCATTGTTATCTCTTGCTCTCGAGGAAGTACCACTGACCTAACTGTTTCCGTGTTCACAAAGACCATCGTAAGACTTAGTAACTTCATCTACTGTCGGCCTCATGGCTAGTTTAAATCAAGAAGGTTCAGAGTGGCGTGCTAATGGCACATCCGATAAAGGCACTATTTTGGTCACTGGAGGCGCAGGATACATTGGAAGCCACACCTGCGTCCAACTATTAGAGGAGGGCTATAGGTAATGCACACAGGACATCATCTCGTGCGGAAATTACAGCAAACGTTGCGTTTTAAGTCTTCAGGACTCAGTTTTCGGAAGCCTTGCGCTTCAGGAATGAATATCCAGGAACGTCACTAGGCAATACTCCACGCTAGTTCGTCGCTTGATAAAAGTTTCAAACCATTTTGGTGCTATGCTCAGCTGTCTGACGCGGTTTGGTGCGGTGCGCTTGTGTCGTGTAGGGTAGTGGTGGTGGACAATCTCGATAACTCCTCCGAGGAAGCTATCACTCGCGTCGTGGAGCTGACCGGCGACAAGGGAAGAAATCTGACCTTCTTCAAGGTAGGACGGTTACTTTCCATCTCGCGATTCGCCTCGCGTCGTCAAGTCGTCCGAGGGGTAGAGCTGACTGTCGGTTTGGGTTGCTCATGCGTGTTCGTGCTTGCGCAGGTTGATCTGTTGGACCGTCCTCTTCTGGAGGAGGTTTTTAAGCACACTGCGTGAGTCCACGACCCCAGCACGAGCATCGAGATCCCTCTTGCATTCAGCATCCTTGTCCAGTCATTGACTACAGCCGTTTTTTTTGTTGCAAATCTGTGACTGCGTCGGCCTTCGCGTCTCCTGTTTTTTTACATTCGTTTCTGGCCATGACTTCATTTTCGTTTCATTTCCTAACAATCTTCCATCTCTCAGTTTCGACGCCGTGATTCACTTCGCGGGGCTCAAGGCGGTGGGCGAGAGCGTGCAGCAGCCGCTACGGTACTACCACAACAACATCACGGGCACCATCGTGCTGCTGGAGCTCATGGCGCAGTACGGCTGTAGCAAGGTGAGCTCATGGCGCAGTACGGCTGTAGCAAGGTGAGCTCATGGCGCAGTACGGCTGTAGCAAGGTGAGCTCATGGCGCAGTACGGCTGTAGCAAGGTGAGCTCATGGCGCAGTACGGCTGTAGCAAGGTGAGCTCATGGCGCAGTACGGCTGTAGCAAGGTGAGCTCATGGCGCAGTACGGCTGTAGCAAGGTGAGCTCATGGCGCAGTACGGCTGTAGCAAGGTGAGCTCATGGCGCAGTACGGCTGTAGCAAGGTGAGCTCATGGCGCAGTACGGCTGTAGCAAGGTGAGCTCATGGCGCAGTACGGCTGTAGCAAGGTGAGCTCATGGCGCAGCACGGCTGTAGCAAGGTGAGCTCATGGCGCAGTACGGCTGTAGCAAGGTGAGCTCATGGCGCAGTACGGCTGTAGCAAGGTGAGCTCATGGCGCAGTACGGCTGTAGCAAGGTGAGCTCATGGCGCAGTAAGGCTGTAGCAAGGTGAGCTCATGGCGCAGTACGGCTGTAGCAAGGTGAGCTCATGGCGCAGTACGGCTGTAGCAAGGTGAAATGAACGCGCAGAATTGCCGTTTTTTTACTGTAACAGATATATTCAACCAAAGGATCACTTTACCACAAGAAGAGTGTCGTTTGTGACTCTCCGACCCGATTCCATGGATATGCAGGAGGTGTCTCATATGTGGTTGAATCGGCTGCGACTCCCCATCCCGTTCCCATGGCTGTGCGTGCAGATAGTGTTCTCATCATCCGCCACGGTGTACGGGCAGCCCAAGAGGGTGCCGTGCACAGAGGAGGACGAGCTGCAGACGCTCAACCCATACGGCCGAACCAAAGTGAGTCCACACACTCCCCTCCGTGACATAATCTGACTTAAATAAAAGAACCGCGCACGGAGCAGGACGAGCAGCGAACGCTGGACCCAAATGGCTGAACCAAGGTGTGCTCCGTCCCTCACTTTCTGCGCACGTCGCACCTGTACAAGTGCGCACTTGCTGCCCGTGCCCCGTCACCCCTTGCCCGTCACTGCCTTCCCTCACCCCCTTGCACGCCCCGCGTTCCGTTCTCTGGCGTTTTGCTGCACTTAGAGAACATCCTGCAGGACATGCAGGCAGCGTCGCCAGGTTTCGTAGTTGACTCGACATGCAGGCGGCGTCACCGGGGTGGCAGGTTTCTGAGTCTTGACTCGACCCCGCTTTCCTGTTGCCTGCGCCCCTCCCCCGCTCTCCCTTGTTCAGCTGTACATAGAGAACATGCTGCGGGACATGCAGGCGGCGTCAGCGGGGTGGCAGGTGCTGCTGCTGCGGTACTTCAACCCCGTGGGCGCGCACCCGTCGGGGCGCATAGGCGAGGACCCCCAGGGCATCCCCAACAACCTCATGCCCTTCATCCAGCAGGTCGCCGTGGGCCGCCGCCCGTTCCTCTCCGTGTTTGGGGATGACTATCCCACGCGCGACGGCACAGGGGTGAGTCGGGGGGATGAGGGTGGGAGTGATGGTGTGGGGACGGAGAGGACGTGTGGGATGCACGTGAGGTTTGTTCAGCTAGGAAAGGCCGCAAGGCGCGGACCCCCAGGGCATCGCCAACAGCCTTATGTCGTTCATCCCTCCATTTATGTCGAAGTCATACTACCACGCTCTACCACTCCCACATTTGCTTCGAAACCCCACCAGGTGCGGGATTACATCCACGTCATGGACCTCGCAGCAGGCCACACAGCAGCACTACTCCCACCTCACCTGCCATATTCTCTCCCATTCACCTCCATACACCCTCCGCACTTGCAACAAAACCCCACCAGGTGCGGGACTACATCCACGTCATGGACCTTGCAGCAGGCCACACTGCAGCACTTCGCAAGATCTTCACCACGCCCACCCTCACCTGCGACGTCTACAACCTCGGCACGGGGCGCGGGCAGTCCGTGCTGGAGATGGTAGCAGGCTTTGAGAAGGCTTCCGGCAGGGAGATTCCAGTCAAGATGTGCCCCAGGCGACCGGGCGACTGCTCTGAGGTCTATGCGCTGACGGATAAGGCTGAGAGGGAGCTGAAATGGAGGGCGGGTTTGACTCTGGATGATATGTGCCGGGGTCAATGGAACTGGGCTAGGGATAACCCGTGGGGTTATTCGAACCCGCCTGAGGAGGCGCAAGCAGAGCAAGTAGTGGTTGTGGAGGGGGAAGGAGAGGGTAAAGGCGGAAAAGCAGAGGCGGCTAAGGGGAGTCCTGTGAGTGAGCCACGCACGCCGCCCCTCCTGCCGGCCAGTCCTGAGACGAATGTGAATTCGAGCGAATCGGCGACAAGCTCGGCGGGGTCTGCTCCTTCGCCTTGTGTGCTGGATTCTACACCTCCTGTTGTGGCACATAAGGGGTCGCTTGTTCGCGCTGGGTCTGGGTCGAGTGTGGACTCGTTAGAAGAGCTGACTCAACTGGGGGGTTCTCAAGCAGTAGCGTGATTCTGATAAACTTGTTTTCTGCTGTGAGGGGTTTTATACGTTTGGATTATGATTTGTGGTGTTATGTTCCTATACAGTTTTGCTAGCCTTGCTGGTGTTATGCTTGGTACGAAATATTTTGGTGTAACTTATGCTGAGAATACTTGTACCGTTGGATCAAGTGGTGTAGTCTTCAACATAATTCAGCACTAATTCGCTGTGCTCAGGCTCGTCGCAGGTTGTACATTGCTTCAAAAGTTGTGCTCCACTGTACTCGCCCGCTGCTGTCGCATCGTCATCACGGATTCTCCGGACAAGGTCTGAAGCTCTGCGCCTCAGCCGTTTCTTGACGTCAGCACGGGCTTCGGATCTGAGCCAATCATGCGTCGGCCATCTGCCTACCGCCGTTCGTCGTCCAAGCCTACGCATAGCGCCTCGAAGCATTCCGCCCAATCCGCCGTTAGTCCGCCAAGGCTGATCCCCGCACGCCTAAACCGCCGCTAGCGAGCCGAATCGAGAGCCAGCCTGTCAGCGTGTCGGCGAGCCCACGCATCCACGTGTCCACGTGTCGTGCCATGGACACGTACACGCAGGCGCTCAAGGTGCTCTCTCTCGAGCGCGCCGCTTTCCCCGATGCCAGCGCTTCCGCCAACGCTTCTCCGCACCCCGCGGGGAGCGTCCGTCAGGGTTCACTTCCCGGCCATTGGCGGCGCAGGCGGGGCGGAAGGACTTCCGCGCGAGGGGGACGGGGGGAGGCGTCTGGCGGAAAGCGCGCGCACAGGAGCCAGTCGGAGAAGAAGCCGCAAGCCAGCCTGATGCCTCCGCTTTCCCCCATCTCCCCGACCTCCGCGCGTGCTGCGGACGTAACCCCCATACGCGGACACCCTGTCAGCGCCTTGCGCGCGGAAACCTTTCCGGGAAGCGCTGTCGCGGTGCTATCGGCGCAAGAAGTATCCCCCGCAGGGGCGGCGGCGGAGGGGGGTCTAGACGGCAGGTGGCGGCGGCAGCGGCTCGCAGGACGGCAGATTGCATGGGCGGCGGCTCCCGCGGAAGGGGAACTTTCTCCTTCCGCTGGTTGCAGGGAGACAGGGATGGGGGGAAGAGTGGGGGAGGCGCAGGGAGAGGCGCAAGGGGAAGCAGACGTGGTGGAGGTGGTTGGGGGTGGGGGGGAAGGGGGAACGGGGAGCGGAGATGCGGCAGCAGGGGGAGAGAATGGGAGTGTCGATCTGATAAAGGGCAAAAAGGATGGGCGAATGGGGGAACAAAGGGGCCGGGTGAGCGGTGGGAAGGGGCTAAGAGCGTGGGACGTGGCGGGGGGCGATGGTCAGCGGGCGGGGGAGAGGGCCGCAGGTCGAGCAGGGGGAACAGAAGGCAGGATAGGGGAAGGGGGGGACTGCGAAGAGAGCAAGGAAGGGGGGAGCGCGGATGATGGGAAGGAGGAGGAAGAGCAGGAGGAGGAGGAGGGAGAGGAGGACGAGGAGGAGGAGGAGGAAGAGGAGGAGGAGGAGGAGGAAGAGGAGGAGGAGGAAGGGGAGGAGGAGGAAAGGGAGGAGGGGGGGAAGCAGGAGGGGGTGGGTGGTGTGGGGAGAGCAGGGAAGCAGCCGAGCGGGCAGGCGGCAGTAGAGGCACAGATGTTTGTGAGTGACGCGAGACAGGCTTCTAGTCAACACCTGTCAGTGGGAGGAGCATCAGCACAAGCAGCACCGGTGCAAGCAGCATCAGCACAAGCAGCATCAGCACAAGCAGCATCAGCACAAGCAGCATCAGCACAAGCAGCATCAGCACAAGCAGCACCGGTGCAAGCAGCATCAGCACAAGCAGCATCAGCACAAGCAGCATCAGCACAAGCAGCATCAGCACAAGCAGCATCAGCACAAGCAGCGTCAGCACAGCAGCCCTTGACGATACACTCTCAGCCGCTACGTAGGGAGCAGAGGGAGGAAGTCGTGGGAGCAGTGTGGGCTATTGAGCGGAAGCAAGAGGCTGCAGGGGAATGTGCGTCACAGCAGCCATGGGAGGTGCCCTCCAGGACGCACGGCGCAGCACAGGCGGGCGGTGCTGCTGTGGGCGGTTCTGATGGTTACAGCGCATGCCGTGACTCCATGGTGAAGCAGGAGCATGTGCATATGCCGTCTGATGAACATGGGCATGGGTACGGGCATGGGCATGGGCGTGGGAACAGGGATGGGCATGGGCATAGGCATGAGAAGCACGAACCTCATGTGTCTCATAGGACAATTCATCAGCAGCAGGCAACCAGTGCCCCTCGCTCCTCCTCCCACCCATCACCCATCACACACTCCCAACCGCCACCACACACACCGCACGCACAGCGCCCACCACAACCACTGCTGCCGCCACAGCAGCAACAGATATCACAGCAGCAGCAGCCACAATCACAGCAGCATCAACAGCTGGCTGTCCCCAGCCCCGCTGCTGCTGCTGCTGCTGCTGCTGTGGCCACTCCAAGGCCGCGGCCAAGCGAGAGCTTCTGGGCCCACGTGGAGGGCTTCTTCCGCCCTGTCACCACTGCTGACGTGGCGCTGCTCTCCCCTGCTGCTTACGTGGCACACTTCAGCCGCATCACGGAGCGAGATCCCACCTTTGCCCTGCCGCCTGCAGGCCACCGCCCCCGCTTAGACCACCGCTCGGTGCTGACCTCAAAGGGGCGCGCACAGGAAGGGGGGGCACATGCAGTGATGGCAGTGGTGCCACGGCAGGGGGGGGAACAGGGGCTTGGGAAGGGAGAGGGGACGTGGAGGGGGAATGGAGTAGGAGATGGGCGTTTGGGGGGGCAGGGGGGTGAGCAAAGGGCGGGGGAGCGTGGGCAGGGGGGAGCGGAGGGAGAGGGGGGACAGGCGGGAATGCAGGTGCAGGGGCAGCAGTTGCAGCAGCAGCAGGTGGAGCAGCAGCAGCGAGGCCAGCAGCAGCCGCAGAAGCGGCGGAGGCAGAGGCAGCAGGGAGGGGCAGCGAGGGCTGAGGGGAGCGATAGGCAGCTGAGGAAGAGGAGGGGGGCGCAGGTGGGGGAGGGGGGGAATGCTGCTGCTGCAGGGGGCAGGGCTGGGGTGAGTGACGGTGCAGTGAGTAGTGCTGTTGGGGTGGGTGGTGGCGATGTGACTGTGGTGGTGCCTGGGAGTAAGAGGCGGCGCACACGACTGGGTGGCGGTGGGGGTGGCGGTGGGGGTGGCGGTGGGGGTGGTGGGGGTGCTGGTGCTGGTGCTGGTTGTGTTGCTAGTGGTGGGGGGGGTGCTGGTGCTGCTGGTGGTGGGGGTGGTGGTGGTGGTGGTGGTGGGGGTGCTGGTGTTACTGTTTCTGGTGCTGGTGCTGCAGCTGCTAGTGAGAGGCAATCTGGCTCTGTTACTGCTGACCCAGCGGCTGATAGCCGGATGCATGTGGGGGAACCTGGCGTTGCTGCTGACTGTGCTGCAAGGGGCCCTACTCCTGCTGCTGCTTCTGTTGACTGTGTTGTCACGACTGCGGTGGATGCAGCTGCTAATTCCAAGAATGCCATTGCCAGTGATGCCAGTGGGACTCATGATTGCAGTGTGGATGCTGGTGGGGCACGTGGCGATGCTGCTGGCACTGCTGCTCATCCTGTAGCCTTACCTCTTGCTCCTTGTGGTGCCGGTGCCATTACCACTGCTGCTGCTCCTGCTTCTGCTGCAGCGGCTGCTGTTCCTGCTGGTGATATTGCTGCTTTATCTGCGTGTGATCCGCCTGCCTCTGCTGGAAGCGGGAGGGGGGGGAAGAAGGCGGGTCGAGGAAGGCCCAGGGGAGCAGCAGCAAGAGCAGAGAAGGAGGAGGGGATGTTGGTGACTCTCGTGTCTCCCCCACTTTTGCAGGCAATTGCTCAAGCCGTGGGAAGGGGGAGGCAGGGAGGAGCGAAGGGAGGGGCGGAGGGAGTGGGGAAGGGAGGGGAGGAGGGAGCTAAGGAGGAGGAGGAGGAGGAGGAGGGGGGAGGGGAGGGGGAGGCGTGTGATGTGTGCTGCCAGACGGAGAGCGACGATGCAAACCCGATAGTGTTCTGCGATGGCTGTGATGTGGCTGTTCACCGCCAGTGCTACGGCATCCCCCCTGCTGCCCTGCTACCCGTGGGGGGAGAGGAACGGACGAGAGAAAAGGGGGAGGGAGCGCAGGAGCAGGGAGGGGGGGAGCACAGTAGGGATGAAGAGGAGGAGGAAGAGGCAAGTCTACCGTGGCTGTGTGCGCGGTGCAGCAGCAGCCGGCCTGCTCAGGTGCGCTGTGCGCTCTGCCCCGTGCTCTCCGGTGCCTTCAAACCCGCTCTCCCTGGCGCTCCTCCCTCCGCTTCCTTGGAACCCGCTGCACCAGCTGGTTTGCCAGCAGCCGTGGCAGCACCCACGCCACCAGCACCCGCACAAGACGCACATGGGCCGCAGCAGCAGCAGCAACGAGGGGAGCAACAACAGCAACAGCACCATCCGGCTCAGCACCACCAGCAGCAGCAGCAGCAGCAGCATGAGCAGCAGGAGCAGAAGGACGAGCAGCAGGATGACCAGCAAGATGAGCTGTTTGCGCATCTGTTCTGCAGCCAGTGGGTGCCGGAGACGTACGTGGGCGATCCAGAGAGCATGCAGCCCGTGTGCAACGTGGGGGGCGTCAGTCAGGAGCGCCGCCGCATGCTGTGCTGCCTGTGCCGCTCCAAGGAGGGTACTTGCATCCAATGCAGCCATGGTGAGTGGTGGATAAGCCACGGTGAGTGGTGGATAAGCCACGGTGGGTTGAATGAAGCATCCTGTGCACCCCGTGTGCAACGTGGCAAAGGTCAGTCAGGAGTGCTGTTGCATGCTGTGCTGCCTGTGCCGCTTGAAGCAGGGCTCGTGCGTACAGTGCAGTGCACCCACGGTGGGTTGAAGTCCATGTTATGCTGTGAGTGGTTGATCCATGGTGGGTTGACCGCAGTGCTGCGCTTTGAGTCTTGTGTTTCAGCCATGGTGGGTTGACCGCAGTGCTGCGCTTTGAGTCTTGTGTTTCAGCCATGGTGGGTTGACCGCAGTGCTGCGCTTTGAGTCTTGTGTTTCAGCCATGGTGGGTTGGATGGAGCAGCCTTCTGGTTGTTACTAAATGCACTCACTTCGCATATCCCCCCTCTGCTATCCATTCTCGCTTCTCCTTTTTTCCCCCAGGCATGTGCGCAGTGCCCTTCCACCCCATGTGCGCGCGCCAGGGGGGCCTGCTCATGACCCTCTCCGCCTCCCCCTGCTCCCCCCGCGTGCTCCTGAAGGCCTTCTGCCCCCGCCACTCCGCCCTGCGCCTCCCCCCCCTGCTGCAGCAGCTGCAGGCAGGGGGGGGCGGAGGGGGAGGGAAAGGGGGAGAGGGTGAGGAGGCGGGGAAGACAGGCGGAAGGGTGGGGCGCGGTGCAGGGACGGTGGGGGAGAGGGGACAAGGGGGCGGAGGGAAGGAAGAGAAGATGGATGGGGGGATTGAAAGGGGAGTGGTGGGAGAGGGGTGGGTGGGAGGGGAGAAGGGAATTAGGGGGGTTGAGAAACATGGAGAGGAGGGGGATGAGGGAGAGGAGGAGAGTGAGGAAGAAGGGGATGGAGGGGAGGACGGAGGGGAGGAGGCAGGAGGAAGGGGAGGAGAGGGGGGTGGGTCACAAGGGCGCTTGGAGGATAAGAAGGGATTGTTCAGGTCAGAGGGTAGTGGGCAGGAGCGAACAGCTTCTGAGAGGCACGGAGGAGAGAGATCAGATTGTGGTGAAGAGGGAGAGAGGGACGGAGGAAATGGAATGCTGGTGGAGAGAGAGGAGGGAGGGAGAAGAGAAGTAAAGGGACAGGAGGGAGGAGGAGAGGAGGGAGCGAGAGAAAAGGGAGAAGCTGATTCAAGGGAGAAAGGGAAGGAGGATACGCATACAGGAAGGGGGACGAACAGTGGAGATGTTGGGTCCTGTGCCGGTGGTGGTTGTGGTGATGCTGATGCTGCACGTGGTGATGCTGTAATGAAGAATGCAAGTGGGTTAAGAACAGCAGCAGAGGCAGCGGCAGGGCAGGCAGCAGCAGCAGAGCAGGCAGCAGGGGAGACAGCAGTGGTAGAGGAGTCAGATGATGACGATGATGTGGTGGTGCTGGTGGAAGAGGGATCAGGGAGGGAGGAGGTGGACGCAGCAGCAGCAGGGACAAGGGGTTGCCTGCCAGAGGCATCAGGAAGGAGTGTGCGCAGCGAAGCAAGGCCCAATGCTAGTGCTGCAGGTGCTGTGATGCCAGTTGCACGTGCTGATGTGGCACAAGTGACGTGTGCTGCTGATATGGCGCCAGCAAAGCAAGCCCAGGCTGACGTGGAGTGGCCCAGATGGGAGGGCGCTGCTGCGCTGGCGCTGAGTCAGCAGGTGCGGTGCCACGCGTACGTGCGTGGATATGCAGAAATACTGCAGGCGTCAGATAACGTGGGGAGGAGGGCGTCAGGTGAAGAGGCGATAACGATAATGGACTCCAAGAAGAAGGAGGGGGTGGTGGAGAGGAAGATGGTGGCTGATCGTTGTGTACGGCATGTGAAGGATGAAAGGGAGGAAGATGGGGAAGGGCAGGAGGAGGAGGGGAGAAGAGGCGTTGGGGAGCAAGTGAAGCAAGGGGAGGAGCACAAAGCGAGCAGGAGGCAGCAGGGAGCGCAGCTGATCCATTTAGATGGTGCACTGGTGCAGGTGGCATCAGAGGGAGGTACACCTGAGGACGAGGTCACATCCGAGCTCATCATAGCACAGACCCAGCTGCTGTCCGTCCTGCACACCCTCTCCCACCGCTCTCAACACCTGCTGCACCGCATGCTACCGTGCCTGCAGGCGGAGAGGCAAGCAGCAGAGGCGCAGCAGCAGGGGAAGGCGGCAGTGGAAGAGTACCTGGGCGTGCTGAGGGAGCAGCGCAAGCAGGGGCGGCGGGACCGGCGGGAGAGAGAGGCTCAGGCCGTGCTGGCGGCGGCTGAAGCTGCTGCTGCTGCTTCCCCCCGTGTGGGGCATCTGAAGAGGGACCCTGGGGGACCTGCTGGGGTAGGTGCTGCTGGGGTGGGTGCTGCTGGTGTGGGTGCTGCTGCTCCTGCTAGTCCTCTGGCCGTTTCTGCTCTTGCTGCTGCTGGCCCTGCTGCAGGTGCTGCTGCTGCTGCTGCTGCTGCTGCTACTGCTGCTGCTGCGGGTATGGGTGGTGCTGGGGGTGGTGTGTCTCCGTCTTGGGTGCTTGGTGTGAGGGCGTGGGGAAGGGGATGGGGAGGAGGGAGAGGGAGAGCGGGACTGGGAATGACGAGGCTGGGGGGTGCATTTGGCAGTCCTGCTGCTGCTTCTCCTGCTGCTGCTTCTCCTGCTGCTGCTGACAGTGGTACTGCCACTGCTGCAGCGGTTGGTGGTGTTGGTGCTGCCAGTGGTGTTGGTGGTGGTGGTGGTGGTGGTGGTGCAAGTGCGGCTGCTGATGCAGGGCGAGTGCAAGCATCCCCCTTGGCGTCCCGCCCCTCCCTCTTCCCCTCTGCATCAGCTCGCCCTGGGCTTGCCGATGCTGCCATAGGGGTGAGGGGGAGAGGTGCGTGGGGCCGGGGAAGGGGCAGGGGGCGTGGGGCATGGACAGGGGGAGGGAGAGGGCGAGTGGGGGGGAGAGTTGGGGGAAGAGGAGGGGGGAGAGTGGGAGGGAGAGTGGGTTGGGGCAGGAGAATGGATGTATCTTCGGGGTTGTTGAATGGTGTGGGTGTTGAGGGGGATGGACAGATGAAGAGTGATGCAGTGAGGTATGGGGAGGTGGGGGAGGCAGTAGAGGAGGGGGAGGAAGGGGAGCGCAATGGGGAAGGTGAGGGAGAGGAGGGGGGTTTGTGGAGGGAGTGTGGGGCGTGCTGGCAGAGGGAGTGTGGGCCGCACAGGAGCATGGTTGAGTGTGGAAAGTGCCACGTGGCAGTTCACCATTGGTGTTATGGCGTGCCTGAAGGGAGGTCGGGGCCGTGGTTGTGCCAGGTGTGCCGCTGGGATTGGGTGGTGAAGGGGGAAGAGAGGGACAGGCATCAACAGCAGGATAAGCAGAAGCAGGAGCAGGTGGAGCAGCAAGAGGAGTGGCAGCAGGAATGGCAGGGGTCACCGCAGTCCCACTCACCTGCACCCCCCCACCCGCCTCCCCTCCCTTCAGCAATGCTCCCTCCCTCCCATGTGTCCTGCGCCCTCTGCTCTCCTGCTGCGTCCTTGGGCGCTGCTGGGCAGAGGAAGCAGGGTGATGATGGGGAGAAGAGGGGCGAGAGGGAGGAGGGCGGCGAGTGGGGAGAGAGGGTGAAGCAGAGTGCGGAGGCACGGCGGCGACAGGGAGGAGTGGCAGCAGCAGTGTTGGGGGAGGTGGAAAGGGAGAGGGGAGCGGGGGTGAGTGGGGAGGGAGGAGGGAAGAGGAGAGGGGATGGGTTGACGGGGGGAGAGGGAGTGAGAGTGGAGGGGGGCTGTAGAGAAGTGGAGGTTTTGCTTCCAAGAGAAGGCACTTCGCAGGAAGGAGAGACAGGGGGAGAGAGGAAGACGGAGGAGGGAGTGAGGAGGGATGGGGCGGTGGAAAGAGGAGGTGGATGGGGGAGTGATGGAAATGAGGAGACTGGGGGCTTGGGTGGGAGCAGGGAGGGGAAGGGGAACGGGAGGGTGGGGGATGCGGGGCAAGCGGCATTGAAACGAACGGAGCAGGCCGAGTGGGTGCATCTGCTGTGCGCTCAGGTATGTCACTCACTCACTTGGTCACTCACTGTCCCACTCGCTCACTCACTCATTCATTCACTCATCTTTGAAGCTGAGTATCTTCTTCCGCACCATTATCTCCCCTCTGCCTCCCTTGTTCTTCCAGGTGTTGTTTCCCGACTGTGCTGTGCTCGGTGCGTCTGAGGATGCGCCCCTCAGCCTTACTGTGAGTCGAGCAGAGGATACGCCACTGAGACTTGGTAGCAGGCACGCATTGCAACCACTCAATGCAGCACTTGGTGAAAGCACTCGCTACAATCACGAGTTGCGAGCACTTCCATTCAAGCACAGACTGTCCAAGGAAATACACACGCGTGCCAAGGCCCTTCAATCCCTCTGTCACGCTGTCCCCTTCACGTGCTTTCTCCTTGCCTCTCTTCCTTTCCCTCTCTTCCTTTCCCTTTCTTCCTCTTCCCCTCTTTCCCATCCCAATCTCTCCCATCGCCTCTTTCCCGCTCACCCGCTTTCCTACTCAATCTCTTTGCCCAATCCCCCTCTCTCCTCCTTTCCCCCCTTCACCTTTCACCACGGACCATCAGGGCGCCATCCCTCCCAGCACGCAGCATCACCGCTGCTGCTTCTGCCACTCCTCATCTATGCAACCATGCTCCCAGGTGCGGATGGAACATTGCAGGGGGGCTGGCAGGGGTGTGAAACGGTTCTAGTCTAGAGGGTTGAAAGGAATGGCAGATTGGAGTGTGAAGGAGGTGCGGGGGTTAAGGAAGAAGGTCGTCTATCCTCATCTTCTGTGTCTTCTCTTACATTATATCCCCTCCATTATATTTCCTCCCATGTATCTTCGCTCCTGTACCTGTCTCCACGTACTCTTCTCCTTCGCTTGTCTCCTCTCATCCTGCCTCGGTTTTTTTCACTTATCCCCCATTACCTTTTCCCCATTTTCCCATGCCCCCATCCCCCATTCCACCTCCCTCAGTGCGCCATGCCAGGCTGTCCCCGTGTAATGCACCCCATGTGTGCGCGCCACTGCTCTCGCCTCACCACTCCCCACCCACCTTCAGAGCGGCCTCACACACCCTCTCCCATCTTCACCCCACCCTTGCCTCCCTCTGCCACCGCTGCCACCTCCACTACCCCCGCCGCTGCCCCCACCACTACCCCTCCCACTGCCCTTGCCATTGTCCCCGCCTCTCTTGCTCCTCCCCCAACAACCTGTCCCACCGCTGGTATCACCGCTGTTGATTCTCCTGGCATTGCAGCACCTGCTGCTATTCCCCCACCTCCTCCTCTCTCCTCCACTCCTTCGACCATTCCTCTCTCCTCTCTCGCAACAGCACTCCCTCCTCCTCCACCACCCACTGCCACCACCTCAGTTCCTGTCAAACCCCCTCAGGCAACTCTGAAAATTCTCTTGTACTGCCCAGAGCATGCAGCAGCTTCCGGCATCCGAAAACTCGACCCCCATTTCCAGCAATCCCGCCTCCCCAGTAGCACCTCCCTGCTCCCCTCCAGTGCACCTCTGTTGCCGTCAAAGCGCCAAGCTTCAGTTTCCTTCGCCAATCACGAGGATCAGAAGAGACGCTGTGTGGGAGTGGCTGAGGGGGAGGGTGGGGATGATGATAGACTGGGTAGGGTGATGGTAGGTGGAGCACCCAGACAGGCATGTGGAGCGGAACAGGGCTCACAAGAAAAGCAAGCAGGGGGTGTGACGACTAGGCCATTGTTGAAGGTAAGGCAAGCATTGTGTGTGGTAATTGCCATCGCAATACGTCTTTTTGGTGTTAAGCTATACATCATGGGCTATGCATGTTTGCTTATGTGTGCATGCTTGTGCCCCTGTGTGCTCCTGTGCCTCTCTCTATGCTTGCAGCTGCAGTTATCATACATCGCTACACATGCGGCAGCGCGTGCCCTAAATGCACGCTTGCCTCCAGGCTATCGATACGTGCCCGTCACTAAACTCGATAATCACTAACACGATCTAGTGTCACAGTAAACACAAAGCATGACTGTATGTTGTCTGTAACAGGGATAATAAGCGGTGTATTGACTGTACCGAGGGAGGCGAAGCTTTTTGTAGCGAAGTGGAAGGATCGAGACCCGACAGCTGGAGGGACAGTTCGGCGGTACAGGAGGAATTGTGGCATGACATGCATACGCCGCGCGAGTACAGTGATGGGTGCTGGAATTGGGGTTTCAGGAACAGTGACGCGTGTGGGAAAGGGGAGGGGTGGCGAGTGAAAAGGGGAAGGACTGGGAAGCAACGGTGTGGATTCTTCGTGTACATATGTGGGCTGAGAGGAACGATGCCGATTGCATGCGTGTCGGATGACTGAATGTGTGCGATGCTTGGTGTGCTTGCTGGCTCGGGCGTGTGTGTGCAGGTTCAGGCCTCCCTCCGCCCACAAGGCAGTGAATCAGTAGCTAGCGTAGCTTGTGAATGTGTACATAGGTGCTAAGCTAGCTATCAATCCCCTGCTTCTTTGTTTGTTTTCTCATACTACTGGATTGGTGTGTGCCATATTTCCAAGCATAGCTAGCCGTACCGAGAAGCCTGTCGATGGGTTGGTGGTCGGTGGTCAGCTGGAATACTTTTACCTGCTCGAGAACCCCGACTTCGCCACAGATCCGAGGGAGCCGGTGAGGGCCGCATATCAGAAGGTGACCTCCCAGCTGGGGGCAGGTGTGGCGATGGATGCGGCGCAGGCTGGAGCAAGGGCGCACCGGGACCGCCGCTACTAGCAGAACGGCATCTCGGAGGGACGCCTACGCCTGGAGCTCTCCAAACTGGCGCGGCCGGAAGCCAGGCTGGTGCGAGACATACTGGAGGCTAACCGGCAGGAGGCGCCGGTGCTGTACCCTGACCACCCGGCCCTATACCGCTGCAACACGCCAGGGGAGCCCCGTCAAGCGTGGCCAACCATGGTGGCATACCAGAGGTCATACGCGTTCCAAAAGAGGGAAGGAGTACCCGGCCCTGGGATGGTGAAGGACACGCGGACAGGAGAATGGGGAGTGCCAACGGCGGTGGAAAGGGAGCTGGCAATGGGATTCCTGCCGGGCGCGAGCGCCGCGGAAGGCGTGGCAGAATGGGAGCGTGTGCGGGCGCTGGGGCAGGCAATGGACGTCCAGGCGATGGAGTGGCTGCTACACACGGTGGAAGTGCAACTGCTGCTATGGGACATGGAGACCCGCGTAGAGGAGACCGAGTGGTGGGCGGAGGGAAGTGGGCCGAACAGCGAAGCGCGGTCAAGGCTGGATGACCTGAAATGGAGGCTGGGCAGGCTGACAGAAGCGGAAGAAGAAGTGCGCAAGCGAGGGTGGCCCCCTGCAGAGGAAGACCACGTGGCCGTGAGGAGCAAGGTGGCGAAGAGGAGTTGCACCGTGCAGGGATACATGGCGCTGACGAAGGAAGCGAAGGAGCCAGAAGCCGAGCAGAGGGCAGCCGAGGCACCGACCGAAGAGGAATGGGAAGTGGGGGAAGCGCTCTCGCCGGAACAAGGGAAGGAGATGAGAGCGATGCTGCAGCGCCACCGCCGAGCGTTCGCGTTCTCGCTGAAAGAGCTCGGCCGGAGCAAGATCGGCGAGATGAAGATCGACCTCACCTCCGAGACGCCGAACTTCCAGCGCAAGCGGCGCATGACTAGGGCGGACGAGGAGGTGTGCAAGGAGAAGTGCAGAGAGCTGCTGGAGGCGGGGCTGATTCGCCGATCAACCTCGGAGTACGTGGCAGCCACCGTCGTGGCGGCCAGAAAGGACTTGACGGGAGAGGTGCTCTCGCGGAGAATGTGCGGGGACTATCGTGATCTCAACAAGATCACGAAGGCCAACCGTTACCCGATGCCGACGCCAGAAGATCTCTTCGATAAGCTGGAAGGCGCAACGGCCTTCTCAACACTGGACCTGCGGCAGGGTTTCAACCAGATACAGATACGAGAAGAGGATAAGGCGAAGACAGCGTTCCACGGAGTGGACGAGCTGTGGGAGTGGAACGGCATGCCGTTCGGGATGAAGAATTCCTCGGCATTCTTCCAGCAGGTCATGGACACGGTGTTACGTGGGATCGACTGCGCAGCCTGCTACATAGATGACGTGATCGTGTTCAGCAAGACGCCGGAGCAGCACATTGCAGACGTGGAAAGAGTGCTGGGGGCAATCATGGAAGCAGGACTGACGTGCCACCCGAACAAGTGCAAGTTCGGAGAACGCACGGTGCGGTACCTGGGCTTCGAGGTCGCTGAAGGGACCCTCTCGATACAGGAAGCAAAGGTGGCCATCCTGGACAAGGTCGCGGCGCCCACGGACCGGAGCAGGCTGCGGGCGGTGCTGGGGTTTTTTAACTACTATCGGAAGTTCGTGCCGAACTTCAGCAAGCGAGCGTCGCCACTGAATCACCTCCTGAGGGAGAGCACCCCCTGGAAGTGGGGAGAGGAGGAGGATCGGGCGATGAAGGATCTGATGGGTGCGGTCAAGACGGGGCCCGTACTAGTACTGCCAAAGCGAGACCGAGCATTCGTGCTGTATACAGATTGGAGCAGCCTGGGCATTGGGGCGGTGCTCTGCCAGGAGATGGAGCAGGGAGAGAGGGTGGTCGCCTTTGCAAGCAGGAGCTGTAGCCCAACCGAGGCGAACTACAGCTCGTACGAGGGAGAAGGGCTAGCGGCAGTATGGGCGGTGAACCACTTTCGGGTGTATCTGCAAGGGAGCCCGTTCACCCTCGTCACCGACCACCAGCCCCTGACCTGGTTAATGACGAACCAGACACTGACCGGGAGGAATGCGCGGTGGACCATGCAGCTCCAGGAATACGACTTCAAGATCCGCCACCGCCCGGGAAAAACCCTACAGCACGTGGACGGCCTGTCCCGCAACCCACCTCCAGCGGAAGGACCGAAAGGAGCAGGCAAGGAAGAGGGCTCCCCGGCGATGTGTCTGGCGGCGATGGCCAGGGGGATGCAGGAGTCCGATGCGGCAAAGTACCGGGGAACAGGGCCGGAAGACGTGTGGAGCGATCAGGAAGCCCTGCGCTGGGTGAAGGGAGAGACGGAGGCAGAAGAGGAGGTCAGCGACCGAGCCAGGGCACGCGGGCAGCACTACCGCTGGCATCAGCACCAGTTACAGGTGCAGAGCAAGGAGGGGTGGAAGGTAGTGCCGGCACCAGAGGAGAGGAGGGCCCTGATCGAGAAGGTGCACAGCCAGTTGGGGCACTACGGGCACGTCCGCACTGCGCAGCTGGTGACCACTAGCTGATGGTGGGCGGGGATGCATCGCCAAGTGCGAGAAGTGGTGTCAGACTGCGAGCTGTGCAGCCGCAACAAGGCGCAGCTGGAGAGGGAGCAACAAGAACTGCAATCCCTGCCTATCATGGGGCTGGGATACCGGTGGTCCCTGGATCTAGCGGGGGAGATGCCTTTGAGCCGCAAGAACAAGCGATACGTGCTGGTTATGATCGAGCACGTGTCGAAGTGGGTCGAAGTGCGGGCCTTAAGCAGCAAGAGCTCGGAGCTAATTGCAGAAGCCTTCATAGACCAGGTGGTGACACGATTCGGTGCGTGCGGAGAGGTTCTGACGGATCAGGGAACGGAGTTCAAGGGAGCGTTCGACAAAATGCTGAAAGAGACGGGGATCGCGCACCGCCGCACCTCAATGTGAAAGTAAGCAGTAGAAGAAGGCGCCATAGCTAGGAAAGCCCTAGCTAGGCAAGAAACAGTTTAGGCAAAGAAGGAGAGGTTGCACTAGCAAGAATGAGGATACAAATAGCAAACCCTAGAAGGGTTGTACTCGCTATAGAGCACCCCACTACAGGCTAGAGCATAATATTCTGACACACCCCCATAGCCAAAGTGGGGTGTAATCAGCAGAGCAAGCAAAGCAGAACAAGCTCAGGGTGGATCACAATGTCACCACACATTCTGAGCACAAGTTCAGGAAGCAATAGTTTAAAGTTCACAATTATGAGCAAAGCTAGTGGTAGTCACAACGGGCAAGTGAGGAGGAGGAGGGACAGTGAGAGGAGAGGAGATAGGAGGCGACGGCTGAAGCTGCAGACACACGGGCAACAGGAGGCACACTGGCACAGCGGCTACCGGAACAGCGCTCCGGACTACTGGAGTAACTGGCCCCGCGGCTAAAAGTAGCGGCAGACGAGCAACGGACCCACGGGCGACTGGCACAGGTGGCTACGACTGGGCTACCGGAGCAACTCCCCGGACTACAGGTGCTGCTGGCGACACGACGGCAACCTCCGTTCAACCTCCCCCAAACAGTACCACCCCCCCTGACACACACCCCCTGCTTCACCCCTAGCTCCACTCCCCCTTCACCCCCCCTTAGTACCACTCCGACGGCTCCAACAGGTCCACCCCCCTTCAGCGGCAGCTGCAGCACAGGGAGACGGAGGAGGAGGAGGAGCAGGGAACGGCACACAGAAGCTGCACCCCCATACCCCCCACCCCCAAACCCTAATCCAGGAGAACAGGCAGAAGGAGGGGCGGGGCGCCTTCAGAAGCACGGGGGACAGCGGGGAGGACAGGGGCAGCGAAGAACGGGCCGCCCACGGGCCTGGCACAGCCTCCCGAACCGCGCGCAGGCGGCCCGAGCCGCGCGCGGGCCTGGCGCAGCCCGTACGGGCCGCGCGCGGGCCTGGCGCAGCCCGTACGGGCCGCGCGCCGGCTGTACGGGCCGCGCGCAGGCCACGACGGGCGACGGGGGGCGACGCGCGGGTCCCCGTCGCCCGTCGTAGCGCCTCCTGGGGGCGACGCGCCGAGTGACGGGGCAGAAACCCGTCGCGCGCCTCGGGGCGCACGGCGGGCAGAAAACCGCCGCGCGCCTCGGGGCGCACGGCGGGCTGAAAAACCCTAATTTCGACGCCGCGCACCACGGGGCGCGCGGCGGACAGGGAGTAGCAGTAGCAGCGGAAGCAGTGAGGTGGGGCCCACAGGCCAGGAGCATATCGCTCTGATACCATGTGAAAGTAAGCAGTAGAAGAAGGCGCCATAGCTAGGAAAGCCCTAGCTAGGCAAGAAACAGTTTAGGCAAAGAAGGAGAGGTTGCACTAGCAAGAATGAGGATACAAATAGCAAACCCTAGAAGGGTTGTACTCGCTATAGAGCACCCCACTACAGGCTAGAGCATAATATTCTGACACTCAAGGTATCACCCGCAGTCGGACGGGTTGACAGAGCGGATGGTGCAGACGATAAAAAGAGGGTTGCGCGCATATGGGGAGGGCCACAAACGCGACTGGGACCAAGAGCTGCACTGGATCGTGGCGGGCTATCGGTTCAGTAAGCAGGCGGCACTGAGAGACTACTCACCGTACTACCTGCTGTATGGCAAGCAACCGATCCTGCCGGTCAACGCGCCCAAGGTCCTCACCGACGTGGTGACCGCCGGAACGGCCGAGAACTGGGCAGCGCTGGCAGACTGCCGCGCCAGGTACCTGAAGAAGGTGATGCCAGCGGCCCTGGAGAATCTGCACACGGCCCAGCTGAGGGATGCCAAGAGGTACCAGCAGAGGCAGCTGCAGACCGGAACCGGGAAGGGGAAGGGGGTAGCAGAGGGGACGGAGGTGTACCTTCGCAAGGCAAGGAAGGATACACTGGATGTGGGGCTATCCACGGAGCGATGGGTGGTGAAAGAAGTCAAACCGTCCGGGGTGTTGGTGCTGGAGTCAGAGGGAGGGGAAATGAGGAAAGATCACATGACCAACGTGGCTAAGGCGACCGGGACCAAGATGGGGGTAATTCCTAGGGACCAGCAGCAGGAGCCAGGCCGGTCTCGGAAGGGGGCAAGTGGCTGATCCGCAGGAGATAGCGAGGGGCAGAAGTCAGAGGGGAGTGAGGAGGAATACACGAGACATGGCCGAGAGGGAGGAATGGGGAGGAAGGGAGATTGCAGTGGGACCCAGAGGGGGAGGAGGAGTCATCCATGAAGCTCAGTGAGGAGAGGAGCCTATGGCATCCGACACTAGTCACTAACAAATCGTCATAATGACCGCCCATAGATGTGCAGCTGTGATTGCACATTTTTGTACAGAGTGGATAGAGTATAGGAGACGTAGGAGGCAATTCTATCGTATTGTGTAGAGGGTGCTGTGGTCTCACATGCCAGGCTTTCACTCAAGTTGGAGCTATATTTCCAAGGATATTCCAATGATATTCCAGACTCATTGTAATCATTTCTGTAGATGCTTTTTGAATTCAGTACCGATGCACCAACCCGCTACAGGCTCGTCTCCATCACATCGCGGGATGATCGGAGTTCCCTTTGCCCGCCGAAGCTATTTGTCAGTCAGCTCAAACCACCCCGCGAATTCCCGAATCCCGATCCCCCCTTCCTCCACAAAAGTGTTCCGCGACTTCCCAGCACCCTACGCCGTTTCCCCCCCCTCCTCCCGCTTTTTCCCCCGCGCGCTCGTTCACCTGCTCTAAGCGCATCTCATGTTTCCCTTCCGCTCGCCATGGGCCATCAAATCCGGAGTCGATGAAACACCTGGTAAATAGGTATTTAGGAACCAGCAGCTATTTAGCTTGACGTGAACGTGCGCCGTTGCCGTAGTTACTGCAGCATCGCCTTAGTATCGCCGTTTCTTCGTGATGCACGTGCCTCTGCCACATCTATAGTCTCATAAAGGCGTGGTGATTACACTTCCCCTTTGACGCTGCTTCCGAGGTGTCCCTTCAATATTCATTTATCTAGTAGCAATTCTCCTAGCGCTAAATGGCAGCGTCCTCCCTCAGACCAGCAGTCAACCAGCTTCGGTTCTTCTCATCCGCCGACGCTGCATCTCCTTCCGCACGTCAGAACACTGCGTGCATGGCGATGGCTCCCAGCGCATCGATCTCCCCCCGCTGCACCCATCAACCTAATCTACGTTTTCAGACTAGTACCAAATCTCGTTCGCGGAGTAACATCACCAGTTCCTTCTTTGGAGATTCTCTGCCTCGGTTTCAACCGGCGTCCATTCCTGCAGCATCAGGCCTCCAACCGCAGCGGAAGGTCGCCAGACGGAAGCTCTGGAGCTCGCCGCAGGCGGTGTTCCAATGGGGAAAGCGGCCGGAGTACAAGGGAACGCCACCACGTGTCATAGTGGTGACTTCGGGAAAAGGCGGCGTGGGAAAGACGACAATGGTAGCTAATATCGGAATGTGCCTGGCTCGGTTGGAGTTTAAAGTCGTCGCGATAGACTGCGACGTGGGTCTCAGGAACCTCGACTTGCTCTTAGGGATGGAAGCTAGGGTATTCCACACCGTTCAAGATGTGTTGGCAGGGGAGGCTCGTCTTGATCAGGCGCTTGTACGCGATAAGCGCGTCCCCAATTTCGAGCTTCTTTGCATTTCCAAACCTCGGTCCAAAATCGATTTGAATTTCAGCGGCAAGTCGCTGATTCTCCTAGTGGAAGCCTTAAGAGAGCGCGAGGAGGGGTGCCCAGATTTCATTCTCCTGGACTGTCCAGCGGGAATCGAAGCTGGTTTCATAACGGCAATTACGCCGGCCAACGAGGCGATTATCGTGACCACGCCGGACGTGACGTGTCTGAGGGATGCGGACAGGGTTGCGGGGCTGTTGGAGTGCGACGGCATAACGAACGTGTCACTGCTGGTGAACCGCGTGCAGGCAGATCTGATCAAGCAAGGCCAGATGATGTCCGTTGGGGACGTCAGGGAAATGCTCGTGAGTTCACTGGGCCCACACCTCTCCTTCCCCCTCCCTCCCTAGCCCACCTCCCCCTTTCCCCCACCCGCCCGTTTCCTTCCAACTCCTCCTTCCTTTCCTTTGGGAGTAAATTGTGGGTGCTGTGTTGTGCATGCGAAAGAACCCTCAACTGATGGAGGTTTGTTAAGTATGTCGCTAGGAAAATGGGTGAATTGGCTGAGAGTCTGTGTATTCCTGAATCACTGTTTTGGGCCACTTGGTTGACTGCTAGGGACACCACTGTGTGCTATACTGTAGGTCCATTGACGATCTGACCTCCTCTCCCCTCCCTCCCTTCTTTCGTTTCTCCCCATCCCTTCACTCCTCCCGCACCCCTCTTGCACTGATGTGTCGTTGTGACCAAGCAGGGACTTCCGCTGTTGGGGGTTATTCCGGAAGACACAGCAACCATTGGTGCATCCAACCAGGGAATGCCGCTTGTGCTGAAGAAGCCACCTACCATGGCAGGCCTGGCAATGGAGGCTGCAGCTTGGCGGCTGGCTCAAGGGGAGCAGATGGATGTGGTTGTGCTTCCAGAGGAGAAGAAAGGGTTTCTCGCCTTTTAGCTTAGGCTTGCCCGCGATGGACAAAATCCACAGTTGATGGAACGGTTGTCATGTTTAGAATGTAGGCAGTGGATGAGAAAATAGAACCTGCTTTGTGCAACCTGATTTCCCTGGTTGCATATGGGGAGCTAAACCCAGTATTCATATTCACCATGAGCATGATCAGTTTTACTGGCAGCCCCCAGTGCTGTGTCCTTCCCAGCACTGTGGTCTTGTGTTTCTCCATCAACCAGAATGTGCAACTCGCTCTGTTTGGGATTTAGTACTGCAGTTACATGTACCCAACTGGGCTATGGAGCCTAAAGCTCAACACCATATGCAACTAAGTCGTCCCATTGCCAAGTTCAAATGAGTAGCATGAACAAAGAGATAATTGCCAAAATCCCTAAACTAATCTTACTACTCTTGCCTGACTGAGTTAGAGGGCGGGAGGCATTTGAGGCCTTCCACCGAGGAACGACAAAAAGCCAGCTGAGTCCGAATCATCCAAAAAGAGGTCATCTGGAACCCTGAATGCTGCATGCACGGTGATGGCCACGGCGCCTATCACAACCCCGGACATGAGAATGGAGCCCACTGATGTCAGTCCGAAGACGACAACTACGGAGATTACCACCATTCCGAGAAACTTTTCCCGCTCGTTCACCATTCTTCCAGCGACAATGATCGGCTCCGTGCGGACCATGAACACGTACACCCAGCCAGATCCGAGAAGACCCAGCCACAAGATAGCTGTTGGGTTCCAGAGCATGCTGAGGACGACAACTGCGATGAGAATGCCCAGGTAATTGGCCCGAAAGTAGCCCAGGTTCTTGCGAATCCGGCTGAGAGCGTCATTCAGACTCTCCGGTTTGGCTAAACTGGAGCGGTCAATGAGCTCGTTCCATGGACGCTGCTGAGCGGTGGCTGCGGCATATGACTCCTGAACTTTGGTTATAAGAGACCGTACAGCGGAAGCCGATGGGTTCCCAGCCATGGAGGCTCCTGGAGCAACAGCTGCCATGAAATGACACTGTCTCGAGCTGTTCAATCAAAGCTAGATTATAAATGCACGAGAATGGCAGGCCTGAGTGAAGAGTTGGCAGTGAATCGAGGTAGGAGACAGTAACTGTTTGCCAAGCACGAAGAGCGATCTGCAAGTCTGCGAAAGTAGTAATCCTTGGTGAGCTAAGAAACTGTGAAAGAAATGCTTCAAATCTGGTTGTTGCGGAGCAGAAGCCAGTGCATATGTAGTAGGGTCCTGACGAGTTTGATGGCGGAAACCAAGGGAGGTGTATGATGACAACACCGAGGCACGGAGGTGCACAGACGGAGCTGACACAGCCTAGCAAGCGGTACGCGTTTCGGAGATTTGATGTGAGGCAGCGTCTGATTGGTCGTGAGGGAATTTGAGGACCTAAGCAGCACCGAACCTCGGCAATGCCAGAAACGCGAGTGTAGGTTGGGCGCGTAGGGGTTCGGCGAATTCTCTGTGTGCAGGTTCGGACCCGACCTGCAGCTTGGCTCAACGGCCAAATCTTGGTTTTTGCCACCTCTGTGTTTTGTGGCCTGGGTGAGCAACTTCGAGGGGTAACATCTGTCTTCGCACGGCAATATCGCCGAAGTGTGTAGTGCCGCTGCAAGCTAATCTACAGAACGGTCGGTCACAACAGCCTACCGAATTCTCCCTGCCAGTCAGGTTTAGCAAAGCTAGCAGGTGAAGGTAGCTTGATTAAAAAACATATAAACTGCTATGGCGTCTGCTCCTGGAGGCGCGGTAGAGGGAAATCCCACGGGGATACGGGCGGTTGTAGCGAAAATCCAGGATTCTTATCGGAACGCCATAGCGCAGCAGCGGCCATGGAGCGAGCTGACGGATCGATCGCTGTTCGCGAGACCCGAAAATCTTAACGACGCGCTTGGTAGAATTCGCAAAAATACCAGTTACTTTCAGGCAAATTACCTCTCGATCCTTATTGTGGTCATCATACTCTGCATGCTCTGGAATCCGACTGCCATTCTCTGGCTAGCTCTCCTCGCAGCCGCTTGGGTATATATCTTCATGGCTCGTACCGATGCACTGATCATCGCTGGAAGGACGCTTAACGAACGCGAGAAGTTCCTCGCCATGGCGGTCATATCCATCGTCATCGTCTTCGGGCTGACGTCCGTCGGATCTATTCTCATGTCGGGTCTGGTGATGGGTGCTGCTGCGATCGCCGCGCACGCCGCTCTCAGGGTCCCTGATGACCTTTTCCTGGATGACAATGAATCTGGAAGCTTCCTGTCATTCCTTGGAGGAAGAAGTACTGTTCCCATGCCAACGGCCATTTGAGACGATTTGTCCATCCGTCGGATGCAGCTTTTTCGAGGTCAGCCTTCGCCGATCCCTGCGGTTATCTGATGCAAGTACTGGAGTTGATTACGTCTGCTCTTGTTGTCACTGCAACTGATTTGCTTCACCTGTCTCTCAGCTTGCCTGTGTGCACATCGCCTGGACACTCGCTGCATATCTTGATACGTTCTTCCACATGGGCTTCACCAGTCGCATTAGTTATTGTGTCCCTCCCATTCTGCCCTAAGAGCGTATTCCTATCCTCGTATCAAGAAAACCTCATATCAACCTCCCACTGAAAATTTCCCTAAACCCAAAACCTCTCGCGACTTTTACCAGGCAAAAAGTACAATCTTGATATGAGGTTTTCTTGATACGAGGATAGGAATACGCTCTAATCCCAAGTAGATGCTGCCCGTGTCAAATTCTAAATTGGATCCCTAGTGAAGGTGTCTATCTACTCGATAATGGTACTGCATTCACTGTACCTTGTAGTCACTGCTATCATGAAGACCTGTGTTTAAGCTTTGTAAAGTGTAATATTTTTTAATAGGCTCGTGTCTGAGAGCAATGCCATCCGGCTACCTCACGAGCAGATATACTCCGAAGAGGAAAAAGAATGCGCTGCCACAGCAAATGGTGGCTTGCCTGAAGCCATCACCTCACCCACAGTAACGCCTGACAGCGACGACCCTCTACACTCAAACTCCACACGCACGCGGTACGCAGCCATCTCCTTAGCCTTGCGGTCCTCCTCTGCCTGCTTCTCCTCCGCTGTCCGCTCTGCTGCCCCGTGCACCAAGTCATCTGGAATCACTGGGATCTGAGCCCTCAGGCGCTGCGGTGGGTCATTGGACTGGCAGCGGTTGGGAATGTGCGTGCGTGGGTTGGGGAAAGAGCCGGTGAGGTAAAAAAGCAATTGTTGTTGGAACAAAGGGCCAGGAGAATTATTCTTTACTAAAGAGGTAAACAAAAGGGGAAAGTGCATGGAGAGAGGAATGGGAGCAGGGTTTGTCAGGAAGAGTGGATTGGAGATGTGCACTGATGTGTGCAATAATAACACGTACAGTAATTTGTGGGACATGCCACCTCAGCTCCTTGGTCCATGGGTCAAGCTGTGCCCTGCCAGGAATTCAGGGATCACGGCGAGTGGAGACGGCAAGACAGGAAAGGAGGAGCACTAAGGGCTTGGTTTGGCCATTCTGCAGGGATATCAACTGGGTGAATGCGAGAAACATTGCACGCAGAAACAAGATTTCAAAATGGCAAATCCAGCGGCTAGGTTAATGAAAATGCTGCTTGTGGAGGGAAGGAGCTTACTCCGGGTTGAGGCGGAGAGAGGCGGGGGAGAAGGCGAGGGAGAGGATGAAGGTGACGTTCAGCAGCGGGGCTTGCAGATACGGGTTCGCCACGTACTGCGAGGAGGGGATGGAGAGGGGTGTGTGTGTGCAGGTGGACGAGAATGCATGGATTGGCCATACGCACACACATCAGTTACAGGTGGGGCATGTGGTTGGACAAAAGGAGTACAATGCTGGGAGTGACAGACGTGCAATATGACATGTGCCAAAAGACATGTGGAGCTCAACAGAGGTTCAGAGGGAGGGGGGCAAGTGAAGAGGTGAGGCACGTTAGTAGTGAGGCACGAACCTGGATCATGAGTGAGAGTGCTTCATCACTCCTCCTTGTCACGAACCTGGCAGGCAGCGATGGCAGGAAAAGCACAGGAAAACATTGAACAGAGCAACACTGAGTGAGAGGTGAGAGGGGGGGCGAAAGGAGCACACAGATGGTCCAGCCAGAGGCCTCAACCAACCATGCTCAAACCATGCTCAAACCATGCTCAACCCATGCTCAACCCATGCTCAAACCATGCTCAAACCATGCTCAAACCATGCTCAACCCATGCTCAAACCATGCTCAACCCATGCTCAAACCATGCTCAAACCATGCTCAAACCATGCTCAACCCATGCTCAACCACAATCTCAGACAGTTCTGAGCCGACCAAACCAAGCTTAATTTTGTAAAACACAGTCCACGCCTTTTTAATCACCTTTGCCCAGCTTCTACGCATAGATTTACAGCACCATCCTGGGAAAACGCTAGCCTCGCACGCACCTCAGTCGCAGCGGAATGGGTGTGTAGCGGGGCTGCAGGCGATACTTCATCAGCACAAACTCCTGCGCCCGCCCCTCCGCCCCCACCGCCCCCTCCCCCTCTCGCCCCCACGCATCCCCCTCCCCCGGATTCACCACTGCCCCCATGCCCTCGTCCCCCTCCCCCAGCAGGTCCGCCATTGGGGGGGCCTGGGGGGAGGCTGCGACAGCAGAGGGGGCGGAGAGCGGGGGGAAGATGGTGCCGGGGGGAGGCATGCGGAAGTGGAAGTAGCCCTTCCCCAGGTCGCTCACAATGCCGGGACGCATGGTGCAGCGCTGGGGGGAGAGGGGAAGGGGGAGTGTGGGGGAGGAAGGAAGGGGGAGGGGGGGAGTGTTGGTAGGTAGGTGCGAGGGGGAAGACAGAGAAGCAATGGGGAAGAAAAAAGCAGAGGGGCGTGTGGATGGATGGCAGGGTGAACATGTGCATGCAGTGGGGGAGGAGAGGAGAGGCAAGGGCTTGTGTGGAGCAGAGCAGAGCGCAACGAAGCAGAGTAGAGAAGAGAAAAGAGCAGGGCACGTACCTTGATGGCGCCAGAGCCCTCCAATCGGAAGGAGAACTCATCCGGCACCCTCGCATCCTTCTCCGCACCACCCACCCCCGCTCCCCTCGCCGCCACTCCTCCAATAGCGCCACCACCACCCCCCATTGCCCCCTCTGCGCCCACCCCTCCCTTGGGCAGCGGGAGGGTGAGGAAGACGGTGCCGGAGAGGCGCACGCGCGTGAGGGAGGAGCCGAGGAAGTCCGCACTGATGCGCTCCTCCACTCGGAACGTGGGCTGTGCGGGGCCTGCTGGCGTGGCCGATGCTGCTGCTGCTGGTGGCGTAACTGCTGTTGGGGTTGACACTGGGAGGGAGGGAGGGGTGTGGGGAGGAAACAGAAAGGGCGTACGGGTACGGTTTTAAGTTGGTCGAAAAGGGATCGGGGAGGACATGAAACGGCAAGAAGACTTGGATGGGAAGTGTGAAAGCGACTGGGGAGAAGGGAGGAGCCGCTACTGGTGATAGGTTCACTGCAGTTGGTGCTGACAGTGGGAGGCAGATGTAAGTGGTGTGTGGAGGGTACGCGTACGACGTGGATGCGAGCACATATACATAAGCAGCAGCGGCACATGGACAGAACGGAAGGAAGGAAGTGACGGAGGGAGGGAGGGAGGGAGGGAGGGAGGGAGGGAGGGAGGGAGGGAGGGAGGGAGGGAGGGAGGGAGGGCCTAGTGGCAGAACAGTGCTCAGTGCTCAGCGCTCACTATCCATGGCACGGCTCACCATCCATGGCGCCCAGCCCCAGAGCCACCTCCAGCTGCCGTGCAGCCGCCACCGCAGACCCCCCTGCCACCCCCTCCCCTCCCCCCAGCGCCACGCCCAGGTCCCCCCCGCCGCCCAGCCCAAAGGCGTCCTCCTCCCCCTGCTCCACCCCAAACTCCGCCGCGTCTAGCCCGCCCCCCCACGCGTCCCCATCCCCCCCCAGCAGCGCGCTCCCCCCGAAGGCCGTCCCCCAGGCGTCATCCCCCTCGTCGTCCCCCAGCGCAGCCAGCCCCCCCAGCCCCTCCGCCTCCAGGTCCGCCCCAAACGCGTCCGCCATGCTGTCTGACGCGAAGGGGTCCAAGGCGGAGGGGGGGGGCGCGGAGGACAGCCCCGCCTGGGGGGGGGGAGGGGGAGAGGGAGAGGGGGACGGGGATGGGGGAAGAGAGGGGGAGGGGAGCGGGAGGGGATGGGGGAGTGGGAGGAGGATGGGGAGCGGGAGGGGATTGGGAAAGGGACGGTTGGGAGAGAGGGGTAGCAGGGGAAGTGGGAGGTTGAAGAGGGCGGGAAGAGAGAGCAGGCAAAGGCGGCATGAAAGCAGACAAGTTGGAGTGCAGATGAAGCAAGCAGACACAAGCCGCAGAAATGGAAGGGGTGGGTGGGAGGAAGAGAAGGGGGAGAAGCAAGAAGCAGGCAGAAAGCAGAGAAAGGCAGAAATCGTCAGAAAAAAAGGCGGATCTCACCTCGAGCTCTGCAAGCAGTGAAGCAGGGTCGTTCTCCGGCCTCTTCCCTGCCCCCCCTGCTGCCGCCACATCCCCCACCCCACCCGCCCCTCCCCCACCCACGTCCAGCAGCGCCAACTCGCCCCCGCCGCCCCCCAGCAGGGAGTCACTGGCGGCAAAGGGGTCATCCGCGGAGCCCAGCAGCGCCAGCGCCGCCAGGGGGTCGGAGGCCGCAGAGGGGCGCGGGGAGGGCGTGGGGGGCGCGGGGGGGGCTTCGAAGGCGGGCTGGGAGGGCGCGGGGGCGAATGCCTCCATTGTCTCGTCGCCCGCTGCTATGGCCTCCTCTGGTAGCTCGAAGTGCGCTGATGACATGTACTGCGGGGGGAGAAATGAGCGGGGGGGGGAGGCCCGAATGGGAGAGGGAAGGGGGCATACCATAGGGGATTTTAAGGGGTGAGTGGGTTGGGACAGGTGCATGCGGGCTGGGAGAGCGGCGGGGCGAAAGCCTCGATTGCCTTGTCGCCTCCTCTGGCAGCTCAAAATGCGCCGAGAATATGTAATGAGAAGGGGGGGGGAGGGGATGGGAGGGGGGTGAAGGGGGAAAGGCAGAAAGGACAAGCGCAATATTCAATTTCTCGAATCTGGTGGATGTAGAACATGAAGGAGGTATAAGCTCACAGTTACACAGCCACCATGCCACCCCTCAACGCTCCTTCCTCAACGCCCCCTTTGAAGGCCCCTTGCTTGCCACACCCCGTTCTCCACTCCCCCCCTCCTCCCCCCATCACCTCCACGCTCGCCAGTCGCTCTACGGCTTCGGCATTAGCCATGCGCCAGCTGGCAGCACCATGCGGACGGTTCTCCCCTTCATGCCCACACGCCCCCTCGCATCCTCTCACACACCCTTCCCCCCATCTCCCCCTTTCCCCCTCTCCCCCTCCCTCCCCGCCTCACCTCCACACTAGCCAGTCGCTCCACTGCCTCGGCATTAGCCACGCGCCAGCTGGCAGCGCCGCGAGCGCGGTTCTCCCCGTCGGCGAGGGTGTTGGTGGCGAGCGGGACGAGCAGCGCTGCACCGTCGCCCGCCACGTACGAGAGCACCGCTGAGAGGCGTGCTGCTCCGATGCCCTGTAGCACGTAGAAGAACGCCATGTAGACCTGGGAGGGGCACACGGGTGAGGAGGAGGGTGGAAGTTTCCGGGTTGGCTCACAAGGTACCGATGCCCTGTAGCACGTAGAAGAACGCCATGTAGACCTGGAAGGGAGATGGGACGGGGTGAGTACGAGGGTGCATGAGCGGGTACTTACTGGGTTGACTCACAAGTCACCGATACCCTGCAGCACAGACAAGAATGCGATGTAGACCAGGCGGGTAGGGGAGGTGAGGGGAGAGAGGACAGGAAACATTTGAGCCAAACGGTGTACTTGCGGAAAATCTTCTCGGGTGTCACATCCACGCCCTATTGAGAATTCGGAAAACTGATACAAGCATCGCCAGGCCCAGCCCCCTCGTGCGCACCTCGGTGTACTTGCGGAATATCTTCTCCGGTGTGACATCCACGCCCTTGCACGCCGCCACCAGCACACTGCACACCCACGTGGCCAGCACAGCAGCACGTGGGAGGGAGGGGGGCATGGGGTATGCGGCGTGGGGCGCAGGTGACGGTGTGAACAAAGGATGCATGACCCAGACAGATGCACAGGACAGGGCACTGACAAGTCTGAGGTGCAGTTGATAAGGAACGACCACAGCTGACAAAAATGAGTCGACAGAGCTCACCTGACGGCCTGGTTGACGGTGCTCTCACCTGACGGCCTGGTTGACGGTGCTCTGACCTGACGGCCTGGTTGACGGTGCTCTGACCTCACGGCTTGGTTGACGGTGCTCTGACCTGACGGCCTGGTTGACGGTGCTCTGACCTCACGGCCTGGTTGACGGTGCTCTGACCTGACGGCCTGGTTGACGGTGCTCTCATCTGACGGCCTGGTTGACGGTGCTCTGACTTCACGGCCTGGTTGACGGTGCTCTGACCTCACGGCCTGGTTGACGGTGCTCTCACCTGACGGCCTGGTTGACGGTGCTGATGCAGCTGTAGACGTTGAGCGACGTCTCGTCATCGTCCGCGAGCATGAGCCCCAACACGTATATGCTGTTCACCAGCCTGTACACCACGCGGTACCTGGTGGGTGCGAGGCAGGGCGGGTGGCAGGCAGAGAGGGGGACGAAGCAAGGATGGAGGTGGGAGAGGGAGGGTGGTGGGGGAGGTGGGCCGGAATAGGGAGCAGCTGGGGGGAGAGTGAGCGATTCGAGCAGATAGGTGCTGTTCCCTCGACGGGACACCACGCAGTGTGCGCGAAAATGAACGCAGTAGCCTTCCCATGCTTCTCCCTAATTCCTGTCGCACGCACCGTCGGTCGCTGCCGACGACGACTTGCCCGCTCGCAGCGGCCAGCGGGTCGTCGCCCAGGCGGTCGAGCATGAGCGCCTGATTCGCCGGCTGCTCGTGATGCCGCACGCTGCTGTCCGCGTGCCGCGTCGTGCGGAAGCTCTGACACGCCGCCAACGCGCGCTTGGGAGGGAACCATACCTTGCTGCGGCGGACTCGGCGGGGAATCGGGGGAAAAAGGGGAAGCAACGGCGAGATAATTGAGCGACGGGAGATGCAACAGTGAAGCCAGAGACGGCTGCGGATTAGCCAACAGCCAGGGGACACGATAAGATCGGAGTACGGTAGGGTGGGGAATGGCGAGAGTTGATATTTGTCAGCGATCAACAGACAATGGGAACTCTTGAGGCCTGATTGCGTGATGGTCACGACTGGACTGATGCGCCGTCCAGACTGGCATAAGACGACAGGATAGCTAGATGACACGACCGCTGGATGACACGACCGCTGGATGACACGACCGCTAGATGACACCGTTGCTAGTTGGCACGATTGCTAGAAGACATGGCTGCAACGTGACAGGAGTGTTGCATGACACAACTTCTACATAACACGGCTGCTCGATAACACGACTGCTACATGGCATGACAGCTAATGACACGACAACAATATTACACTGCTGCTAGATGAATGTCCCTTACGTCTGAAGCAGCAGGTCTGGTCCCTGTGCCGGCTGCAGCGCTAATGCGAGACACGCCATTGCGAGACGTTAAGTCATTAACGACGTAATCGTGACCAAGATTGACGGTCGGATGAGTCAAAGCCGCTTAGACTTTTGACGCTCGTGTCGCCGCAACCATCGCTCTCCTAGGCTAATTACAGAGTCAGCTTTTATTTAGATATGGGAATGGCGAATGCCGGTCTTCATCTGGACAGTGGCGTAGAAATGCTCAGATGATCGGATTACTGCGATGAGCAGATTGCCCATTTCCGCTGCGCTATAAGTGGGTCGTGCTAAGGATCTGAGCCACAGGTGACCAACACCATATCGTATCAGACGAGCTTATGTTCATGAGTCAAGTATATATTTTTATGAGACTAGTGTTTTTTCACAGAATGATAAGATGCGGGACCACTACTGAATGCCAGAATGTACATAGTAAACCAGGGTTACACCAATAGTACTCCATTTATACAACCATCATTCTCTGGGTTGTTGGTTACTTGGGCGTATTTACCTGCACAGCAAGCAAGCACCGTCAGGATATTCGCATCAGCCATTAATCGCAGCACAGTGGAGGAGGGAGAATCAAACTGATGGAAAAGGAACCAGATAAAGCAGTCTTACCCCAAATGACTTTGCCAGCTGGTGTGACCAACCCAAGCTCGCTCACATTCACCTGGAGTAAACAACGGGATGCATGGACGGAATGAAGGGGTAACAGGATGAGGCAGTGGAGACGTGATACGGCACACGCCCCACAGAGTTACAACAACAGAAACCATGAGACCATTGCAAGGAGGAAGATATCAGGGATCCGCATGGCTGCGGCTGCATGCATGTATGCATACGTGCATGCATGCAGTGCACATGCGAAGCATGCATACCTCGATGATGGTTCCCTTGGTGATGACCCCCATGGACGAGTACATGGGGCCGTTGGGGTTCTTCTTCACACTGATGATGTCCAGATGGAACGTGCACTTGAGCTCCGGATGGGTCACATGCGCCTGCACCCATGCACACAAGCAGCGCGTTAGAAGCAGGGTGTTATAAGCAGTGCACTAGGAGCAGTAGGGCCTTAGTAGCACAGCAGTTGCTGACGCAACTTGAGAAACTGTAAGGTTGGGAGGATGCAGATGTGTGTGTGCAGGGGTGTGGTGAGCAGAGTCTACAGTGAGAGGATTGCGGGGAAAGTGAGAGTGTGGGGTGAGTGGTGTGGGGTGAGTGGGAGTGTGGAGTGAGTGAGGTGTAGGGTGAGTGTAAGTGTGGGGTGAGTAAAAGTGTGGGGTGAGTGAGAGTGCAAGGTGATTGAGAGTGTGGGGTGGGTGAGAGTGCAAGGTGAGTGAGTGTCTGGGGTGAGTGAGAGGGTGGGGTGAGTGAGAGAGCTGGTGTCGCACCTTGGTAAACCGCAGAGCCATGGGGCGGATGAAGCGCTCATACTTGGGTGGCTTACGAGTGAACCCTGGGCCCACGAAGGTGACTTTAGTCACTAGCCTCTTCCACTGCTTGGCTGCACACAAGAAGACAAAGAGAGTACCGGTGCAATCAAGGGAAGAGAAGGGAATGAGTCAGAATCCATCTAAGAGGAGGGAGCAGAATGTGCAGCTGAACCAGTTTGACTTGAACTGCATTCAGAGCCCGTTAAAAGCGAACAAGGGGTGAAGCGAAAGGCGAGCAGGCTTACTTTTCCTCTTCCCTGATCTGACCACTTTGAACATCTCATCCTCTGCTATCGGCCGAACCTGCAGCGCACGGCACAGAGGGGGGCGGCGGAGGAACATGGTTATAGTAGAAGCAATATGGCTCACGGTGCAATGTGCAGCAAGAGAGCTGCTGTGCAACGATTCACATCATCGCATGGCATGGAACTGCATATGATGCACGCCAACGCAGTGACGCATAAAGCCAGAGAAACAAACGCAGTGCCGTACCTTGGGCAGGGGCACGTCCCACTTGCCGGCCTTCTCCTTGCGCTTCTGCTTGATGGTGTTGCTGAGCACCTTGGCGCGCGCCGTCGCCTCCCTCTCCAGCAGGTACGCCGGCACCGCGCCCTCCGCCACTGGCGCGTCCGCCTTGTGCTTGTTCGTCCGCTCCGCGTGCATCGCCAGACTGAAGCGCGGAGCGGGGAGGGGGAGAGTGAGGGGGAAGGGAGGAGAAGGGGGTGGGGGAGGGGGGAGGGGGAATTGGGGAGAGGGAAGGGGAGGAACGGAGAAGAATTCGGGTATAAGGGGAGATGTGGAATTGAGAGAGCGACTGGATGGCAGTACGGATAACGAGACAAGGGTTAACAATGGGCGACAGTAAGAGACACTGGGTGACTCAGGCGAAGCTGCTTCGGTGAGGGCTTCAGACAGGGTCTGAGCGCTTCAGGGTACGAGGAGGACAGGTAACTCCAACTCACGTCTTCTTCATCGTCGCCTTTTCTTGGTACCGCTTCTTCGCGAACATCTTCGCCTTGAGACCGATAGTCTGCGAAATTCCATTCAGTAAGGCAAGTAAGAGAAAAACGATGAGAAAGGCAGGAGATAGCACGAATAGGGTCTACCAAGATCAACTGCAAAACGACGAGTGCAGCAAATCAGTCCCCATGGTTGACTCACGTTTCTCGCGATTTGGGACGTCTTGTGCACTTGGCGAGCCTCGCGCTTGCGCTTCCGCTCGAAGTGATCCAAGCGGAAGCCATGGCGCTTCTGATGCAGCTCAATGTGCTCGCCCTGCGGCTGCACCGCTCAATGCCACGGGAGAGGAAGGTCGAGAGGGGAGGGGTTTGGTGGGGACGGAAGGGGTGGGGGTTTGCGGGGGAAGCAAAGTGGAAGACGGAGTTAATTTCGAGATTGCGACACATGCGCCGCTGAAGAATACTATATAGGAATACCGACGAAATCGACTAAATTGGAGGACCAACTTCTTTCGAAAACAATGAGTCGCATGTGCGACGGGAATGGATATTTTCGCGGATAAAGCACGCATATCAGCAGAAGTGCGTACCATGGTGGGCGAATCAGTCCTTGCGGACACACGCTAGGCAACTTGCGTGAGAAGTCTTCTAAGACGAGAAGAGCTTTCTTAGGCAATCTCTGGGGAGAGCGTTCCGTGCATTAGGAGCAAGGAACTGAAGAAAGGCAGACTCTAGGGCTCAACGGTCAGTACTTTGAGGCTGGGGTCAGGATGGTGGAGGGTGGGAAATATCATAATATCATGCTTCTCAAATTAAGGTAGATTACAAAGCGGGACACTGTATACAGTGTATTCAGATAATATTTTCGGGGTGCATAATAAAGGATACACATTGCCGTATTCTCCCAGTGGTTTCTCCAATTTCGCAGACCCTTCGCAACGTACTGGCATGGAAGGCAGCTGACCATTCCCCGTCGCCGCAGAGCCGCATCACCGTTTCGTCCCTTTCGTCAAAACCTGACCAAATCCAATCGGCGGCTGTGAACGGTGCTTGTGAAGACTCGGCACGAGTCCATGCGACCGATGCACCTAGGAATTGCCGACCAAGTTCCGTGGTGAGGTGACTGGAGTTCCAAGAACAGCAAGGCCTGGGTGAGGCAGTTGAGCAGCTCTAGAAGCGAAGAGTCTATCCACCCTCCATAGAGAGCTGAATTCGCCTTGCAGCACCGGACTATCGGTGGATCTTTACAAAGCTACGTATTGTGGAAAGATTGCGAATAGCAGACCGCCTTGTATCCTCCGTTCGATTGCCTTCTTTAGTACGCGAGTTTTGGCCCAGTCCAGTCTTTATTTATTGTTCGCGGACCCTTTGTGGACGCACCAATTGACGAGCAAAAGGCGTAACGTCTCGACGTGTGACTATGGTGCGGTGGCACGTGCCAGGTCTGTCGACCAGTAGCAGCTCGAGCATAGATGGCGTCGCGGTGAAAGGCGACACGGCAAAGCTGCAGAAGCTTCTCAGAAAGGGCGCGGACGTGAATGCGCGTGCGCGTGAGCCGGTGCTGGTGGGACGGCGCCCGCTGCATGCTGCCGTGGCCGCAGGAAACGAGGCCATGGTCGAGGCGCTCCTTGCTGCGGGTGCTGACGTGGACGGAAACGACGATGTGAGTAATACCCTCGCTTGCAACGCCATGCAACTGCATTTTCACCCTCCCTACCTTCCTATCCCGTTCCATCCGGTCGGACACTTGCTTCCCCCGACTAATGCGCATCCCTCGGTCACAACGTGCGTGATTTCGCTGCAGTTCGGCCGCACGCCCCTTCACTACCTGGCGGCAAGTCCGTCCCCGCGTCTGGGCATCCTCTCGCATCTGCTCAATGCCGGCACCGACTACGCCATCCGAGACAGGGTAAGTCTCCTTCCACTTCGTGCCTTCAATTGCTTCCGCGTTCGCCCGCGCATTTGAATCCTCGCGCTGAATTCATCCTCTTTCCGTTCTCCTCCTGCCAGAGCGGCAGCATGCCCATCCACGTGGCGATGTCAGCAGGCCACGTGGCAGTGCAGGAGGCGCTGACGGCGTTCGCGTTGGAGCACAGTGCGGAGTTTGCGTTCTACGAGTCGGGCCAGTGGCGCCCCTTCGACGGCGACGCCTCGCGCCTGCTGGGCTTTGAACTCGCGGAGGGCGTCGGCTTTGCTACGCTCGCCACTGCCACCGGCGCACACTACATCGTCGACTTCCAGCAACAGCTGCAGGTGAGGGGTGCTTGTTGACATCAGCACAACCAGAGAAGTCCAAGAACAGGCAAGGGAACTTTCTAGTCAGAATCTACCCTCGAATTGATGCATGCTGTCTATTGTCTTCTCGCTCATTGTTGTCCGCCTCCATCCCACACTTGTCTCCTCCCGTCTGCCTCCCGTCGGTCCACCCCATCGACCACCCGGCCGTCGGCAGTTCAACGTGTCGTCTTTCTTCTGCAAGTCAATCAGCTGGCGAGTGCTGCCCAGCGGCCGCTGGAACCGCCCCTCCAACCCGCACCAGGGGCTGCACCCGGGCAGCCAGGACCCGCGCCTCATGTACCGCTACGACCAACAGCTGCGCTCCCTCGCCCAATCAGGCGTCGACATCTGCCCCGTCTACTTCTCCCTCACTGGCCTTCCTCCACACCCCTTGCTCTCGCAACCGGCGCCCAGTGCTCAGTTCGTCTCGCGCCTCTCCTCGTCGCCCCGCCGAGACGGAGAGCATGGTGATGGTGAAGACGATGATGGTGAGTATGGTGATGATGGTGATGACGGTGATGCGCAGAGGCCGTCTTCTTCCTCTGCTGGAGTGGCTGCAGCTGCTGCTGCCCTCCCCGCTGCTCTACACATGTCTGATGACCTCAGCAGTGATGTCCCTGACTCCGAACCAAACACTCCTTTGGCTCGGCGCCAACCAGGGCAACGTGCCGCTGATTCGGATGACGACGAGCTGCCGAGGCTGCAGGTTCTGAGGTCTGGCACAGATGAGTACGACGAGATTGTGGCTCGGTTTGTGGCTGGAATGCTACGGGACAGAAATGACCGCCCGAACATCAGCTTCCGGCAGAACAGTGTGAGTGGAGGGGTGGTGGAGCAGGAGGATGGCATGAGGCCCGTGACAGTGTCGTCAGTGCAGCAGGTGCTGCTGCCTGCTGCCCGCACTCAAGCCTTTGAAGAAGCTGTGAGAGAGCTTAAGGGAGCCAGAGGGGGCGATGGCAATGTGCGGCTGGCATGGCACGGGGCCCCTCGTATGGCAGTGGATCGCATAGTGTCGAGCGGTTTCTCCCTCTCCTCCTCCGCTGCCGCCCGCAACGGCAGGCTGTATGGGGATGGAGTGTACCTGGCACCGGAACAGAGGGCCTACACGAGTGCAGAGTTTGCAGTGGCGGATAGCGAGGGGCGCAAGCACATGCTGCTGTGCCGTGTGGCGCTTGGGTCGATGGAGGCAATCCCGTTTGGGTCGTCCCAGCAGCGGCCTAGCAGTCTTCGGTTTGACACGGGAGCTGACAATGTCAATGACCCTTCTCGCTATGTGGTGTGGGAAGAGGATGTGAATGATTTGGTGGTCCCCACACATGTGGTTTCCTTTCGCTATTGTTGAAGGCGCCACAGTTGTTACCCAATCACCATTCCTTTGCTCCCAAATATTGATGTTTATGATGTTGCTACGACCAGTGTGTCTTAGTTTTAAAGCCCGAGTCCCAAATTGCGAGGCGCGTGGGTCAAGCTTTTAAAACTTGACGGTGAGGAGCTTGTAAACTTGAAAGAAGTTCAGTTGCAATTTGGGACTTTAGAGCTCCCACCAGGGGGAAGACGCGTTTTTGGCTGTGTGTTGCGAAGAAAACGAATATGACGAAATAGGACCTGTCGCCACACCCCAAAAACAAAACTTCCTCCCCGTCAACCTTTTAAAACTTGTGCAATTTGGGCCAACGGCTTTAATGCTGAGAAGGCTTCCATTTGGTTTTCAGGCAACTTCTTGGGTGACTTGCTCAATGCAACGGAGGCAAAATGATTACAAGATTCATAAAAGTTGCAGGTGTAGCACAATGCTGCCTAGGTGTGCTTTTGGTGATTATTCTGGGAGGATTGTACCACGTCCAGCTAACGACAAGTGCTGCACGTGGTGGTGGTGGCAGTGCGTGAGGATGACGGATTTGGTGGAGGTGAAAAAGGTGTTGCAATTGGGGTACGGTTGGGTGGGATGGGGGGTGGAGCTAGAATGAGAAAGGTTAGGAACGTTTCCGATGGTTTCAGTAGGGTGGGCTGCGCTACACGCGCTCGTGTTGGTCCATCCAACCAGCTTGCCACTGCCAGCCAGCCCTTCCTTTCAGTCACACGCTCTTCCGCCCCCACGCTCGCCCCTCCCTCCCACCCACTCCCACCTCACTACAGTACCCTTAGCCCCCCTAGTTATCAAAAGTTCACATTTTTGCCTAGCATTTGCAGGAGGCTCCTAGATTACTTGACGAACAAGTTCTCCTAGCTCCATTTCCACATATCTCCTCTTATTTCCGTCTTCTCCTGTTAACGACGTTCTAGTCAGCATAACCATATTTTGTTTATAGGGGGTTTCGCCATGGATGAACTGTCGGCGCAGAACGTAGCGTCGCAGCTGCTCGACCTTATTCGCACGCGACGGCAGCCGATATCGCAGGAATCGTCGCAAGGACTGTCGCAGCCGTCGTCGGTAGGCGATGCACCGCGAAACTTATCGCAGCAAGTCGCGAGCGGTCGACCCCCTCTAGACCCCTCGACCTCCTCGCCGAAGCTCGTCAGCACATCGGACTACGTATCTGTCTCGGCCGTTAAATCTGCTTCGGCTGTTCTCGGTTCCGCGCATGTCCCCGCCCACTACTCACTTAGCGCCCGGTCCGCCACCGCGGAGGTCACGAGCTCGTTAGTCACGCCGTCCGCCTCCGCGCATGGCGGAACCTGCGCGCAGCCGGCGGAAGACCTGCGGAGCGGGAAGAGAATGCGGACGGAAACCGGCGTAGTTGACGCGGCGTGGGGGGGAGGCGCGGTAGGTCCGGCGACGCCGGAGCACGCGGGGTCGGACTCGTCCGCGCCGGGCGGCGCTTGGGACGTGAGCAACGTGCAGATATCGCAGCTGCTACAGGAGATGGACATGTTCTTTCCGCCCGACGACGACGATCTCAGCGCCTTCGCGCTCGCCTTCGACGACGACCCGCTCGACGCCAGCGCCGCCGCGAACGCCATCGCCGCCGCGAATGGCGCTGCGCCTGCGTTTCCCGCGCAGGACTCCATCGGGGAGATTCTGAACGGCCTCTCGCCTGCCGGTCCACCGTGCGCCGATTTGCCGGCTGCTGTTCCTGCCGTGCCGGCCGTTGGTGTTCCGGCCGTTAGCTTGCCGGGCGGCCCGGTGCCCGACGTGCATGCCATGCGCCGCGCAGACTCCGCGGACAGCGCGGGGATTACTCCGCAAAGCCTGTCGGGGCTTGGTAGTCCGCATAGCAGCCTGACCGCGGGTGAAGCGGGCGGAAGCACTGGCGGAAGCGCCGGAGGCGCTCCGACGCTGACGTCCGTTGAGAGTGCGGAACTGCTGGGGGACTTTTCGCGCGTTTGCTGGGTTGGGGAAGCGGAGAGGCCCGCGGAAGGGGGAGCGGCGGAGCAAGAAGGGGGAGGGGGACAAATAGGGAAAACTGCGCTTGCGGGGAGCGCGGGAACTGGGAAAGGCACGGGCGGGTGGCGCGAGCAAGTACCTGCCACGTCAGCGTTTTCGGGGGAAAACGGTGGCGGGGGGGATAATGGCGCAAGCGGAAGCGGCAGGACTGGGGGCGCGATTCCCGGCGCGCGGTCGCTGAGTTTGGGGAGCCAGTTCCGCCGGCAGCAGATCCTGCAGACGCTCTCCTCTCCGCCCGCCGCCCCGCAGCCGCTGCAGTCACAGGTGCAGCAGCAACCGCAGCAGCAACAGGCTGGGATGCGCCCCACGGGCGCAATGCCTCCCCCCATGCTGCCCCCTCGGCATCCCCAGCAGCAGGCGCCACCCCCCATGGCGCAGCAGGCGCAGCTGGGGCAGCAGCAGGGCGCAGAGCAACAGCAGGGAAACCGTTGGGAGGCGGAGGCATTGCCTACAGGGGGGCCGCTGGGCGGTGGGGGAGGAGGAGGAGGAGGAGGAGGAGGAGGAGGGGGAGGGGGAAGAGGGGGCGGGCTGCTGAGAGTGCCGTCGGACTATCTAAGGCTGCTGGCGGAGAGCCAGGATGGGGGGAAGCGCGCACGGGGGGCGGAGAGCGAGTGGCGTGCGCTGCAAGTGAATCGCATGCTGCAGGCGCAAGCGGAGCAGCAGTCGCTGCAAGCACAGCAGCAGCAGCAGCAACAGCTGATGCTGCGAAACCAGCAACAGCAATCGTTGCAGCAGCAGCAACAAGAGCAGCAGTGGCAGGGGCAGCAAGAGCAGGTAGCACACGGCGGGTCAGTGGTGTTGAGTGCGGGCATGAAGAGCGATTCTGTGGCCAGTGCCGACATCACCGCGCTCCTCGAGGCCTACCCCCTCCCCCCGCAACCGTTGTCAGCACAGCAGCAGCAGCAGCAGCAGCAGCAGCAGCAGCCGTTGCAAGTGCAGCAGCAGCAGCAGCAGCAGCTGTTGCAAGCACAGCAGCAGCAGCAGCAGCAGCCGTTGCAAGTGCAGCAGCAGCAGCAGCAGCAGCTGTTGCAAGCACAGCAGCAGCAGCAGCAGCAGCAATCGTTGCAAGCACAGCAGCAGCAGCAGCAGCACCAGCAGCAGCAATTGCAAGCACAGCAGCAGCAGTCATTACAAGCACAGCAGCAGCTACAGCCGTTACAAGCACAGCATCAGCAATCGTTACAAGCACAGCAGCAGCAGTCGTTGCAAGCACAGCAGCAGGGATGGAACCAGTCTCCTCCCTTTCAACCACAAGCAGTCCCCCAACACCCCAACGGACTGCAGCATGTGCCACCCGCACATGCCATGCCACTCACACAACCACCACCAGTAGCGTCTGCAAGCCTTCCTCAAGGGGCCTCACCAGGGGAGGCAGGCACATCTGACCACACGCCTCTGGCTGCGCCCCTCCCTCCGCCCTTCCGCCCAGTGACGTCCCCCATGGAGGTGGCGCTCATGGAGTGTGCAGCGGCCGTGGACAGGCGCGACCTGGGGCAGGCGCACTCCCGCATGTCCGCCCTCGCACACCTCGTGTCACCGCACGGCACCGCACAGCAGCGCCTGGGGTACTACTTTCTTGAGGCGCTGGCGGCTAGGATTGCGGGGACTGGGTCGGCTATTTACAAGGTGGGTGGGTGGCCAGTCTGCCCGGTGAGCCAGGCCAAGCGATCTCGTGCTCAATTTATCTCAGCCGTGCTTGCACTGCGCAAGGCAGCTTGGGACGCCACTCTAAAGGGTTGCAGGGATCCGTGAACACCTCCAACCCCTTCTAACTCCCAACTCCCACTTCCCTCTGATTCCTTTCCTTCAGGCTCTTCAGTCCGGCAGGATAGCCAGCCAGCCCCATCCAGCAAAGCGATGCTGTTGCCCGTGTTGTTGTTGTGTGAGGGAAATGTCGACGTGCCTTAAGAGCTGGCCATGTGCGTGGATCAATGTAATCTCAACCCCGCTTCTCCCTTTCCACACACACCTTGCTCATCGCTCCCTTTCAGGCCCTTCGTTTGCGGCAAGGCAGCCAGCCCGGCCCATCGAGCAAGGCGATGCTCTCAGCCGTGCTGGAGTTCTGTCAGGCAATTGTTGACGCGTTTCAGAAGCCATGAATGCCCGTAGATCAAAGTAACTTCAAGCCATGCTTTTACCCCCCGCGCCTCTCTCACCCCTTCTTGTCAGGCACTGCAATCTCGCCAGAGCAGCCAACCAGGTCCATCCAGCAAAGCGATGCTGTCGGCATGCTGGTGTTCTGTGAGGCAATCATGGGGTCGCCTGTGGCGCATGGAGCAACACAACTTTAACCATCCTAAACCCCCTTGACCCTTGTCTCTCTCTCCCCTTTCCCTCAGGCCCTTCAGTCGCGGCAGGGCAGCCAGCCCGGTCCATCGAGCAAAGCGATGCTGTCAGCCGTGCTGGTGTTCTGTGAGGCGTGCCCGTGGATCAACTTTGGGCACCTGGTGGCGAACGGCAGCATCCTGGAGGCGGTGGAGGGCGCAAGGAGGGTGCATGTGATCGACCTGGGCATCACTCACGGCACACAGTGGCCCACGCTGCTCGAGAGCCTCGCCACTCGCCCTGGCGGCCCGCCCCACTTGCGAATCACGGGGGTGGATGCGCCTCTCACCGGGCTCAAGCCTTCCTCGCTGGAGGTGTGTAGGATAGGATGCGTGGGATGGGTGGGCGGAATGGGATGGGCGGGTGGGATGGCTGGGTACTTGTGCAGGTGCTTGGGTGGGTGAGAGGGGGGGGAGGGGTGACGGTGCATTGGTTGTGCGGCACCGGCGCGACACGTGGGGAGCAGGGCGGGGTGGGTGCATCGCTCACTGGACTCGAGCAGTGCTGCCTGCACCTGCATTGCGTGGCTGCGTGGCTGTCTGCGTGCTTGCTATGCGCATGGGTGCATGTCGCTTCACTGCCATCACGCCACACCAACCTGTTTGACTTTCTCCTCTTCACCTTTCCATGCCCTCCCCCTACTTCTCCCCCCTCCCTCCTCCCCCATGTGTGCCGCACTTGCATGGCAGGAGACGGGGCGGCGGCTGTCGGCGTTTGCGCGGGTGATAGGAGTGCCGTTTGAGTTCACGCCCATCACAGAGCAGCTCGACGACCTCAAGGTGCCCACCACCACCACCTGCCTTCCTGCCTGCCTGCCTGCCCGCTCGCCTGCCTGCCTGACCGCCTGCCTGCCTGCCTGTCTCAGGATCAATATGCCTGCCGTGCGCGTCTGTTGCTCTGCACAGGAGTTCTCTTGCACGCCAGTCCGTTTCTCCGCCCATTTCCCCCTGCCCTTCTATCTCCCTCTGCCTCCTCGCACTGCAACACACATGCTGTCCTCCTCTCCCGCCCTCCCCCCCTCACCACGCACTCTTCTCTGCTTCCCCTACTTGTAACCTCCTGAGTCCGAGCAATAAGCAGTGAGGAGTGACGAGGTTCTGATGATCAACTGCCTGCTCAGCCTGAATCGGATGCTGCTTTCCCGCTCGCTCTCTCCTCATCTCTCTCCTCTCCCCTCATCGGTCCCCCCCATACCCCACTTTTTCACCCCTCCAGCCGGAGCAGTTTACAGGGCGCGGCGAAGGGGTGTTGGTGGTGGACTGCCTGCCTGCTGCGGCTGCACCAGATGCTGCTCTCCCCCTCATCTCTCTCCCTGTCCCCTTGTCTATCCCCTCCCCTTCGCTCTTCCCGCATCTGTCCCCTTGCCTGCCCTTCTCCAACACCCTTCCAGCCGGAGCACTTTGCGGTGCGCAGTGACGAGGTGCTGCTGCTGAACTGCCTGCCACGTTGCACCAGACACGCTCTCACCCTCATGTTCCCCCTCATTTGTCCCCTCCCTCCCCATTCTCCTTCTGACCCCTTCGTCTCTCCATCAATCTGTCCCTTCCCATTCCTTGCAGGCTGATCATTTCGCAGTGAGGAGCGACGAGGTGTTGGTGGTGAACTGCCTGCTGCGGCTGCACCAGATGCGAGACGAGAGCAGCGCTCCGCACGTGCCCAGCCAGCGCAACTGCACGCTCCAGATGATCCGCTCCCTCAACCCCGCCATCGTCACTCTCATTGAACAGGTGTGGGGGAATTACAAGGTGGTGGGGACAGGTGGAGGAGGGTGGGAGGGGTGGGGTATGGGGGGCAGAATCGGGGGTGGGTGGGTAGGTGCAGGGTCTCGTGCCCAGCCAGCGCAACTGCACGCTGCACATGATCCGATCGCTCAACCCTGCCATTGTGATACTCATTGAACAGGTGGGGGGGAAAGGGGAGAGAGTGAAGTGTGGAGTGTGGGGTGTGGGAGATGAGGGGAGAACGTGGGGTATTTGAGGTGTATGCGAAAGCGGGACTCTGTTTGGAGATTGTTAAATTCACTGCCGCTCCTGTTTCTTTCCGCGGTTGAGGATACGAAGGGAGATGGGCTGTGGTGGGTCGCTGTCACAAGTGGGGAGGAGGGAGGGTGGCTAACCCGCCCGACTCCTTGTCTCCCTCCCCATGTTCGCCCCCCATCCTTTTGTATGAGGATCACACGCGTTTTGCTGATTGGTTCTCTCACCCATTCTCCTACCGCCCTCCTCCCCCCCTCCCCACCAGCACGCGGATCACAACATCCCCTCCTTCCTCTCGCGCTTCCGAGAAGCACTACACTACTTCAGTGCGCTCTACGAGTCGCTAGACGCCAGCCTGCCATGGAACAGCACGGAGCGTGCGCTGGTGGAGGAGCGCATATTCGGGCGCAAGCTGGTCAACATCATCGCCTGTGAGGGGCGCGATCGCGTGGAGAGGCACGAGAGCCACGCCAGGTGGCATGAGCGCATGCAGCGGTGCGGGTTCGTGCCGCGCGCTGTCAGCGCTGACGTGGAGGAGAACGCGCATGTGAGTGCTGACGTGTACTGTTGATGGGAAGTGCACCCACAGCGTTGGTGTTCGTTGCAGGTTGACTCACCCTCTGGTTCGTAACCTTTCAAGTAACTACTCACATCTAGCATGCAGCATTGGTGTTGGCATGCATTCTCATGTCGCACACGAGCACCTATTGCCAGCTTCCCTGTGCCCACTAACTCACCATCACATCTCCCCCCATAACCTCCCTGTGTGCACGCACCCCATAACCCACCGCTGCCCGCTATTCCCACAGCTGCTGCTGAAGCGGTACAGGGAGGGGTACGGCATAGAGCGGCGCGGCGATGCGCTCATCATCACGTGGCGCCACGAGCCCTTCTTCGCCGCCTCCAACTGGTGCTGCCGCCCCGCCGCCCTGCCGCCACCCCCCCTCACACCCGCCCCCGCACCCACACCCACAGCCACAGCCACACCCCCCCTCACTCCCGCCCCCACACTCACACCCACTGCTGTGTTCACTGGTGCTGCCAATGCTGCGCCTGCTGCTGCAGCTCTGCCCTCCACCGACCCTGCTCCCTCTCCTGCTGCTGCTGGCTCCAACTCCAACGCACTCCCGTCTCAGCCTGCCGCCCACCCCACATCGCCTGGATTCGTGCCTTCCAGTGGGTAGAGCAAGGGGGGTTGGGCTTCTGAGTTTCCTGCTGCGCAGTCAGCAACTGCATAGTAACTTCTAACTGTAAAGCCTTTTGATATGCAAAGGGCACAGTTGCTGGCTAGATACTGTGCCTGAGTTTAATGTACAATAAATGGTACTTATATTACATGTGCTAATGTGTTGTACAACAAATAAATTCCTAAGTAATACCACACAAGGTGCTACCTCACCATCCACACTGGAGGTGTATGATAAATCACATCAAGCAGGAGGTAGCGTCAGTATACCTACTCTACTAGGTGCACCATGTGCACGCCACTCCACACCACACCACACATCAAGGGCGCACGCCCCACACACATCTAATCTAAGCTAGCATGGGCCTCCTCGCCACGCTCACACACAAAAGAATGTGCAGGCCATGCCTGGCTACTGCCGTTGGGAGCTGCCTGCTCCTGTGCTGTGCGTGCACAAGCCTGCTGCTCAGGCATGCATGCAACTCCGAGTGCAACCCAGAGTCCAACCCGTGCACCACCCCTCTCAGTCAACAGTATCGTCAACCTCAACCTCAACCGTCCCTCTCCCCAGCGCCTCTGCACAACTTGCACGCTCAGCACCTGCTACATCTGCTACAGCCGCTTGCTGCAGGTGCTACAGCGCTGCTACAGCCGGTTCAGATCCTGCTGCACCCACAACAGCCCCTGCTGCTGCCAAGGTCCTGCTACAGCGAGCGAAGGTTCTGCTGTGGCGCGGCTACAGCCCCTGCTGCAGCTGCACGTGTTGAAAGTGAGAGTGGTGGTATGCAGAGCGAGCGAGAGGCGAGAACACACTGGGCGAGTGCTGGCAGGGGGACGCGGGGGACATGTTGAGCGCGTGCGTGGAGATAGGGGGGAGCGGACCAGACCCAGTGGGCGGAGTGAGCTGCCCGTACTGTCCTGCCTTCCACGCCCTCTGCTGCTGCTGCGGCTGCAGCGGCGGCAACTGTGGCTCAGGGGCGGCGTATCTACTACTGGGAATACCCGAGCGCCTGCGGGATAATCCGCCGCCGCCGCCGCCACCGCTGCTGCTCCTTTCCATTCTCCCCTCCTCCTCCTCGCACTCCCAGATTGCCCCCGGACTGTTTTCCCCGCTTCCCCAGTCTCCGCTTCCGCCTCCGCTGTCCCCCCGGGCCATCCGCGAGCCCGACTGCGCACGTAGCGCCACGTCACCGCTCTCTAGACCCGCGAAATCCGGGAAGCTCATCGACTTGCCCATGCTGGCGCCCAGCGCGACCCGCACGTCCCCCGCGCACAGCAAGCGCGGGGGAACCGCAGGCGTGGGGGCGACGTCTTGCGCTTGGAAGTTGGGGGGAAGGCGGCGAAACGTTTGCGGGGGAGCGATGGAGGAGGGGGAGAGGGCGAGGGAAGACATGTCAATTGCGAGCGAAGCGCGCCGAGTCAGCCGGGGAGGTCCGGATGGGCTGGCGGGCTGGCTGGAATCAACGGCGGGGAACGTTCGCGATAGGTAACCCGACGAGGAAGCCCCTGTCGACGCAGCATTTGACAGAGCGGCGCGTTGCCAGTGCTGTCGCGGAGCCGCGTCCGCAGCGAAGCGCGAATTGCCGTCCCACTGCGTTTGGTATGACTGCGGGTGCGAGTGCGATTTCGATGACCAGAGCGACTGGGATGGCGATTGCGTCTCAGGTTGCCATTCCATACTCCCGTGCCTCGCGTGAAAACAGCGACGCTGATGCGGATGATCCGGCGATTCGAGTTCGTCGGGGTGCTCAGCAGGGGGCTCTAGGTAGGAATAACGCGCAACGGCCGCCTCGACGGACCCGGGCTCAGCAAGGTTCTGCGCCGACGCGCTTCGTCGCATACCCAGGCGTGATGCCGGAGGTCGCTTCGGAGCCGGCGCAAACGGAGCCGGCGCAGGCGCCGCCGGCGGCGATGGAACGGGCACGCTCTCCAGATCTTTGGCTGAGAAGCTGCGACGGATGCCGCCGCGGCCGTCGTTGCGCACGTCGAGGCTGTAGCGCGGCGCGGAGTTGGCGCGAGACGGCAAAGATGGGCGGGCGGCTGTTGATGAATGGAGAGAGATGCTGGCGCGGCGCAACTGCGACGGACCATGGCGAGGGGGAGAGAGGAAGCACGGATACAGCGTCAGAGGGCGATTCATGATCCAAGTCAACGGATGGATAACGACGCGCCCAACGGTAGCTCCGAAAATGATGGCGGTATTACCAATGCTCATGCAACGAAAGGCGAGGCAGTGTTGATGACCTTCACTCCGCATTCCGCAGAAGCCAAGGTCGCAAGGCTCACCTCTTTCGCCGTCCACGATGCGTCGCTCGCGGGCGACCGTTGATCCGGCGAGCTCTTGTCATAGTCACCATAATCGCGGGTATACTCGGCCAATCCGCCGGTCGTATCGAGCCGCGGCGGGGGCACGGCGGTGCCTGGATCGGTCTCCGAGGGCGCGTGGAGGAAGTAAGAGTTGCCGGGCCGCAGGAGTTTCTCGGGCGGGAGATGCAGGCGCGCGGAGTTGTGCGATCCGACCATGAAGCCCGGATAGTCCTTCATCACGCGCGCCACGCGCACCGCGTCCGCGTATATGCGCATGCCGCCGTCGGGCAGCATGAGCAGCACGGTCTGCCCGCGCTTGAACAGCTTCAGCGCCATGGCCGGCATTTTGGGGACCTACACGGGGTGACCGGACCGCGCTTGGGAAAGCGATGGACAAGCTAACGGTTCGAACTAGGACTGCTGAGCTAAGTGTGCCTCGAAGGACCTCAACCAGGAGGGGGACCTGGGAAATACGAAAAGCGGGAAATGAGGGAGAGTGGAGAAGTGATAACGTTCAGGAGGCAACAGAAATACGAGAGTGGAGAGAGGCGTGGTGATTTACAGCTGGAAGGTGGTCCACCGACACACGCCACGTGGTCCTCTGAGTCGTGTCGCTCGAAGAGCATCTTAGAACGGGAAGTGAGGCAATGGATAGCTTACTGTAGTGTGAGATGCTGCGGGGTGTGTTGCCAAAAAAATCAGGCAGCAAATCGTCCCAGCTGGGATGATGGGCATCGCTGAAATCACTCAACGAATTGAATGTCGCGTAGAGAATCGTTCTGCAAATGCGAGCGTACCGAACAGTGCACTAGTACGATAAACGACACGACACTAGTGCGCCTGAAAGCTGCCTGTCGCAATTTCCTACGATTCTGGGATGGTTCAGAGCAGGGCTGACGATTCAAGGGCAAATGCCCTTAATGCCCTGAACATTAAGGGTTGGGTCCGGCCCAGCTTCCGAATTTTAAGGGTTGGCTTTGAGGGCAGCCCGTCCCCGCAAAGTGCTGGTTGTGGGCCTAACCCGGATTTCAAGTGCAGATCCCGCGGTTAGCCCTTATCGTCCCATATTAATACCTCCCTCCCTCCCATTCCCTCACCAGTCCCCCCACCTCCTCCCAGCCACTCCCCTCTTCCTTTTCCCATCCCCGTCAAATTCATCGACATGTTTCGTACCTCAGCCTATTGCCTAGCTGGCTCTTAGTAGTTTTCCTAGGATAACGGACGGACCCGAAGAGATGAAGGTTTTCCTTAGCGAAAGTGCAAAAAATTTGGTAGCCCTGATTTCAAGTGCCAGGTTTGCTCTCAGCCCGTAAATTTCAGGGCAACTTTTGGGGCACCTCAGCCTCTCAAGTTCTGGCTCCAAACCAATCGACAGCCCTGGTTCAGAGCCCTCTCAGCCACTCGTTTGTTTCTGGGTCGCGGCAGCGGCGCGAGAGACTAGAGCTCCCCTGGTTTGGACGAAGACAAGTCTCGCCACTGCCCGGTAGGGCCAATCATCGAAAAGCAGTCAAGTTGTTCAGCCAACAGCCCGTCAGTGCTTCGATTCAAGGCCACATGCGTGGGACTCGTTTTGTAACACCAGCAAGGGACAGGGATTGCCCTTGTCACCAAACCGAAACCTGGTCCCTGCTTTTGACATCGTTGAAGTGTGACCACACATTGAGGTTTCGTCCCAACCCAACGTCTCTCACTGCAATCAAGGGGCACACTTCTGCAGTGCGTGCATGCGTCACCGCTGCCAAACAACTGTGCGCTGAACGTGTCCACACTGGAACTTGCCTTTCTTCTGGAACCAACAGAATTGATGAGTCAAATAATCCCCAAAATTCCACAACCGTGATAAGCGAAGCAACAGCTCCTGTTACAAGACAACTGTATACTACAAAACGTATACAAGACAACTTTAGGAAAACAAGCCCGGCAGTGATTTTTTTCTTTCCTTACAACGGTTGATTCGAAGTACCTCTTCCTTATTCTGTGTCTTTCCATAATCAATAAAAATGGTGATTCTTCACTTACTATGAGTGAAGTGAACTCTAGGGCTACACATTACAGAGAGGTGGAGGAAGTATACATATCATATTTACTTCTCTAAGACCATATCGAAGCGTCACTTCTCTAATATACAGCAACGTGCACTGCACATATCGAGGTCTCACTTATCCCAACACCTGTCATGTCAGATCAATCAGACCAATCCCCTCCACCCCCAACCGCGCAATGCCACGTTCCAAGTCGGCCACACCGGAGATGGCAAGTATTTTTCTCTTCACTCCTTAGCGCGGTCCGTCGGTTCGCTTTGCAGCAGCTGAATGTTAAGAGTTACGTATGGCGGCGGAAGATACATGTCCCGTGCCAGGCGCCGCGTCCAACGGCGCAGCATCCGCGCCCCCATCAGCATGTCCAGACACTTTAGGGGAGCCAGCTGGCGCTCGTGCGCCGTATGATTGCGGCGTACGCCTAAGCGCGCCGAGCAGCTTGGCGGCGCAGCAGGGCGGGCGCGTGGCGGGGGGAAACGAGGAGGCGGTGACGGCGGGGTCGGTGCACCGTGCCATTGTGCGACACGCGCACTGCTCGCTCGCGTGCGGCGATCGCGACAACCTGTCGCCGGGCGACGTTTACCGCGCGGCTGCGATGAGCGTGCGAGACCACCTGATCGCGCGGATGGATGCGACGGAACGCGCTTACGACGACGCGGTGAGGCGCGCAAATCCGAGCGAATTGAGGGTTGGAGACTGAATTCGGATGAAAGATGACTAGTAGGGCGGTTGAGATGGTCGCACAGAGGAGAGAAAGCTTCGTCGTACGTGGATTTCATTAGAGAATGCGTTTGTGGACGGTGGCTGTGAAATGTTCCTCTTTCCCTTCCCATCCCGCCCTCTCTCGCCCTCTCTCCGTGCGTGTGCGTGTGCGTGTGCGTGTGAGCGTGCGCGTGCGCGTGCGCGGCGAGCAGGGGTGCAAGCGGGTGTACTATCTATCAATGGAGTACCTTATAGGGCGGATGCTGCAGCTGGCAGTCACATGCCTCGGCCTCGATGTAAGCCCGCCGCACTCTCGCCCTCGCTCTCACTTGATCCGTCCTCGTTTCGAACCGTCAACACATGCCCCACTCACGCGCCCTTCCACACACGTGCAACTTCTCCACCGCACCCTGTTACCGCCTCACTCCCGCTGCTCCCCGTGCAGCAACCCCCTCATCTCCACCCCCCCCCCCCCACCACCACCTTCTCCTTGCCCCCCCACTTCTCGCACCCACCTGCTCCCTCCTCTTCTCTTTCTTCCCCCTCAACAGGAGCAGTACATCAGCTGTGCGTGTCGATGGAGGAAGCAGTGGAGGAGGAGCGCGCCCCTCCCCACCCCCTTTCTCCCATCCCACCCCACCTCCCCCACACAACAGGAGCAGTACAGCGCAGCGCTGCAGCAGCTGGGGGTGAGCATGGAGGAGGCGGCAGAGGAGGAGCGCGACCCGGCGCTGGGCAATGGCGGGCTGGGCCGCCTTGCTGCATGCTTCCTTGACTCCCTCACCACTCTCAACCTCCCCGCCTGGGGGTAAGCTCCGCTGCTGCTGCTGCTGAAGTACTGGGTTGAATGTGCATGCTTGGCGATCAGTGCTGCCACCCTCCCTGCCACCATGTGGCATGTGCTCCCACTCGCTCCTGCCCTTCGCCTGCTCCACCCCACCCACGCAGCTACGGAGTGCGGTGCCGCTATGGCATGTTTGAGCAGCGCGTGACATTGACAGGCCATACATTCCCACTCCCTCCTCTCTTGCTGCCTGCCCTTCCCCTGCCCTCCCCTCAAGCAGCTACGGAGTGAGGTACTGCTTCGGCATGTTAGAGCAGCGCATGACACAGACGGGCCATATAATCCCACTTCCTCCTTTCTTTCTACTTGCCCCCTTCCTCCCAACCCCCTTTCCCCACAAGCAGCTACGGGGTGAGGTACCGCTACGGCATGTTTGAGCAGCGGGTGGCGGCGTTGAGGCAGCAGGAGGCGCCAGACGCGTGGCTGCACCCGTGGGGGTGCCCCTGGGAGATCCCGCGCCCCCACGTGCGCCACCCCGTGCGCTTCTTTGGCCACGTGGCGGTGCGTGTGGAGGGCACGCGCACGCGGTACCGGTGGGAGGGCGGCGAGCAGGTGGAGGCGGTGGCGAGCGACATCCCCGTGCCGGGCTTTAAGACCGCCTCCGTCAACCGCCTCCGCCTCTGGCGCTGGTGAGGGAGGGGGACGAGGAGGGGAGGGGTATTGGTGAGTGAGGAGTGGTTACTTGGACTGTGAGAGGGAAGGGGTGCAGAGCTGAGTGTGTTGTGCTCTGCTTCGTGCCTACATTCTGTTGTGCTGTTATGTCTGTTGGATATTGCGTTGCGCCCATGCTGTGCCCTGCTCCGCGGTGCTGTGCGGTGCACCCCTTTGGTTGGTGCCATGTAGACAAGTCCCTATGCATGCTCCCTCCGTTTCAACAATCCACACCCGTCCCACCAGCGAGCCGCTTTCGGGCGGCTTCGACTTATCCTTATTCAACGCGGGGCGGCACGTGGAGGCGGTGGGCGGGGCGGCGAGGGCGGAGGCGATCAGTGCGGTGCTGTACCCCGAGGACAGCAGCGAGGCGGGCAGACAGCTGCGCCTGCAGCAGGAATACTTCTTCGTCTCCGCCACACTGCAGGTGGGTTCTTTTGATGGTGGCGGGGGGTTGGGTTGGGTGGAGAGGGGGCGGTCATGACTTGTGCTGGCAGTGCTGGAGGCCATGCGCCTGCTGCTGGACGAGCATGGGGAGCTTGTCTCTGCCTCGCTGCTGCACTCATCCATCCCCTTCCTCCTCCCTCCCCGCCACCCTCTCCTCCCCCCTTTCTTCCGTCAGGACATAATATCACGGCACGTGGCGGCAGGCCGACCGCTGTCATCCCTGCCGGAGGCAGCAGCAGTGCAGCTGAACGACACGCACCCAGCTTTAGCGGTCCCCGAGGCCATGCGCCTACTGCTGGACGAGCATGGGCTGGAGTGGGGCGACGCCTGGCACGCCACGGTGGCGCTGCTGGCATTCACCAACCACACCGTGCTGCCCGAGGCGCTCGAACGCTGGCCCGTGCCGCTGCTGCAGACCGTGCTGCCTCGAGTCATGGATCTCATATTTGAGATCAACCACCGGCACCTGCAGGTGAATGTGCGCCCAGCAGTCAGCTCTATGGCATCGCAGTCCACCATGTGACCTTGTGAGGGGCCAGCGCCATTGTGCCACGCCACAGCAATAGCCATGCAGGCAGCGCAAGAAACAGCCGCCCTCTCGTGGCGCTGTGTGCAGTGTGTTATTGGGTTGGGTCCTTACATTACTCTCTGCGCCTGTGCGGGTGGCCTTGCGTGCTTCACGCGGTGCAGGCACAATGCTCAAGTCTAGACGTTTCAAAAGTCCTAACCATACTCCTAGATTTGACCTGGTGTGTGCGCGTGTCCTCTGTGCGCGTGTCCTCTGTGCGCGTGTCCTCTGTGCGCGTGTCCTCTGTGCGCGTGTCCTCTGTGCGCGTGTCCTCTGTGCGCGTGTCCTCTGTGCGCGTGTCCTCTGTGCGCGTGTCCTCTGTGCGCGTGTCCTCTGTGCGCGTGTCCTCTGTGCGCGTGTCCTCTGTGCGCGTGTCCTCTGTGCGCGTGTCCTCTGTGCGCGTGTCCTCTGTGCGCGTGTCCTCTGTGCGCGTGTGTCTTCCTGTGCATGGTGGCTGGCAGGAGGTGGAGGCGAGGTGCATGGGGGAGGGGCAGCGCATGGCACGGCTGTCGATCATCGAGGAGAGTCACCCCAAGATGGTGCGCATGGCGGTGCTGGCAGCCGTTGGATCGCACGCCATCAACGGTGTAGCGGAGCTGCACTCCACGCTGCTGCGCACGCAGCTGTTCCCCGACTTTGTTGACCTCTTCCCCACGCGCTTCCACAACAAGACAAACGGCGTCACCCCGCGCCGCTGGCTGCTGCTCGCCAACCCGCGGCTCTCGCAGGCACGTGGGGGGAGGGGTGCAATGGGCATGTGGGGGAGGGGGAACAAGGGCCATGTGGGGAGGGAATGAGGCATTTGGATTGGAGGGGCAAGGAGACTTGGGTGGGGGCAGTGGAGTGTGTCACTCAATCAATCTAGTCATTGCTCTCCCACTCCCTCCCCTTCATGCAGGTGATCACGAAATGGCTAGGCTCAGAGGAGTGGGTGCGCGACCTCTCGCTCATACAGGGCCTGCGAGCGCACGCCAGCTCGCTCACTCCCACACTCTTCTTCCGCCTTCCCAACCCCTGCTCCTCCCCCTTCATGCAGGTGATCACGAAATGGCTAGGCTCGGACGAGTGGGTGCGCGACCTCTCCCTCATCCAGGGCCTGCGAGCGCACGCTAACTCGCCCGCGCTGCATGCTGACTGGACCGCTGCCAAGGTGGCCAATAAGGAGCGGCTCGCGGTGTATATTCGCAAGACGTGTGGCGTGCAGGTGGGAGAGGGGAGGGAGCTGTTTACAGGTGTGGGGATGGTGAGAGGGAAGGGAGGGAATGGCGGGGAAATAGCATCTCACACCGTGCATAGTTGCTTGCATACTCTCCTGCACCTTCCAGCCTTTCTTTGTGGTATGAATCTGGTGACACACACATACGAAGTGCTGGCGTGTGTGGCAGGTGGAGAGCATTGTGGTGTTTGACTGCCGCATCAATGCTCTCTTCACGCATGTGCGCCTTGCACCGGGTGCAATGCACCCTGCCCTGCCGCCATGTGCAGGTGGATAGCAGTGCGCTGTTTGACTGCCATGCGAAGCGCATCCACGAGTACAAGCGGCAGCTGCTCAACATCCTGGGGGTCATTCACCGCTACAACAGCATCAAGGTGTGTAGCCCACTGGACCAGCACCGCTACAACTGCCATGCATGGGACATGTTCCGTGCATGTGTCCGCATGTGCCATGTGCCCTGCACGCGCCATGCAGCGGCCATGCATGTGATACCCCCCCTTCACCCCCCCCTCCCCCACCGTGCAGTGCAGCAGCTTTGAGGAGAGGGCGCGCATGGTGCCACGGGTGGTGGTCATTGCGGGCAAGGCAGCGCCGGGCTACTTCCGGGCCAAATGCGTCATCCACCTCATCAACGCGTAAGTGTTTTTTTTTTTTTTCTGTGCATGTGTTGTCTTGCTGTGCATATGTGTCTGTGCACGAATGCTCTCTCCATTCTCATGTACCCGTGCTGCTGCCTCTCACATGCGGCGCCCCATCCATCCACTCTCCCCATTCACCTCAACCCTCCACTGCCACTCAACAGTACCCTAGCCAACCACCTGTATGTCCCCCCTCATCCTCTCTCCACAAACTGTTCTAGCCTCGAATAACCTCATCCCCTCTCTCCCCCCGCCGCATCTTCCCACGCATCCCCCCCTCCCTGGCTGGCAGGGTGGCACAGAGAGTGAACAGCGACGCGGACATCAGCGGCTTGCTCAAAGTGGTCTTCCTGCCCAACTACAGCGTCTCGCTCGCGCAGGTGCCTCACTCACTGCCGCTCTCTCTCACCCTCATGCCCACCCTCACCTTCACCCTTGCTCGCTTTGCTGCTTCCCTCCACTTCTCCACTATCTCCACCCTTTTCTTATGCACTCTCCGCCTCGCCATGCCCCCCCCGCCCGAGCTCTTCCCTCTCACCGCCCGCAGCTGATAGTGCCAGCGAGTGACATATCGCAGCACATATCAACGGCGGGCATGGAGGCGTCAGGCACGAGCAACATGAAGTTTGCGCTCAACGGGGGGCTGCTGCTCGGCACCATGGACGGCGCCACCATTGAGATCGCCAACGCCATTGGGCGTGAGAACGTGTTTGTCTTCGGTGCGCTGGCTCACGAGACGCACTCGCTGCGCCACTCGCTGCGCTTCCGCCAGCCCATCCACGACGACCGCCTCGTTCAGGTGCTGCCGTCGCTGCTGCCGTGCCATTGCTGATTTCCTGCCACTGTGCTGCCATGCTGTCATGTCGCCTCGTTCACGTGCCATCCACGACGACCGCCTCGTTCAGGTGCCGTTCTGCCCTGCTGCTGCTGCCGTGCTGGCAGCGGGGCGTGTAGCTCAGGCCTCCTGCCCCACACATCCAGTGCAACCAGAGGCTGTCGCATGTCCCGCCACCCATGCCTGACCCACCACCAACACCGCCCTGATCCCTACTCCTCCTCCTTCCCCCTCTTCTTCCGCCGCTCCTCCCCCCCCCCCAGGTGGTGCGCACGATCGAGGCGGGGGTGTTTGGGCCGGCGGACGACTTTCGTCCGCTTTTGGAGTCGCTGGGCGGCGGCAATGATTACTTCCTGCTCTCCCACGACTGGCCCTCCTACCTCGACGCCCAGGTGCCACCTTCCCCAGGTGCCAACCCCCCGTGCTTGCCTTCCTCCCATCCATGTACCAACCCCCAATCCTTCTCCATGCAGCACTGCCGCCATGCGAAGTTGACCTGCTTGCCTCTTCATGCTTCTAAGGTTGCAGCTGATTGTCTTGTCCCTTCCAAACCGCACACTGATCGATACGCTCCCCTCTATTTATGGCTCTGCCTCTCCCCCAACCATTTCCCCACCATGGATGTGCATGTGTGTTGATGTTTGCATGTGTACATGTGAGCATGTGTGCATTTGTGCATGTATGCATGGGTGCATGTGTGCATGGGTGCATGTGTGCATGGGTGCATGTGTGCATGGGTGCATGTGTGCATCGGTGCATGGGTGCATGTGTGCATGGGTGCATGGGTGCATGTGTGCATCGGTGCATGGGTGCATGTGTGCATGGGTGCATGGGTGCATGTGTGCATGGGTGCATGGGTGCATGTGTGCATGGGTGCATGGGTGCATGTGTGCATGGGTGCATGGGTGCATGTGTGCCTGTGTGCATGTGAGCAGCATTCAGTGGACACGCTCTTCCTCAACCCCACAGAGTGGTGTCGCCGCTCCATTGTATGTCCCCTCCCTGCCCTCCCTCCCATCCCCTTCCTTACTGGCTCCCTCCAACTGCATCCCCTCCATCCTCTCTCCTCCATCCTTCCCTCATTCGGCACCTTCCATCTCCATCTTCCCCCATGCATTAGCTTCACCAGGCTTCTGGACTATCTACTTGCTTGTAGTGTGCTCCATTGTTGGGTTGAGTGTTTCTCTCAATGCGTGTTTTTAGTGTGTCTCCTTTCTCTGGTTGTCTTACACCACCTGTCCATCATGCTTCCTCCTGCCATGAGCCATTGCAGATAGCAGCATCAATGATGGGCCGATTCAGCAGTGACCGAACCATTGCCGAATACGCACGTGACATCTGGCACCTCCAGGTACGTTTTCGGCTGCCTTTTGTTGGTGATGTTTGCGTAGATCGTTGCATGTGTTTCCGTCAGATTGTCGCATGCAAATGGTTTTCTTCCACAATGTTCATTTGTGTTCCTTGGTACCTGTTGTCCTTGCAACTGTGTCCATTACAGCCTGTTATCGTGCCAGGGGTCCTCAACACTACGTAACCACGTTTGTATGCCGCTCCATTGTTCGTTATAGATACCACGAGGGAACTTTGATGCATGTATGTTTTTGTTGGTATTACAGTGGCTCCTATTGTAAATGTTTTTCAAATGGCAATCTTATGTATCACTAGCTAGACTTGCGTTATCGAAGCGAACTTGTCAAAGCTTGCGGTTGTTAGTTAGGGGTGCGCCTTCGCGCGGGAAAGATTTTCCCGCAGCCTTGCTGCCGACCGTTGACAGATGACGGCTCGGCACACAAAATGTTCAAAACGTTCTTTGTTTGGTAGCGATCTAATAAGCCGCCTCAAGGGCAGCGGAATGCTTTCCCATGTCAGCGTCAAACTCGTCAACGAGATTTTGTCAAAACTTCACCCAATGGTCACCGCCAGATGTAAAAAAATGTTTCGTTCACCCAACGACAATCTTCATTGTACCGCCAACCGTTCGCCAACGCTGGGAATGGTCGCAACCGTTCGCATAGTTGGGGTTTCTGCCCGCGCTAGGCTTCGCTCCAAGCAAAAACAGTCCTGCGACTCCAATGTAAATTTAATCGTCAAAGTTGTGCGACTTGCGAAAGTTGGGCTCGTGGAGATAGGAAGCTGTGCGAGGCACGTCGCATTGTGTCGCGCCGTTAGGGCATTTTGGAATCAAAGGCGCGCGGCACGTCCCAAGCGCCGCGTTGAGTCTCACGATTGATGGATGATGCTTCCACCGCAGCGCAAATGAAATCGCTGCCCTCCCTGAGGCGATGGATGACAAGTTTACGGCCATGCGACTAAGTGGCGCCGACTAAATTACCCCTCATTCTCCATTCTATCCATCGTTCCACCATCGTCGCTCAATCGTTTACCACATCGTCCAGTGACCGACGAGATCTGTCGGCGAAGGCATTCATTGATGCGCTTTCGTGGGCCAGTTTGGAGGCTTTCACATTTCCCGCTGCCGTCACTCGCAGCATTCGTTTTGATACATGCCCAGCAGGCACCTTGAAGCCAAACACCACCATTACCTCACCTTCGTCACGCCCAGACAGCGTCGTAACGTAACTGCAACTTCACCCATAATTCTCGTCTCTGCTACGATTCAGGCGCGAATTCGTCCGACTAAAATCTCTTAATTCCAGCTTCTCCAAGAAACTGCTTGCGCTATCCATGAGGACAAACCAGCATTAGCACCACGTACTTGTATCAGGCAGCGCAAAGCCCAGGAGTGTAGTGAGGGCGCAGAGTAGCGGGAGTTCCGCGTGCAATGTGGCCCGACTGCTACCCTCCCCGTCACGGCTTTCACAGCGGCGCTGCCGGCGCCGCGTCAGGCCCGCATGGCCCGTACGGTCGAATTCAGAACGCACACTCGTTCCACGCACCCAGACAGCAGCAGCAACAGCAGCAACAACAGCAGCAGTCACAGCAACTGCAGCAGCAGCAGCAGTCGGGATTCTCTAACGGTCAGTTGCAGGCGCCGTTCGGATGCCAGTCCGCCCCCACCTCTCCGTCCAAGCCGCCGCCCTTCGCGCGGCGAGCAGGCAGCGCCGACGCCGGCTCGATAGCGTCGGACGCGGGCAGCGCGTACGCTGAGAGCTCCGCGTCGGGCGACGACGACGGGAGCGCGGGGTGGAGCATGGCGGGCGAGGAGGGCAAGTCGAACGACGCGTTCCACGTCATCCACAAGGTCCCCGTCGGCGACTCGCCATACGTCCGCGCGAAACACGTTCAGGTACGAACCAGAAACCAGAAACGATTGTAAATAAGCGTTTATCGCAGCATTTCTCATCCCGCAATGCGCCTTCTCACTCGTCCCTCCGCCCCATCCTCGCTCCCCCCAACACTATCCCCTCCCCGTCCCCCCGTGGTTGCGCGCAGCTGGTGGACAAGGACCCGGTTCGCGCGATCGCGCTGTTCTGGTCGGCGATCAACGCGGGCGACCGCGTGGACAGCGCGCTCAAGGACATGGCGATCGTCATGAAGCAGCAGAACCGCCCCGAGGAGGCCATCGAGGCCATCCGCTCGCTGCGCCACAAGTGCTCCGAGGTGGCGCAGGAGTCGCTGGACAACGTGCTGCTCGACCTCTTCAAGCGCTGCGGGCGCCTCGACGACCAGGTGGCGCTGCTCAAGCACAAGCTCGACATGATCCGCCAGGGCGTCGCATTCAACGGCAAGCGCACCAAGACGGCGCGGTCCCAGGGGAAGAAGTTCCAGGTGTCGATCGAGCAGGAGGCGACGCGGCTGTTGGGGAATCTGGGGTGGGCGTACATGCAGCAGGGGAACTATGTCGCGGCGGAGTCGGTGTATCGGAAGGCGCTGCGCGTGGAGGCGGATAGCAACAAGGTGTGCAACCTCGGCATCTGCCTCATGAAGCAGGCACGCATCGTCGAGGCGCGCGCGTTGCTCGAGTCCGTGTCGCCCAACAGCGACCCGCGTTGGGGATCCGAGTCGCACATTAAGGTGAGCCTAAGATGTCTCTTGGTCTCTCGCATTGCTCATCGAATTCGTTTCTCGCCCTCCACCCGTCCACCCGTCTTGCTTTTCTATCTCAACGCTCGTTTCCAACCTTCCTTCGTCTCTTTCTCGTTACGTGCCGCCATGGCAGTCGTACGAGCGCGCGCAGAGCATGCTCGTGGAGCTCGAGACGTCAGCGGCGGCGGCCGAATCGGCCAAGGACGGCGCAGCTGCCAGAGCGGGCACCAGCGGCGGGGAGGACGCTAGCGCCAGTGACACGGGCGGTAAATCCGCCGCCTCCGCCTCCGCGCCGTCCGCAGCACCCAGCGGCGATGGGGTCTCGTCCGACAAGCTTCCGCAAGTCAAGCCCGCGTTCCGCGGCATGTGTGGCATGGGCATGGGCATGGGCTTGGCGCGCAGCTCGTTCCAACGGCACTCATCGTACCTGTGCGAGTTCCTGGGTGCGCCCGACATGTGGGACTCGCTCATGGCGGACAGCAGCGCCGCCGGGGGGAATGCAACGGCGGAAGGAGCGCCGGCAGCTCCGCAAGGTGCCGCAGGCGGCTCTTCGGGCATCGCAGGCATGCAGTCGCGGGGACCGCCGGATGCGCCGCCGCCGCCGCAGCAGCAGCAGCAGCAGCAGCAGCGGCCGCTGCAGGCGCCAATGCAGTGCATGCGGAGGCCGCCAGCGACCGGCGGAATGGCGCGGACGATGAGCATGGGCGCGGGGTGTGGCAACCCGCTTGCGCGCTCCATGAGCTTCGGCGGAGCAGATGCGCGCGGGGGCCTGTCGTGCCTCAAGCCCAACGCACCCGAGTTCATGCCCGGGTCGTTCGGCCCCATTCCGCCTCCCCCCGGCCACGGCTCCGCTCCGCCCTTCATGCACGGCGCTCCGCCCCCGCCCCCCCCTGGCGACGGTCGGCGCACGCTCACCGCGTCGCGCTCGCTCCCCCCACTGCAGATTCCCACGGCGGGGTTCGCGCTGGCAACGGCGTCGCCATCACTCGTGTCACCGCTGGGGCCCATGTCGAGCGGCTCGCTCTCGTGCACCTCTAGCTTCGGCGCCGCGTCGTGGGATGACGGACTGATGATGTCAGCGTTCGAGAGTGACGACGACGTGCTCTGCGAAATGCCCAACGACAGTTACCAGCCGTCTGCTGCGGCTATCTCCGTTGCTGCGGGGGTCTGGGCATCGCAGAAACCGCCCACTTCGGCGCACCTCGCTGCCGCAATGCGCAAGGGCGGCGGATTCCCCGCGCCCGGGCAGCGCGCGCTATACAGGGGCACAGAGAACGTTCCGCAGTACATGGTGGGGGGTGCGCCCATCGGCGCGGGCGGGCCTGGCGCGCGGAGGCCGCTGGTGTTCGGGTGCGAGAACCCCGCGCCAATGGCGGCGAAGGCGCAGATGGTGGCGGGCGGGCTGATGGGCGGAGGCAGCATGGGCATGCAGATGGGCGCGGAGATGGGCGGAGGGATGGGCATGACGACGGTCATGGGCGAGCGCACGAACCTGGAGCCCCCCGCGCAGTTTGTGGGTGCATGGGGGGCTGTGGCGCAGGGGAAGGGCGCGTGGGGACCCGCATGGGGTGCTCCAGGGGAAGGGGGAAGCATGGGTGAGGGGGAGAAGGGGAAGGATCAGCAGCAGGCAGTGGCGGGGCAAGAGGTGGGGGGATCGGGAGTGAAGAGGAACCGGGTGCCTACCCCAGTAAAGGCTGCTGCTCCCAAGGGAGAGAGAGGGGGCGACGCGGAGGGAGGAGACGCGAGTGGAGCGCAGGAGGGCGGGCCGGTGGTGCCGAGGGCGCTGTGGGAGATGCTGGGGTTCACAGGCAGCCCTGACAAGCTGCTGCTGGAGGAGCTCAAGGCCACCGACAGCGCCAAGAAGCTGCTCGCCTCCGCTGGGTCTGCTGACAGGCAGCAGGGCAGCGAGCGACACACGCTGTTTGCTGACACTGCTGATACTGTGGCTGCTGCAGTAGTGGGCGGTGCTGCTGCTGCCACCACTCTGACCAGCCCCACTGCAGGCAGCTCCCACTTGGAGGTCAAGAGACCCCGCCGCCTCCGCATCTTCCAGGAAATGACATACGTTGGAGCAGCTGCATAAACTGGAGGCAAACTAAACTGCCTTAATTGACTCTGATGCTGAACTGCCATAACTGGAGCTGGTAAATCTTACCTCTTACGCGCATGCAGGCACTGGACGAGACAGCCTCATGACAGCTTGTCTAATGAGGTGCCCAACTGCATACTTTGAAGTTCTCTTGAGTTGACCTTTTTAGCTGTTAGTTTATTGTAGGCTTTGTGATCCTTAGTTTAATGAGTAGATCTATTTATTTAGCACCTAGGACTATTGGTAAATCACTGTTTTTGCCAGCATACTAAGCATTCATAAATGTTTTCTTCAAATTATGTTTCAGTTATAGAGCTGAGGGCTGGTTTATATTGTCAAACACGGTGTTCCTGGTATCACTGTAGCACTCCTCTCTGGCTGGCGGGAAATTCTCGAGGCGGGACAGAACTTCGAAGTTTGAAAGTGTCAGAGCGCGTCGACTCAGCCAATCCCAAGGTCCCTGCACCTCTTTTCTCTGCACCTCTTCCCTCCACCTCTCTCCTCTGCCAGGGATATCAATGAGCATTGATCAGTCACCTGTACTTTTTTTCCAGATTCCAGATTCCATTTCTTCATTCATCCAAGCTTTGAGCTTTCCCCTCAGTATCATGAGCCAAATGTCAGAATAAGCTAATCGTTAGTTATTGAGGTCAACCTTCGAAGCGCGCAATCTGTATTCTATAGTTAGCAAGATGACGAAAGCGGCAGGAAGCATGCAGGGAGGAAGTAGGAGAGCTGTAGACCCACCAGAGTCGCTTATACCGAGTGTCTTGAACGAGTGTCAAGAATCAGTCGCGTCTCACCATAGAAACAGTTTGCTTCTCCTTCAGTGTGTTCGCCAACACCGAGACGATTTCTCGCCGACCTTTCTTGATGTCATTCGACCCGCTCTCCTCAGCACGAAAGCCGGCAGCCCTGGCGACAAGGTGCTTCGGTTCTTCAAGGCATTCCTCGGCGTATTGGTCGCAGAGGGAAGCGAGGGCGAACGGGAGATGATGGAGGAGCTGCTGTGCCTCTTCTCGCAGTACAGCGAGGCGCGCAGCAAGGCCGTGCGGGTCAACGTCACCAGAGTGCTCTCGGAGGTATGTCACTCTCTCCCGTTCCGATCAAGATAATATGTTATTGCAGAACTCAATCTGGTCTTATTCAGAGCGTTTCTGGTCTTAAACTAAGCATATCAGGCCTTAATCTAAACGTTTCAGGTCTTGCTCTCAGCGTCTCAAGTTATTTTGAATCCTGCAGGTGCTGAATTCGTTGCCCGGCAGCTTCAGTCTGTCAGCCGACGCCATCGTGATCATCCGCGAGTTCTTGCATTGCCGAATGGACGACAAAATCGCCGTCATCCGCGCGTGGGCCGCCAGGGCGCTCAAGCGCATGGTGACCTTCGAGGAGGACGGAGGAGTGGACGTGGACACGACCATCGGGTTATTCCGCGAGAAGATGAAGACCGAGTCGAGCTCCGTAAGCCTCGTCATTCGTATGCTCCACTCTCTGGACACCCGTTTGCCATTCTCCTCTGAAACTGCGAATCTGTATGAGTTGTCATGAAGATGGCTATTAGCGTGGTGCCTGAATGGAAACACATTCGGTTGCGCGTGGTGCAGGAGGTGCGCGAGGCGATGGTGTGGTCGCTGCCGGAATCCACGAGCACCATTCCCGACATTCTCGAGCGCACGGCGGACGTCAGCGAGCGGGTCAGAGCCGCGGCGTACAAGTCCTTCGCCGAGAGATTCTTTCCCATCGAAAGCTTCAGGTGCGCTCCCACTCTCTCTTCCGCACCACTGCACTAGCCACGGTTGTCCTGGAGCTGATTTTTTGTTTCTATGGCGTGGCGTGTGTGTGTGTATCCGTCGCAGCATCTGGCAGCGAGTGCAGCTGCTGTCGCAGGGTCTGGTTGACCGGTCGCCGACGGTGCGGTCGGCGTGCGTGGAGCTACTGTGTCGCGCGTGGCTGTCGCGCGACTGCGAGGGCGACCTGGTGCGACTGCTGCGACACGTGGACGTGGAGAGCCACGAGGCGGTGGCGGAATCGGCGGTGCGGGAGGTCCTGCAGGCGCACAGCGCGGGGTGCGGCGACATGGAGCTGGTCGTCCCTGAAGGGGGGCTGCGTGCCGCTGTCAAGCAGATGTCCACTCCTGCAGAAGGCAAGTTCTTGGAGGAAATGTTAGGAGCCGAGACACATACATCGAACCAGGCTAGGTCGCATAGCACGTGGTCGCGACAAAGAGAGTGAATTACATGAAAGATAGATTAACGTGTGAATCACAGAGATTGTGATTTCGCTCCAGCGGCGAGTCTCATGTCTCTCCTCCCCTCGTGGTTGGTGCAGGGAGGTCGGAGGAGGCAGCAGCAGCAGGGCTGCTTACGACGGAGGAGGCGCTCTTTTGGCGCATGCTGTGCCTGCACCTCTCCGCGCAGGCCAATGTCAGTTCGCTCCTGCTCTTGCTTCTCACGTGCTTGCATTTTTCCCACTTGCTGAATTCGCGCTTGCTGTCGTTCGCCTTGAAGACGACGTGGGTCTGACGTTGCGTGTCCTCGTATTGCTGCAGGAGAACGGATCAAATGCCGCAATATCCGCTGGCGCAGCAGCGGTGGTGGCAGCAGAAGCAGCGAGCGACCTGAACGCGCAGCTGGAGGCCCTGCTGCCAGCCACGGCGCAGGACTACCTGACGCTGCTGGAGACACACATGCAAGCAGGTACGGGGCCGTTAGCTTAGCACCAAAGCAGGGGTATGAGGACCGCCTCTGACCGTTTGTTCCGACGCGTTACCTATGCCTCTTTTTCCTCGCGCAGGGTCCGAGGGTCGGTTCGCAGCGCGGCAGCTGATGCAGCTGGCGGCGGTGCTCGACTTCACCGACGCCACCATCCGCGCGCACGCCGCCGCGCTCGTGCACCGCCACCTCGTCGGCGCGCAGCCGGCGCGCGAGGGGGCGGGGGAGGAGAGCGCCGAGGCGGAGGACGAGTGGGAGGAGGGCGTGGCAGACGGCAGGTGGGGCGAGGCTCTGCTGGGGCTGGCGCAGCGCGTGCACGCCTCGGATGCTGACGTGCTCGCTGCTCTCGTCGACGCTCTGGCTGACGTCAGCAAGCCGATGATGGCGGGCGTGGCGGGTGTGGATGGTGTGAGCGAGGGGCAGTGGCTGCGGTGCGTGGCGGCGACGCGCATGGTGCTGCGGCTGTGCTGCAAGTCGGCAGGCGGCGGCGCGTTCAGGGCGTGGAGGAACCTGCGCGTGGAGCCGCAGGAGGCGCTTAACTGCATCATCGTCCCCGCGGTACGCGCGCGCGCTGCCCCACGACGGTGTGCACGCATTCGCTGCACTGCGCCCGTGACTGCATTCATTCCCCGTGACCCGTGTGCTCAAACATTATTCCCCCTTCCTCCCTCCCCCCTCCTGTGCTGGCAGACGTCGCACCCGTCACCACTGGTGCGCGCTGAGGCCGTCGGCGCGCTGCACGCCTTCGCCATGCTGCACGTGCCGTCCGCGCGCGCCCACCTGCCTCTGCTGCACGCCGCCGCGCGCGATTCCGCGCACCCAGGCGTGCAGATGGCGGCCGTGCGCGCCCTCGCGGACCTGCTGCTCTGGCACCGCCCCGCCGCGCTGCTGCCCGACATCGCTGCGCCCGCCCTTAGCGACGAGGGCGAGGGGAGTGCGGTGAGCGGGTGCAGTGCGGGGGAAGAGGCGCAGCGCGCAGGAGGAGCGCGTGGAGGTAGGGTGGCGGAGGTGGCGGAGGGGAGCGTGGACGTGCTGGTGGGGCTGGTGCCTATGGAGGGCGGGCAGGTGGACATTGAGGGGGTGAGGGCGGACGTGCAGCGCGCAGGGCGACAGGCGGAGGGGGAAGACGAGGAAGAGGCGGAGGGCGTGGTGGGCGTGGTGTGCGAGGGGCTGAGCAAGCTGCTGCTGGCAGACGCGAGCAGGGCCACAGGGAAGGGCGCGGAGCGGGGGGCGGAGGGCAGGGTGGAGCGAGTGTTGCAGGTGCTAGTGCAGGTGTACCTGTGCCCGGGCGCCGCTGAAGACGAGCTGCCCAGGTGCGTGGCGCCGTGTGTGTGGGTATTTCTGGAAACGATTGTCCCACAACGACTCCTCTGGCTTGTCTTTCCCTCTGGGTCTGCTCTATGGTGTGTCTACTCCGTAGATGCCTTTTCCTCATCATCTCCCCTACCACCCCACCCCCTCTCTTCGCTCGTGCCTCACAGGACACGTCAAATGCTAGCAGAGCTGTTCAACCGAGTGGCCGTGCTGCCAGCCTGCAAGGTACGCCACCAACCCCACGCTGATAGCCAACTAATGCTTTTTCTGGTAGCCTCACTTCCTTTGTCAGTCTGTCGCTGTGGCACCTCACTCCTCCCTCACTCACTCTTCCCCGTTTGCTCCCTGTCCCCGAATCCCTCCCTGTCATCCCTGTCCAGGTGGCAGCGTCACGTCTGCTGCTGCCAGTGTTGCGGCAGTTGTGGCCGCGCAAGGCGGCAGCAGCAGCGCGGCAGCCTGCAGTGCGTGCCTCGCAGCTGCTGCTCTCCCTCATGCTCGCTCAAGGTGCCCACGGGGTCGTGCCGCCCAAGCAAAGTGGAGAGGACGAGGCGGAGGAGGGAGAGGAGGAGGCCGAGGGAAGAGCAGCAGGTGGTGGTGATGGTGAGGGCGAGAAGAGTGGATTGGGTGAGAGCAGCCGCGTGGAACAGCCAGCGGTGGGCTTCGAGTCTCTGGCTCTCAATCTTGCTGCTGAGGTGGGTTCCCTTCCCACTCTGCTGCCCTCATGTGCACCTCCGCCAACGGCCATTCAGCCCTTGTATCCCGCTCTCTCCCTTTACCCGCACTGCCGCACGCTCTGCTGTGATGCTGAGCCCTGTGTGCTGTGCCACAAACGTGCTGTCTTGCACGCCTCAATCACCCCACATGTCATGCTCTTTCCCCTTCCGCCCCAGGTGCAATCCTCCCCACTGGCCACGTCAGGCAGTGCGAGCGGGAGGGCGTACAGCGCGCATCTGGTGCAGCTGCTGGTGGAGGTGCCGCTCAGAGCCTCCCAGCAGGACGACGTCAAATGCCTGCGCTCGCTGCTCCCCATGTAAGACTCCATCACCAGAGCATCCCTTCAATGCTCTTGCCATTTCCAACAACAGAAAAGGCACTCCTTGTCCCAGTTCTGCAGCTCTGCGCCCTCCACCAGTCACCTGCGAATCCCATCCAATATAATGCTCCCGCCCATCACCCACCACCACCACTCACACGTGCCCCACTCTGAACCCGTTGTTCCCCTTCCCCCTCCCCCGCGCGTTTGGTCCCGTGGCAGGGTGGCGGAGGCAGTGCAGGGGCAGCGTGCGGCGCAGCGGCTGGTGGAGCAGCTGGCAGCGCGGCTGAGGTCGCTGGACGCCACTCCGGACGAGGAGCTGCCCCTGGAGCGCCTGGAGCAGTTGCTGCAGCGCGGTGAGGGGGGAGGGGAGGGAAGGGGAAAGATGAGCAGCGTGTGGGGGGGAGATTGGGGAGGCATGGGTGGGGAATAAAGGCATGGGGGATGCGGAGATAAGGGGGATTTCTGTGTTGAACTGTAGAAGCAGCAGGTGTGGATGCACTGTGTGATTCACCTTTACGTGCTCTGCTGTGCTGTGCTGCCATGTGTGCCCTGCTTGCAGTGGATGGTGATGCAGCAAGTGCGTCAGAGGCAGGGCAGAGTGGTGCATCGACCATGGAGGGAGGCTCTCCGCCAGGCAGGAGGCGACGAGGCAAGCCGCCAGGTACACTGCTCCGTATGCTGCTTGTGCTTCCACACGTGCTGCTTGTACTCCCACAAGCCTGTGGGTTGTTGCGCCATGCACCACCTGCTGCGAGGGCACGGCCACGCCAACACGCCCTTCTCATTGCTTGCCTGTTTGCTCCCTCTCCCCCATGCCTCTCGCCCGTGCCTCTCGCCCGTGCCTGCACAGCGCCAGCCCGCCGCACCTCCCCCTTGTGCAGCCCCAACCCCGCCACACCGGTGCAGCGTTCTGCTCGCCCCTCACGGCAGTGCAAGGCAGTGGCCAACAGCCGCCTCAAGCAGCAGCTGGGAGGTCACAGCAGCGCCGGCAGACCCGCGGTCGGCGAGGCAGCGGTTGGGGAGAGTGAGGGAGTGGATGCAGGGGAGGGGGTGGAGCAAGTGGGTAGGGAGGGACAGAGCACGGCAGCAGATGTGCCGCCTGAGGCTCACAGCAGTGGGAGTGAGGAGGAGAGCGAGAGCAGTGAGAGTGAGGAGTATGGGAGTGGAAGTGAGAGTGGAAGCGAGGAGGAGTACAGGGCGTCAGTGGGCAGACACCAGAGGGGCGCGCGGGCACAGGAGCAGACTAGTGGGCCACGGCGAGTGGCGTCCGTGATAGCTGCTGTGAGGAGGCGCAGGAGCAGCTGCAGCAGCAGTGGTGGTGGTGGTGGTGGCAGGGACGCGCCCATCTCCATCTCCACCGACTCTGACTCTCAAGACGTGATCGAGGTGGTGGAGGTGGTGCCGGGGGTGGCAGGCACACACAGCAAGCGCGTGCAGCCCAAGGAGGAGGCAGAGAGCATATCTGAGGAGGTGGAAGAGGTGTTGGAGAATGAGAGCGTGTGCATGGCGGCAGGGCTCCACGCTGACAGCCCCAGTGTGGGCCGCACAGCACCAAGGGATGACGCCTCCCCTGCAGCACGGGGGACGGAGGGCTCCCCTGCGGCGTCAGTGGGCAGTGACGCCACGTCCTTTGCATCGGCGCTGAGTGACGACCTCCTCCTGCCCTCGCCCTCGCCCTTGCCTGCTGCCATGCCCGCTCGGCGTGCCGGTGCCAGGCAGAGGCGCTTCGTGCTTGATGATGGCAGTGAGAGTAAGAGCGAGGGTGAGGGTGAGGGTGAGGGTGAGGGTGAGATTGCGAGTGGGAGTGGGGATGGAAGTGAGAGTGAGAGTGAGAGTGAGAGCTGGGGTGAGAGTGGGGATGGGAGTGATGTGGAGAGTGGCAGTTGCACCAAGGGCACAAGGGCGGTGAGAGGACGGCCGGGAACGCAGAGGGCAAGTGGGATTGAGAATAAGAATGGGGTGGTGAGGGGGACGGCGGGCAAAAGTGGTGATGTGCCAGTGGGAGCGGAGAGGCGGCAGCCTCTGGCACGTCGCACTGCCCAGTGATGCGCTGCAGCAGGTGCAGTGACAGCAAGAGGGGATCGACACACTGCACTCCACTGCTCTACCGACCTCTGCTCTGTCCCGGCTGAATACTGAATATCCATCGTTGATCTACTCCAGTGCAAACTTTTAAGTTCCTCTATATTCTTATATTCTGCTACAGTTCTAGCCTGTACGTTTTACTACTGCTTTGGTGGAGACAGGAGTTATGATACCTGCCCCTCAACCAAGAGAATGGGAGCCGCCCCTTGCTGTGCATGTACCGTCATCACCCGGATATAAGACAGTGTTGAATAGTAGACAGGGGTTGTCTACTATACGGGTGTCTCTTATAAACAGGCTAGCCTCATTATAAGACACCTATATGTGTGTATGAGATAAGACATATATGTCTTATAATCGAAACTTCAATAAATTATAGCGAAAGTTGAAGTACCGCGTACTTTTTTACCCTTGCGAAGCGCGAATTCTTCCACGCGCTGACCCAGGACCTACCAAATTTGCCCCTGCAGGTGTTCTCCATAACGTGGCTTCTCGGGCAGAGGTTGTCAAAGTGGCACCTTCGCAACATCCACACGCATTATGAGAAACTCTTTTTAAAGAAGTACGGAAAATATTTCTAAGTAGTTTAAAAAGTTTCCATTTATAAGACTTATAAGACACCCTAAACCATCCCGTTTACAAGATAACTCAAGCATTTTTGCCCGTGTACGAGATAAGACATATATGTCTTATATCCGGGCGATGACGGTAATGTGAAACACTGTTTGTTTAAGGCTGTTTGAACATGTAATCATTTCTTGGTAGATTAATCAGGCTGTTTGTTTTTCAGTGTTTTGGCCTTAGACGCCACTGAATAACAGAGTTTTACCTGCTAGGCACACTGAGTGATCAGCGTGCCCCTAAACCAATCTGAGGGCCTGCTATGCATACATAGGAGCAGTCAAAATTGGTAGAAGCACTGCTTCTGTCTCTACGTTATGGAGCACTTCCAAGCACCATGTGATGTGAGCCCATGACATGGCATGTTCAGCGCACACGGCCGCAGCGGTCGCAGGGCTCCTTGCTGTGCGTCTTCTTGTCGGCGCCGGCAGCAGCAGCCTGCGCCACAAGGCGCGGCATGTCCTCCCCCAACACCGCCTCCAGCGCTGCTGCCGCCCGCCCCAGCTCCTCCTCCCTGCCACGCCCATGCCCGTGCCATGCAGCAGGTGGGGTGGTCAGGTGTGTGGGGGTGTTGGAGGTATGGGTAGTGGATGAGGAAAGAGTAAAGAGTGCTAGATTGCAAAACACGAGACAGCCGTACAATTGACAGGGCTTCAGCAGGTGGAGCGATGACAGCATGGGGGCACGAGGGAACGGATTTGTAAGGGGATGAGGGGATGAATGAGTGAGGGGGTGAATGCGTGAGGGGATGAATGGGCGAAAGCACGAGGGCATGAGATGAGAGAGCCAGGGCATGAGATGAGAGAGCCAGGGCATGAGATGAGAGAGCCAGGGCATGAGATGAGAGAGCCAGGGCATGAGCGAGAATGAGAGGGCACGCACGAGATGGTGAGGGGGGGGGCGAGGCGGATGATGGTGTTGTGGGTGGGCTTGGCCAGCACGCCGCGCTCCTTCATCGCCTCACACACGTCCAGCGCCGTCACTCCCCCCGGCAGCCCCTCGCCCGCCACCTGCACCGCCACCAGCAGCCCTCGCCCCCGCACCTCCTGGATCAGATGGGGGTACCGCGCCTGCACTGCCCTCAGCTGCGCCTGTAGCTGCTCCCCCAGCCGCTGCGCCCTGGGGGAGGCGAGGGGGAAGTTGTGAGGGGGTTGAGGGGAGGGGGAATGAGTGGAAGGGGTTGAGGACATGGGATTGTGCAGAGGTGGTACGTGTGAGCACAAGGAGCGTTCGACACATGGTTGTCATGCCCCGTGCATTCGAGACATGGTTGTCATGCCCCGTGCATTCGAGACATGGTTGTCATGCCCCGTGCATTCGAGACATGGTTGTCATGCCCCGTGCATTCGAGACATGGTTGTCATGCCCCGTGCATTCGAGACATGGTTGTCATGCCCCGTGCATTCGACACATGGTTGTCATGCCCCGTGCATTCGACACATGGTTGTCATGCCGCGTGCATTCGAGACATGGTTGTCATGCCCCGTGCATTCGAGACATGGTTGTCATGCCCCGTGCATTCGACACATGGTTGTCATGCCCCGTGCATTCGACACATGGTTGTCATGCCGCGTGCATTCTTCCCCATGCCCACTCTCACTGTGCCTCCCCTCCCATCCCATGATTCTGCATGGAACAGCCAGCCACTCAACTTCCCATCCCACCAGCCCTCCCTAACCCGCACCGCCCCTCCGTGCACCCCCCAATCCGCATTCCCCCCTGCCTACACCCCCCTGTCCCGCACCTGTCGGCCAGCCCGCCCTCTTCAATCTCCGCCAGCGCCGCCAGCGCCACTGCTGACGCCAAGGGGTTGCCGCCAAACGTGCTGCAGAGGAGGGGGAGAGGGGGGAGTGCGCACAGGGGAGGGGGAGGAGAACAAAAGGGAGGGAGAGGGGCCGGGGGTAAGGACGTGCGTTGAGGCGAGGGCATGCAGAACAGGAGGGCATGCAGAACAGGAGGGCATGCAGAACAGGAGGGCAGGACAGGGCGGGCAAGGAGACGTGGGAGGGCATGAACATGGGCATGGGCATGGGCATTGCAAATCAGGGCAGCAGGTCGAACACACTGCACCTGCCATCACACCGCCCCCCCCATCCCCATTATCCATTCCCATTTCCCAATTCCCCATTCCCCGCTCTCCGAATAGAGGCGCGTCAGAAACAAGCTGCGCACAGCGCACCTGCCATCACAGCGCACCTGCCATCACAGCGCACCTGCCATCACAGCGCACCTGCCATCACAGCGCACCTGCCATCACAGCGCACCTGCCATCACAGCGCAGCTGCCATCACAGCGCACCTGCCATCACAGCGCACCTGCCATCACAGCGCACCTGCCATCACAGCGCACCTGCCATCACAGCGCAGCTGCCATCACAGCGCAGCTGCCATCACAGCGCACCTGCCATCACAGCGCAGCTGCCATCACAGCGCACCTGCCATCACAGCGCAGCTGCCATCACAGCGCAGCTGCCATCACAGCGCACCTGCCATCACAGCGCAGCTGCCATCACAGCGCACCTGCCATCACAGCGCAGCTGCCATCACAGCGCACCTGCCATCACAGCGCACCTGCCATCACAGCGCACCTGCCATCACAGCGCACCTGCCATCACAGCGCACCTGCCATCACAGCGCACCTGCCATCACAGCGCACCTGCCATCACAGCGCACCTGCCATCACAGCGCACCTGCCATCACAGCGCACCTGCCATCACAGCGCACCTGCCATCACAGCGCACCTGCCATCACAGCGCACCTGCCATCACAGCGCACCTGCCATCACAGCGCACCTGCCATCACAGCGCACCTGCCATCACAGCGCACCTGCCATCACAGCGCACCTGCCATCACAGCGCACCTGCCATCACAGCGCACCTGCCATCACAGCGCACCTGCCATCACAGCGCAGCTGCCATCACAGCGCAGCTGCCATCACAGCGCACCTGCCATCACAGCGCACCTGCCATCACAGCGCAGCTGCCATCACAGCGCAGCTGCCATCACAGCGCACCTGCCATCACAGCGCAGCTGCCATCACAGCGCACCTGCCATCACAGCGCACCTGCCATCACAGCGCACCTGCCATCACAGCGCACCTGCCATCACAGCGCACCTGCCATCACAGCGCACCTGCCATCACAGCGCACCTGCCATCACAGCGCACCTGCCATCACAGCGCACCTGCCATCACAGCGCACCTGCCATCACAGCGCACCTGCCATCACAGCGCACCTGCCATCACAGCGCACCTGCCATCACAGCGCACCTGCCATCACAGCGCACCTGCCATCACAGCGCACCTGCCATCACAGCGCACCTGCCATCACAGCGCACCTGCCATCACAGCGCACCTGCCATCACAGCGCACCTGCCATCACAGCGCACCTGCCATCACAGCGCACCTGCCATCACAGCGCACCTGCCATCACAGCGCACCTGCCATCACAGCGCACCTGCCATCACAGCGCACCTGCCATCACAGCGCACCTGCCATCACAGCGCACCTGCCATCACAGCGCACCTGCCATCACAGCGCAGCTGCCATCACAGCGCAGCTGCCATCACAGCGCACCTGCCATCACAGCGCACCTGCCATCACAGCGCAGCTGCCATCACAGCGCAGCTGCCATCACAGCGCACCTGCCATCACAGCGCAGCTGCCATCACAGCGCACCTGCCATCACAGCGCACCTGCCATCACAGCGCACCTGCCATCACAGCGCACCTGCCATCACAGCGCACCTGCCATCACAGCGCACCTGCCATCACAGCGCACCTGCCATCACAGCGCACCTGCCATCACAGCGCACCTGCCATCACAGCGCACCTGCCATCACAGCGCACCTGCCATCACAGCGCACCTGCCATCACAGCGCACCTGCCATCACAGCGCACCTGCCATCACAGCGCACCTGCCATCACAGCGCACCTGCCATCACAGCGCACCTGCCATCACAGCGCACCTGCCATCACAGCGCACCTGCCATCACAGCGCACCTGCCATCACAGCGCACCTGCCATCACAGCGCACCTGCCATCACAGCGCACCTGCCATCACAGCGCACCTGCCATCACAGCGCACCTGCCATCACAGCGCACCTGCCATCACAGCGCACCTGCCATCACAGCGCACCTGCCATCACAGCGCACCTGCCATCACAGCGCACCTGCCATCACAGCGCACCTGCCATCACAGCGCACCTGCCATCACAGCGCACCTGCCATCACAGCGCACCTGCCATCACAGCGCACCTGCCATCACAGCGCACCTGCCATCACAGCGCACCTGCCATCACAGCGCACCTGCCATCACAGCGCACCTGCCATCACAGCGCACCTGCCATCACAGCGCACCTGCCATCACAGCGCACCTGCCATCACACGCTCCCCACCCTCCCCATTCCCCAATCCCACCCCCCACCACCCGTCCTTGCCCCACCTGCCGTGCTCGCCCGGTCGGATGCACCCCATGACGTCATCATCCGCCAGCACCGCACTCACTGGCACCACCCCCCCTCCCAACGCCTTGCCCAGGATCTGATGGGGGGGGGAATATAGAGCAGTATAGAGCAGAGCAGAGCAGAGCAGAGCAGAGCAGAGCAGAGCAGAGCAGAATAGAGCAGAGCAAGAAATACAGAGCACAGTATAGCAATATAGAGGGAAGAGCAGAGATATATAAAGCAGCATAGAGCAGAGCAGAGCATGGGAGCGGAGGGCACTGACGAGCACGTCAGGGCGCACGCCCTCATGGTCGCACGCGAGCATCCTGCCGGTGCGGGCGAGGCCCGTCTGGATCTCATCGGCCAGCAGCAGCACGCCGTGCTGGGAGCACAGCTGCCGCACCGCCCGCAGGTAGCCCTCGGGCGGCACCACCACGCCCGCCTCGCCCTGGATGGGCTCCACTATGAACGCCGCCACGCGTGGGCCGTGCTCTGGGGGAGAGGCACGGCAGGGAGGTGGGGAATTGGGGGGTTGGCGAAGGGGAGGGTGCTGAGGGTGGAGGCAGAGGGCATGAGGGAGCATGATAGAAGCACGATGGCATGGGAGCGTGTTGACATGATAAGCTGATGGCGCGACGGCATGCGCCATGCTTCAACACACCCCCACCTCCGCTCCCTCTTCGCCACACACTTGCCTTGCCGCCCACCATGCGTGGCCCCCCACTCACCCGCCAGCAGGCGCTGCAGCCCGTCCACGTCCCCAAAGTCCACCTTGAGGTGGCCGGGCAGCAGCGGGCCGAAGCCGCGCGTGGCGTCGTTGTCACACGACATGCTGATGGCCGCCATGGTGCGCCCGTGGAAGCACCCGCAGCACGAGATCACCAGCGCCTGGGCGGAGGAGAGGGGGGTGAGGGGGGCGGAGAGGGCAGAGGGGCCGGAGGGGCATGTCATGGCAGGGGATGACGGAAAGTCTTACTTTTGTCCTCAGCTCCCCTCCCCCCGCCTCCCTCCCCTTCCCCATCTCCCCCTCCCCCTTCCCCCCACCCACCTGATTGGCGGGCACGCCTTTCTTCTCGTACGCCCACTTCCTGGCGACCTTGAGAGCGGTCTCGACGGCCTCGGCGCCCGTGTTCATGGGCAGCACCTTGTCGTACCCCATCAGCGCCGTGATGCGCCGCGCGAACAGCGGGAAGCGGTCGTTGTGGAAGGCGCGCGACGACAGCGTGCACCGCTCCGCCTGCTGCTGCAGCGCCGCCAGTATGCGCGCGTTGCCGTGGCCCTGCATGGGGAAGGGGGGGACGCGTGGAGGGATGGGTAGGTGGGAAGGAGATCAAGTGCTGACGCCTCTTGCGCCACTCAAGCACTTCCTGCTCTGCACTTGCCACTTGCCCACCCCTTCTCTCGTCTCTCCTCTCACCTCGCCGCTCCTCTCGCTCCTCCTCTCACCCCCCTCTCCGCGCGTCCCCCTGCGCGCGCACCTGGTTGACGGCGGAGTAGGCGGAGAGGAAGTCGAGGTACTCGCGCCCCTCGGGGTCCGTGATGCGCGCGCCGTGCGCCTCCGCGAACACTACGGGCAGCGGGTGGTAGCTGGGGGAGTGGGGGCGCGCGCAGGCGGGCGGACGGGCGGATGGGGAAACGCGCAGATTTAAGGAGCGACGCGGCGAGGACGCGTGGCGGCGGAGAGCAAGCTCAAGCTCTCTTGCGCAACTTGGGCGCACATGAAAGCGCGTTGTCACCACAGTGCGCCCTCCCTTGAAATTCCCTTGCACGCGCCTCCCACTTGCGCGTGCCGCTCACTTGCGCGCGCCACTCTTTTGCACTTGCGCCACTCACTTGTGTGCGCTGCTTTTCTCCTCCATAGAAATCAGCTCGTCCGACGTCGCAGTGCCGTCAGCGGCGCTCGAAAACCGGCGCGCGACGGAGCCAACGCCGCCAAGCGGGGAAGTCTCAGCCAGCCACGGCGCTGCGCGCGAGACGACGCGCCGTCCAAGCCTCGCAATGGGTGCCGCCATGGCGGATATAGGCGGTGGCGGGTGAAGTGTTTGGTTTAGCGAGAAGAGAAGTCGTGTGGCGGCAACGAATCACGTGGTGACCACGTGGGAGAGCGTGAGTGGAAGAAAAGCACGTGGAAGGAAAATGAGGTGCTAGGGGGGAGAAAAGCGGCGCTGGAAGGATATTTTCTCGAGATCAGCGAAGCCCCGCGACTTCGCAAACGGTTCAGGGAGGTAAAGAAAACAGCTACGATTTCACTAAACAATGTAGACTGCTTGAATACTTACAAGTAGCTAATAATAGCTCCAATAAGCCCAATTTAGCATCTAACAATCCCTACGTGATAAAGCTGCTATCTTGTAACAGACTAACGTAACTCCACGTCACATCATGTTTGGCCATTGGCAACCGCATCACAGGCTAATGCCTCCACAAATGGTGCTTTTAGATGGGCATTCGAGGCCGCCACTCGACATGCCATCACATCGAACGGGCCTCCGCTCCTGCCACATGTACAAGCCAACACTCCACTCCCTTCGTTAGAAGAACACGGGGATTGCGGAATCAACACGAAGCATTCTGATTGGGCTTTGAGCTGCATGTGACTGATGATGAGATGGCAGAGCAGGGAGCAAGGAGCAGGGAGCAAGGAGCAGGGAGCAAGGAGCAGGGAGCAAGGAGCAGGGAGCAAGGAGCAGGGAGCAAGGAGCAGGGAGCAAGGAGCAGGTAGCAGGGAGCAAGGAGCAAGGAGCAGGGAGCAAGGAGCAAGGAGCAAGGAGCAAGGAGCAAGGAGCAGGGAGCAGGGAGCAAGGAGCAAGGAGCCAGGAGCAAGGAGCAGGGAGCAAGGAGCAGGGAGCAAGGAGCAGGGAGCAAGGGAAGGGAGGGCGCAGGGCACTGACGGGTCAAAGCAGAGGCCGCCCGCCTCCTCCACTATCAGCGACCCCGCTGCTACATCCCTGGTGGGTGCACCGAGAGAGAGAGAGAGGGAGGGAGAGAGGGCGCGAAGGAGAGGCGAGGGGGGTGTGAGGGAGATATGAGGGTGGAAGACGTGAGAAGCAAATAAATGACTTGTGGGAAGAAATCAAATGGCGACAGGCCTTATATGCCGTAGCTGCTGCAAATGCCGCAACACACACCATGCCCAACACACACCATGCCCTGACCTTCTCAGCAGCGTTGCAGCAACCGCAGCCGAATCCCCCATCCCCTCTTCCTCATTTCCTCGCTTCCCCACCCCTTGGTGGCCCCTGATGCCCCCCCACTGACCAGGGTCCACCGAAGCCGATCTCGTAGAAGAGGTCGAGGCGGCCGCATGCCACTCCCACCAGGTTCAGCGCACATGACCCCGACAGCCGCAGCGACCGCACCTGGGGCGGATTAGGAGTTGGACGAGGGAGGAGCGAGGGTGAGTTGATGGGGGAAGTGCAGGGTTGGTAAGTGGGAGGGGTAGAAAGTAAAGTGCAGGCAGAGCGAGGGTGTATTAGAGAGTCAGAGGAGGGCATGGAGAGGAAAAGGCAGCAGCGTGTGGCAAAGGAAGGCGTGGCCGAGGGGGGCCGGCATTGGTGTTGAGATTCGCTGGGCGTTCACTGGGACGTTGGATGGTCGTGGTAGGAGGAGGTTGGCAGGGGCAGGCAGGAGGGGGGCGGGAAGGGAAGGGGCGTGCCTGGAAGAGCAGGTTGCTGATGCGCCCTGTCAGCCCTGCCACTGTGCCTGCATCCCTCTTGGTGCCTATCTGATGCCCCCCGCCGCCATGGTGGCAGGGACCAGGGGAGAATGGTTGGGAGGCGAGGGGGGAGGGCGAACGAAGTGAAGGGTGAGACAGGCAGCAATGACTGTTGAGCAGAAAAACTGGTGCCAACGAAGGGTGCAAAGGGGCATGTGGATGGGTGGTGCACGAGAGCATGAATGCACGGGTGCAATGGTGGTGCATGGCAGAGGGGGTACCTCAGTGGCGAGCAGTGCTGACCCAATGTCCGTCTGAGAGGATGCTGCCAGGGGTAGGGTGGACGCACGGCAACAGGGGCAGTGCAACACGTGAAAGGGAGAGGGCGCAGAGGCACCACGGGGGGAAGAGTAAGGTAGGAGCGACGGGTGATAGGCAAGGGACAGCAGGGAGCGGTGAAGAAACAGCAGGGAGAGGTGAATGGACAGCAGGGAGAGGTGAATGGAGAAGATTGAGGACGTATAGGGTGGCTACAGGACTACCATGGGTGGCAGCACGACGTACCATGGATGGGCTCGTCGTTGAGCATGGCACCATGACCCCTCATCGCTGTGAACATCTGTGCATGGCGCATGGAGCATGGGGGGCATGGCGCATGGGGTATGGGGCATAGGGCATGGCGCATGGGGCATAGGGCATGGCGCATGGGGCATGTGGCATGGGGCATGGGGCATGGGGCATGGAGCATGGGGCATGGGGCATGGAGCATGGGGCATGGGGCATGGAGCATGGGGCATGGGGCATGGAGCATGGGGCATGGGGCATGGAGCATGGGGCATGGGGCATGGAGCATGGGGCATGGGGCATGGAGCATGGGGCATGGGGCATGGAGCATGGGGCATGGGGCATGGAGCATGGGGCATGGGGCATGGAGCATGGGGCATGGGGCATGGAGCATGGGGCATGGGGCATGGAGCATGGGGCATGGGGCATGGAGCATGGGGCATGGGGCATGGGGCATGGAGCATGGGGCATGGGGCATGGAGCATGGGGCATGGGGCATGGAGCATGGGGCATGGGGCATGGAGCATGGGGCATGGGGCATGGAGCATGGGGCATGGGGCATGGAGCATGGGGCATGGAGCATGGGGCATGGGGCATGGAGCATGGGGCATGGGGCATGGAGCATGGGGCATGGGGCATGGAGCATGGGGCATGGGGCATGGAGCATGGGGCATGGGGCATGGAGCATGGGGCATGGGGCATGGAGCATGGGGCATGGGGCATGGAGCATGGGGCATGGGGCATGGAGCATGGGGCATGGGGCATGGAGCATGGGGCATGGGGCATGGAGCATGGGGCATGGGGCATGGAGCATGGGGCATGGGGCATGGAGCATGGGGCATGGGGCATGGAGCATGGGGCATGGGGCATGGAGCATGGGGCATGGGGCATGGAGCATGGGGCATGGGGCATGGAGCATGGGGCATGGGGCATGGAGCATGGGGCATGGGGCATGGAGCATGGGGCATGGGGCATGGAGCATGGGGCATGGGGCATGGAGCATGGGGCATGGGGCATGGAGCATGGGGCATGGGGCATGGAGCATGGGGCATGGGGCATGGAGCATGGGGCATGGGGCATGGAGCATGGGGCATGGGGCATGGAGCATGGGGCATGGGGCATGGAGCATGGGGCATGGGGCATGGAGCATGGGGCATGGGGCATGGGGCATGGGGCATGGAGCATGGAGCATGGGGCATGGGGCATGGGGCATGGGGCATGGAGCATGGAGCATGGGGCATGGGGCATGGGGCATGGGGCATGGAGCATGGAGCATGGGGCACGGGGCAATGGAAAGGAACCATGGGATACAGGTGGGGGTGGAGTTGAATGAGGAAAGATGTTGGGCGTGATGAGTGGGGTGGGGGAGCAGCAGGGCACGTAGAGCAGTGTAGTGAGCAGAGTGGGGGATGTGCGTGCGGGGATTGACATGCATGCGTGAGTTGAGAGGCGCATGGCAAGGCGGGCAGGCAGGGGCACGTGCCTCGTTGAGGATGGGGTTGAAGACCACCCCCACCACCACCGCCTTGTTGATGGCCAGCCCGATGGACACACACACGAATGGATACCTGCTCTTGCCGGGCGCGCTCCATGCACGCATGGTGCGCGGCACAGGGGGCAGGGCACGTAGGCCAAGACACGGAGAGGGGGGTAGATATGAATGAAGCAAAGGCGGTGATGAGATGGGGTTGAGAAGGACAGATGATGCCGGCTGCCCATCTCCACAGGTGCAGGTTAGGGGCGCGGCAAGACTGCTGTTTGTGCCATTGCAGGGATGCACCCCCAACCCCACCCCCACCGCCACCCCCGTTGCCACCCCCACCCCCACCCCCACCCTCAGCGGCAGCGGCACCCCCAGCGGCAGCGGCACACCCACCGGTGCACGAAGTTGGTGGTGCCATCGAGGGGGTCCACCATCCACGTGGGGTCGTCTGACAGCCCCGCCGTGCCATGCACTGATGACTCCTCCTCGCCTATCAACTGATGCCGTGCCATGCCGTGCAGTTGAGATGGACGGTGAAGCACGGCATGTGGGGGACATTAGAGAAGGGGAGTCGATCGAGGAAGGGAGCAAATGACCTGCATGCTACGATACGACCATAAGCTCACCATGCTACAACCCAGAACCCATGCTGCAAGCCGGCAACCCAGCGAACCCAGCAGAGCCCTCGTGCTTCGGGTTCAATCACACGCTTGCCTTGTGGGAGGGATAAGCGGCTGAGATGTGCTGCATGATGAGTGCCTCGCATTGCTTGTCCGTTTCTGTGACCAGGTCGACCTAGATGCAGCACAGTGGGTGGCGGACGTAGGGAGGGGAGAGGAGGGAGGGAAAGGGAATGAGTGGGGACGGCACAATGTCACGATACATACGTTCTTGCACAACGCCTGGATGAGTTTCTGCGTTCCTTGACTTAAATACACATAGCTCTCACATGCCATGCTCTCACATGCCATGCTCTCACATGCCATGCTCTCACATGCCATGCCATGCCATGCCCCGACCTCCAACGCGCCTCACCTTGCCCTTGTGCTGCACGTCCTTTGGTGCGTTGAAGCTGCGGCGAATCACCTGGTGACACGTGTGCACGCATCCACGGATGTATGGGTGGGTGAGTTGAGGGATGGAGGGATGGAGGCGGATGGAAGGGGATGGAGGGAGGTGGAGGGATGGAGGGGGATGGAGGGATGGCGGGGGATGGAGGGGGATGGATGAATGGGGGGGGATGGAGGAATGGGGGGAGGGATGGCGGAGTAGAGGGAGTTAAGAAGAAAGAAACGGAGAGGAGAAAGTTGGCGGGGAAACAGCGAAGGAGCGGGGAGGAGAGAAGAGGAGAAGAGGAGGGGCGAGGCGAGGGAGAGGAGAGGGAGAGGACTGGGAGGGTTGTTGGGCGATGCAGGCGGCACGCCAGGCAAGCGGAGGGGCGTGATGGGAAGTGAGGGGCGTTGGGATACGGCACGTGCGAGGGGCTGCGGGGTGCGTCACGCGCTATGTGGCATGGTGCATGCACACACGGGGCAGCGCACACGGGGCAGCGCACACACGCACGGGGCAATGCGACGAACCTCGCCCGCGTGGCGAGCGGCCGTGACAGCGACGTCCAGATACTCGCGCAGCTCCCGCTCTGCCCGCGCGCACAGCCCATGGCCGCCGCACCGGCGATCGCGATGGCGCAACGATCGCAATGACAATGACACCGCACGGCGCGTCGCGGCACGCACGTTGGAATGCATTGAAGAGTCAGCATCGCAGACATCAGACGGGAAGACACGTGGAGAGAGACGGTCAGTCGTGCGGATTGATCAGCAAAGCTGAAAATCGGCAGGATTACAATTAATGACACACACAGGTCGGCACGGGAGGCAGCGTTAGCGGCAGGGCTAGCGGCAGGGCTAGCGGAGGTTTCACGGCAGAGAGGGCGACAATGCGGAAACGCACGACTCACCCGCGACAGCTACAGGCGTCGCCATGAGAGTCGCCTGGACGAGCCGGCGACAGTCTGACGGGAGACGCGAGACGAGAAGCGTTTCAGGGGCAGAAGATGCGAGGGCGGTGCGATTGATCGCTGATAAGGTGCAGGTCAGACGTGGTGCGTTCAAATGAGCCGTATAACGATCATCGTTTCGGTGTCAAGCGTTGATGATATGAATCAATGTAGCTACAGCAGCAGGATTCAATATTTGATTCCAACAAGGAATATATTAGTTTCTATAGAATCTAAAACAGCTGAGAGAAATCTGCACAGTAAATACAACCTAAAATGTGTTAATCCTAGCAAAACACTGGAAGGTGCTGTGGTGTGAGGACAGCACTCAGTAGCCATCGGGGTGCAGGCGGCGCCAGCGCCAGGCCATGGCGAGGGAGTCCTTGAGGTCCGTGTACTTGGCCTTCCAGCCCAGCTCGCGGTAGATCCTAGAGGGGTCGCTGTACACCTCCGCGTAGTCCCCCGGGCGCCGCGCCTTCTGCTCCATCACCTTTATGGGCGCGCCTGTCACGTTCAGACACGCGTTCACAAACTCGCGCACCGAGTACCCTGTTCAGGCATGGCAGGTCCGGGTAGGGCCGGTCAGTGCAGGGTAGGGCGTGCAAGGGTGTTGCAGGAAGAAAGGGAGGGAGGAGGGCGGGGTTGCCATACTAGCAGAACGCTTCTGCTAAGAATCAAGCGAAGCAATGAGGAGGTCGTGGTGAGGAAACAGCAAAAGGAGGAATGATGATGGCAGTCCAGAAGCAGCATGGAGGGGCAAGGGACGCCCACCTTTGCCGGTGCCGACGTTGTAGATGTTAACAGTGCCGGGTGTGAGGTGGTGCATGGCCACCACGTGTGCGTTCACGAGGTCCGTGACATGGATGTAGTCGCGGATGCACGTGCCGTCCGCTGTGGGGTAGTCCGTGCCCATCACCTGCCGGGGGGCACAGCCACGCAGCAGCAGAGAGATGATTCAGGTGCGTGAATGAGGTGAGTGTGGAGTGGAGTCAGCTCAGCAGTCACAGCTGTGGGGTAGTGCAGGCGTATCACCGGGCATGCAGTGGGGATAAGAATGGCGCCCGTTTGCTACGGCGGCCTTGGATGCTGTGGCTCTCCCTCATGGCCGGTGAGCTGGGGGTTGTGTGTGGCCATCACCAGCAATGCACCCCTGCAGCCGTGCAGTGAGCGCACATGCACCATGTGTTTGCACTCAATTCAACAGGCACTGATGAGTGTGTGTGTGTGTGTGTGCCGCACCGAAATATTCTCACAGCGTACAGGGCACACACATGGACGGAGAAAGCACATGACGGCAGAGACACAGCGAGCACGGAGTAATCACAGAAAGCAGGTGCTCATGCTCGTATCATGGTGCGCGGGGTGGGGAGAGCAGCATGGGGGAAAGCAGCACGGGAGGAGAGCAGCAGGGGGCGGGGGCGAGGCGAGCGCACCTTGAGTCCATCGATCTTGCCCATGGCGGCATCGAAGCACGCCCCTGTGATGCGCCCGTGGTGCCTCAGCTCCGGGCGAGGCGCCTCCCCCAGCCGCCCACTGGGGTCCGACCCGATCACGTTGAAGTACCTGGGGGAGGTGGGGGGGGTCAGGAGGGGAGGGGGGAGTGAGCAGGTGGGTGTGGGTGGCAGGGGAGGGGACGCCGAGGGCGGTGGAGTGAATGTGCGTGTGAGCGAGCGGAGGAGGGGGGTGTCCTACCAGGATACACTGAAGCGCATGCGGGATCCATTGTGGGTGGGATGAGTGGCAGCAGAGGAGATCGCAGGGGGGCTGCAAGGGAGATGCTAGGCACATGCGAGCAGGAGAGGCACGTGCGAGCAGGAGAGGCACGTGCGACAACTGACAAGCAAGCGAGAGTTCTGTGAGAATGGGTAGGCATGCAAGGCACACGATCTGAGGATAGGTAGACACATGGCAGGTGACCGGAGGTCGAAAAAAGAGGTGGGGAGAGGTGCGGGGACCTGAGGATGGTGGCGGCGAGGCGGGGGTTGGCGCGCGCGTAGTCGAGGATGACGTCCTCCGCCATCTTCTTTGACTTGCCGTACGGGTTTATGGGCGCCTGGTGCCACGCACCGCACACGGCAGGGGGGGGGAGGAGGGTGTGATGGGAGGGTGTATGCCACATGCACGACAGAGGTGGAGAGAAGGGGGTGGAGGGTGGGGGGAGGGGCACTTCATGAGCGCACTGCACGCACACTACAGCGTGATGGGTGCTAGCCGCTCACAAGGCAGGCAGAGGGGAGGAAGAGGGGCGGCTTGTGAAGAGTGGGAGGGCAACTGTGTGCGTCACTGTGCTCTGGTGGCATTGGCGTGCCATGGCCGACCCAGCGTGGTGGGTGATGGGCATGGTGGTGGGGTCACCTGCACAGTGTCCTCAGTGATGGGCATGGTCTTGGGTTCGCCATACGTGGCGCACGTGCTGCTGTAGATGAGCTGAGTCACGCCGTGCCGCCCCATGGCCTCCACCAGCGTCAGTGTGTTGGCCGTCACGTTGTGGTAGTACCTGTGCCGTGCATGCACGCATGCACCATGCCCCATGTCAAATAAGCAGGAGGAGAGCGAGATGAGTGTAATGGACGGCAGTTGCAGAGCCATGACCGCCAGCGGCCAGTGTGTGACGTGGTATGGTTCAAGTGCCAGCCCCCTACCGTACATCCCCTCCTGCCATTCTCTCCTCCACGCAGCCACCTCTCGCTCTGCGGAACTTGCTCCATCTCCCGTGCCAACAATGCTTGCGACTCACCTCCCCCATGTGCCATGCATGCACATGCCCCGCGCTCCATGTCACGTGAAAATAGGTCAGCACAACGAACGGGTGGGGGAGGGGGGAGGGAGGGATGGGGGTTTGGTGGGGGGGAATTGGGAGATGGGTGTGTTGGATGGCAATAGCGGTACCTGGACCCCCAGGGGCCAGTGTGAGAGGTGGGGCCAGTGTGAGAGGTGGGGCCAGTGTGAGAGGTGGATGTCAGTGATATGGCTGCCAACCTGTTCAAGTGCCACTCCCCATTCCATACGTCCCCTTTCCCTACAACCTCCCCTGCCATTCTCTACCACGCGACCACCTCTCTCGCCCCACAGGTCGCTCAATTCCCGCCCACCACACCCCCCATGCAGCTCACCTCAGCGGCTCCTGCATGCTCTCGCCCACATAAGCGACGGCAGCGAAGTGCATCACCACGTCGATGGCGTTGCTCGCAAACACCGCCTCCACCTGCCGCACAGACCCACCCACCCACCCCCCCACACACACACATGCACGCACGGCGCACAGCGGTGCTTCAAGTTCAAGGGGGCGGCGGTGCTTCCAGGGGAGGGGTCGGAGGAGCAGTATTGGAACAAGTAGAGGCGTGCAATAGAAACGGTGCATGGGAAGGAGCGCATGCCACATGGCCATGTGCGCATGATGCATGGTAGGGCAGTGCGCGCATGCATGGGGGCAGCGGAGCAGACCTTGCGCGGGTCCCCCAGGTCCGCATTGATGAACTGCAGCCGCCCCTCCGGCGCTATGCGCTGCAGCACCTGCACCGCGCCCCAGTTGCCCCGCGATAGGTTGTCCTGCCGTGCACATGAGCACACATACGCGCAGACGTAGGCACAGGCGCAGGCATAACCACAGGCACAGGCACATGCACAGGCACACATAGGCACACGCACGCACACACACATGCAGTGGGAAATGGGAGGAGAGTGGGGAGAGGGTGAGGAGGCGAAGAGGCGGCGCTGGAGTGGAGAGGGGCGCATGGGCGGGAGAAGGCGCAGGAGAGTGGCATGGCGGAGAGGAGAGCGCGGAGGCAGGAGAGGTGCATGCGGCTTACGAGAATCGTGACGTCACTCACGTTGAAGTGGTCGTCACTCACGACAATGGTGACGCGGTGGCCGGACGTGAGGAGGTGCAGCGACGCGTGCGAGCCGATAAAGCCCGCGCCGCCCGTCACCAGCACGTGCGTCACCCCCGCCTCGCGCACGCGGAACTGACGCACCGCCACACGCGCGCACAGAAGCGCACAGGCAGAGAGGGGGGGCACACAGGGAGCACAGTTGGAACATGCGCACAGTTGGACGTAGCGAGCGAGGAGTGAATGGGGAGAGGGGTGCGGGTACGAGACGGTGAGGATTCAGCACAGGATCGGACGCGAATCTCGCGATCAGCTCGACGCATTCTGAGAAAAACGCGAGCCTGCAGCGCCCCACCTGCATGGGAGTGGAATCTCTAGATTGGAGCACGAACATGCAGACCGCGACAAAGAGCGCCGCCAGCACCATCTTAACAGCAGATGATCTCTGCCGCCCCGTGGCCGCCGCCATGGGCGAGTCCATCCTGCGCCGCACGCGCCCACGCCTCAGCCAGCCGTGCGCGGTGCGGCAAGGGGGGAGGTAAGGAGACGGAGTGCGGGATCGTGCGCTCGTTCGTGGACTGCCGATGAACCCAATGGCTCCGCCGTGCACGCTAGCGACGGCGATCACGGAAGGGCCAGCGCGGAGAGAGAAGCTGAAGCCGGATTAGCAGGAGGGATTGGTGAATGAAGGCTGCACGCCACTAAGAGATGGCGGCTACTATTGTAGGTCACAGGGCTTCGGTCCCAAAAAAGCAGGGAGGGTCCTCCTGAAGTGCTCTATGTGGTCCCAAAGAAACAGTGCCGGCTAATGCAAATCCGTCGTCTCGTCAGTTGCGTTATCAGGCTCGGCTTGGACACGCCGAGCCTGGAAGTCTACACGCTTGTAGACCAGCCATGAATGGGAGGGAAGTGTGTCAGTCGACGCCTCCAAGACTGAACCAGCCAATCAACGAACCTCGTGTCACCAGAGCAACTGCTCTGGGCATTAAGAATATACAAAGATCCTCTGTAGTATATACAATGCAGCTATGATGTGGTTGTTTAACAATCAGGAAGCCATATATAGAAGAGAAAAATCAAGGGCTTAGAAAGAGGCCTCATGCTAATTTATTTACTAAATATTGCGCTTTAAAAGTAATTAAATATGCTGTTCGACATTCTGGGAAACGCAACATAGCAATTACAACATTCTCGAGCTCCTCACTTGTTTATGCAATATTACATCTCTTCATTGGTGTAGCCTCACGGGAACTATTTGATTGCGTCCGTTGTTACAAAGCGAATCGCTGAAATTCTCCGATCTGCTGTTGGATTGGGAACGAAGCGAGAGAGGCTAATCGGAGGGTCGTTCGTCGTCAGACATATCCGAGGGTCAGTATGGAAATCGAGGAGCGGGAGTTGCGGGATGCTCCCCACGATATGTTTCTCCCCCCAGCAAATTATGTTGCAGGAGTACCACTGAGCAATCATACGAGGAGGCAGTACATTCTGCTGTGAGTGCAGGCGCTTCCCAACGAACTAGCTGGCAGTGTCACCAAAGCGACGTGCGAGACAGTTCCACACATAGCATACCACTTAGCAATGGCTTCGTTTCGGCGATGAGTATAAATTCCGCGTTTTTACCGTGAGGCAAACCGTACGTCCGGCCGGGCCATCGTTATGGAATATAGGTCTGGGCCTGGGCAAGGGAAAATAGGTCAGAGCAGTCAGCCGGCCATCAAGCGGGTCCAGGCAGGCAGTCGGCCGTCGCAGGAGAGACGAGCGAGCTCGCTGAAGAAGCTAGCGCGGCGAGAAGTGAGCGCGCGAGGAAACTGGGCGTTCAAGCGCACGAGCTCGGAGGAGAAGTTCAGGAACTTCAGCCTCCAGGTGCGACCCTTCAGGCGCCTCGCAGTTGAGGACCTCCGCCTTCATGCGTGCGCGTCACCTCGTTTCAATTCTAAATAAGTTCGCACGTGGTCGCGAAGTCCCTCTGCACCCGTGTTGATGCATAGCGGTTGTCCCCGCTCTCATTACCCTTCCCCACTTTGCCATGCCGTTGTTCGTTCGTGCATCTTCGTCCGCACGAACCTCCTTCCCGTAAAATTCCTCCTGCCTAGCCATTCCGCTCGGCGAGCAGTGCGCGCGGATTGAATGAGTTTTGTAAGTCGACCATGCGATGCCGTGGGTGCGCGTGCAGGGGGAGTACGACACGTTCGACGCCAAGGCCGCGCAGGTGGAGCGCCTGTCGTTTCTGAAGCGGCGATCGCGGATCGTGGAGATCGTGGCGGCCAAGGATCTGCTCTTCACGCTCGCGCACTCGGGAGCATGCGCTGCCATCTGCTTAGGTCCGCCTACCTATCCTCGCTTTCCATGTTCCGTTTTCCTTTTGCTCAAGCGCGTTCCGTGTCAGTCGACTCAGCCTATTCTGCTGCTGTGCCTCGTTTCTGCTGTGCGTGATTGCGGTGGCGGCAGAGTCGCGGCGGCGGCTGTGCTACATGAACGTGGGGTCGGAGGAGGTGATTCGGAGCCTGTTCTTCAACAAGAACAACGACTCGCTCATCACCGTCTCCGTCTACGCGCAGGACAACTTCAGCTCGCTCAAATGCAGAAGCACCCCGCTCGAGTGCGCCCCTGCCTTTCCTCCCAATCCTCGTGTCCTTGTCTGCTACCGCGCTAGCCTCCTCTGGCTCCGTTTTCCTTGGTTCCGTTTCTCATGGTCCCTCTCCGTCTTGTTGAGAGGCGTCTTTTGAAGATCGCTTTATTCCTCTGTGTCGTTCGCCTGTCGCCGCCTCTCCCTCCCGCACTCTGTGCCCTCCCTGCTCTGCTCCTTCTGCCGCCCATCCCTTTCTCACGTGCGCGCAAGTCACAAGGCCCTTCCCGTGTGTGGTGTGCTTCGCTCCACATGGTGTGTGCGCGGTGCTGCGCGTGCCCTGCAGGTACATCCGGAGGGGGCGGCCCAGCGAGGGCTTTGCGCTGTTTGAGTCGGAGTCGCTGCGCTGGCCGGGCTTTGTGGAGTTTGACGACGTCAACGGCAAGGTCCTCACCTACTCCGCTGACAACGGGTATGCTGCTCCCCTCCCCCCTGTGCTGCACATGCGCTCATGCGCTCACTGCAAGCTGGCTTTGGTACTCATGTGCTTGCTCATCTGCACACCCGCAACCACGTAGCTGCCACTTGCTTTGCACTGTCTGTCCTTGCCGTGCCTCATGGTTGCATGCTCAGAACAGCCGTTAACTTGTGTGAAATCGTTTGAGTGCGTGTGGATGCGTGTGTTGTGTGCGGGGTGCAGCATGTACAAGGTGTTTAATCTGCGCAACTACACTCTCCTCTACAGCGTGCCCGACAGCAACATTCAGGAAATCAAAATCAGGTCAGGATTAGACCTGTGCCAAGTTCAAAAGAGCCTCCATCCTATGTGCCTGTTGTGCTTTCAGTCCGTATAGCATTCACCACTTTTTGGGTTGTCTCCACCCATCCTGCCCACCTGCCATCCCCTTTCTGCCATCCACCATCCACTGCCTGCCATGCTGCTGTGCGCGGTGCAGTCCGGGCATCATGCTGCTGATCTACAACCGCGCGGAGGGGCACGTGCCGCTCAAGATCCTGTCGATCGAGGACGGGGCGGTGCTGGCGTCGTTTGTGCAGCTGCTGCAGCGCGGCAAGAAGGTGGACTTCATCGAGCAGTTCAACGAGAAGCTGCTCGTCAAGCAGGAGAACGACAACCTCCACATCCTCGACGTCCGTGCTCCTCTCCCTTCCTCTTCCGCTCCCTGCCAACCCCTATCCTTGCCCTCGCTGCCGTGCTCCTTGCTGCCCTCGCTGCCGTACGCCTGCTTGTAACCCGTGCACTGACTCGCTCGCATGGATTTGGTCCCTCATGCCCCTGTCTACCCTGTAATCTGTCTAAACATGGCATTTTCGCCGCATTGTGACCCGCCCCCTCCGTGCGGTGGAGAGCAGGTGCGCACGCGGGAGGAGACGCAGGTGAGCCGCACGGAGTTCATGACGCCCTCGGCGTTCATCTTCCTGTACGAGAACCAGCTCTTCCTCACCTTCCGCAACCGCGCCGTGGCCGTGTGGAACTTCCGCGGGGAGATGGTGACGGCGTTTGAGGACCACGAGCTCTGGTACCCCGACTGCAACACCAACAACATCTACATCACCTCGGACCAGGACCTCATCATCTCCTACTGCAAGCACCACCACCCCTCCCACGCCCCCCACGGTCAGTCCACACCACCTCCCCGTGCCTGTCTCTCATTCTAATGCCCCCTGTTTACTGTAAGCTCTTCATGGGCTGTCTATCCACCTCGTCCTCCCTGCCCGCCTCTCTGCTACCCTGCATCATGCCTGTTGTATGCAGTGGGCAGCATCAACATCAGCAACATCCTCACGGGGAAGCTGCTGGCTAAAATATCGTCGGATTCAGAGTCGGCTCAAGCCAAATCGAAGTCCGTCCACTCGACTGTAAAGGAGGCACTGGAAGACGTTACAGCACTGTTTTATGATGAAGATAGGAATGAGATCTACACAGGAAATAGAAGTGGCTTTGTACATGTCTGGACAAACTAAGCAAGCTGGATGGAGGCTAGCTATGATGAGGGCAAATGTGTTGCATGGTATGTACCCAGTCGCTAAACCAACCAACCAACCAACCAGAACAGACAGCAAGAAAGCCAGATTCCACCATTTTAGGGCTCTGGGGTACGCAACAGACTCTGCCCAAGCCAGATATAATCCCCACTGGATACCAGTACGAATAGTCGGTCTTGCTCTTTGCAAGGCAGAGCGCAACTCTCAGAACTCTTTGCCGCTTCCCAAGAATGGCAGGGTGTGGTTAGCCGTACTCTCTACCTACGGCGTATGCTAATGCACTGGCGGCAGGCAGCCCAAGGCTATGCCTGTGCCTGGCTCTCAGTATGCCTTGGCTGCAGCAGCAGGCAGGCTATGCCCGGGCGGTGGTTATGCCTTGGCTCTGGAAGCATTAGTGGCACGTATTCTGTCCCGGTTGTCCAACTTCACCAGGCGCTCCAACTGCTCCTCTCACAGCACACACATTCCACACACATGAAGACACCACACACGCCACACACATCCCACACACACCACAGACACGAACACACACGAACACACTCGAACACACACGAACACACACGAACATACACAGCACACACAGCACAACCACAGGACCCAGATTAAGAAGCATGCCATGCATAGGGTACGTGAACATATACTGCATGTACCTACTTGACCATCTACCAACGCCATGCCTCACCTCCGCCATGCCCATGTCCTCAATTCTCTTCCTCTTGAGCTCGCTCAGCGGCGCCTGGCGGTCCAGCAGCGTCCACAGCCACTCGGGGTACTCACTGCACGCACGCACGCACACACGCGCGCACGCACGCACGCACACACGCACGCACGCACGCACGCACGCACGCACGCACGCACGCACGCACGCACGCACGCACGCACGCACGCACGCACGCACGCACCCATGG